GGGCGCGGGGGCTCTGGACACAAAGGAGGGAGAACGAAATGTAATTATGGTCAAAAACAAAATTGAGCATAATCACTCTGGCAATAAAGCCAGCATTAATGTATAAAAATCGAAGCATCAAAGCAACAACAACAAAAAATAGTAGGGAAAAAAAAAAGAAAACCCAAAGACGACAAGGAACAAAAAGCATGGATGGTGGAAGAAAAAAGAACAGAGAGATCCAAAGACACGGCTTCAATTAAAAAATAAGTGCGGAAAGGGGCCACAGGTAGAGGCCGTTGAGGCAGCAAACGGTGGGGGTATGGGGCACAAGAGGCAGACTGGAGAAAACAAGTTCATAGACCAAAGACAACGACCGCAGAAGCAGCAGCAGCTAACAGCCAACAGCCAACAGCCAGGCAACGTCTCCAAATGGATGCCGTAGGCCTACTACTCCTCCTTCCCTTCCTACCCCTTCGCCACCTATTCCGCTTGTGGAACACACACAGCCAAGCGGTGCTTGAGATGGAGATGGAGATGGCGATGGAGTTGGTCCAAAGGAACGGGTGTCGTGGGTAGTGTAGTGTAGGCTCTGTGGGCCAGGCACGGGTCGGAACGGAACGGAACGGGGGCCTGGTGGGCGACCTAGAGCAGCACATGATGCGTCTGCTGGCCATTTGTGTTCTGCTTTGATGTATTGGCAAACAAAGTTTGGAATTAATTGGTGTCCGCTTCGAATAAAAATTAATGCCCTGAATCAATTACCATGAAAACAAATTGGAACTTTGGCCAACACACCTTCTGCGGCGACCCTCTCTCCCCCCTCTCCCTGCAGCAAAATTTGCATTGATGATGCAACAACAAGTAGAAAAGCTGTTGCAAGGCATTCACCTAGCCATAACATTGAGCTGCTGCTGCTGCTGCTGCTGTTGTTGCTGCGTCTTCCACAAACCTGATCACTGTTTTGGTTGTTGTTGTTGCTGCTGCTTCTGTTGCACGTTTCCAGGGAAGCGAGTGTCTGTGTCTGCATTCGCGGTGTCTTTGCCTGTTCTGAGCTGCCTCAGAAGAGTGTTGCATGGGTATGGGGAGATGAGGCCTTCGCTTCAATGTTGCCGCTTAGCACACAAATTGCTGGCATAGTTGTTGCTGCTGTTTGCAGCTGTGAAAATTTGCACGCTCGGAAAACAATTTTCCTGCCCGTTACCACAGTAGAGCAGAGCAGAGCACAGAGGAACAAAGCAACAGAAATGAATTAAAGCAGGGGCAGCGGCAACGGCAGCGGCAGCGTTGTGGCAGCAACATATTTGCCGCCCAACCTTTAATTGGTTTAGTTGTTACCCAAAGATAAGCCGCATAGAATTTGCTCTGCCGCACAATGATGCAACTTTCTAAACTGGCAAATTGAAAACAAGAAATTAGCGGGCAATCGGAGGGTACAGTTGCCTCATACAGCAATTAGTGCCACTTGGCGTATGCGTAATAAACGCACCCAGAGACCACCCTGTCGGGCAGAGGCAGCGGCAGCGGCAGAGCTGCAATGGCATAGAGTCGCGTGGGGCAGCAGACTCACATTCTTAATCAACTTTCAGGTTGAGTGCGAACAGAAAAATGGTTGCCTCCCCCCGCCTGCCGCTTGCCGCCTGCCAAAGTCAATAAAAATGTCAACACGCCAAATGTCATTGTCATGTTGACAAGGCAGACGCGGCAGAACGTGTCGTGGTCCATGCGGCAGTCACTCTAGGAGGAGGGGAATGTAGCGAGCCACGGGGAATATGGACATTCTCTCTCATAGAAACTTTACGAGCTTTTCCTCTCGGTGTCGTGTCCTTTCACTGCCAGCCAGTTTTATGGACAATTCAAAAATCGTTTATGACAATCGCAGCGAACACGACGCTGGCGCAGCTTTTTAATAAACTTTTGTTGTTTCTGCTGGGGGTTTTCCTGTATTTGTGGCTCTGCAAGGGACAGTAAAACAATAAAAGGACATAGAGCGGAAGTGGGGCATGGGCATGGGCATGGCAGTCCTGCCACATAATTGTTGGCCAGCTGAGAGATGTCGTAAAACTTAGACGGTAAGCCAGTCTGGACGGGACTACAAGTACACCTGCCCCGCATGCCATGAGGGAACAACAGAAGCCATACAAGACCCTGGTTTTATGTTGCACGGTGTAACTTTCGCTGTAGAAATGTTTCCCTCAATGTTAACACACACACACACACAAATTTCGACTGCTGCTGCTGCTTCTGCTCATCCGACATTAACCCAAATCACACAAATGACTTGTAAGAAAACCGCACACAAAGTGCCAAAGTGATTTGAGGCTAACCTTTTAAGCCATTGTCTGTCCATCGTTTAGCCGTCTTTGGCCGGGCATTGAGCCGTCGCTCATCGCTCGAGAGCTTTTGGCAATTTGTCAACGCGTCCGCCGCATAATGATCATTCATTGGGATGGATGCCGGATAAAGCTACGATCTGATCTTGCTAAATATAGGCACTGGCACTGGCTCTGGCCAGACACCCCCAGACAGACAGACAGACAGCCAGACAGCAGCTGCTGCTGCAGCCTCGGTTCCCACCTCCAGTTTGCGGTTATCAATGGCCCTCTCATTCGACGTGCCGATGCCGAGTGCCTGGCTTTGAACTAGTTTTCCAAAGGGCCCCTAGAACGGGCCTCGTCAGCGCAAAAAATAAAAACCAGTTCTGGGTCAACGACTGCCAAAGTAATTGGTGCGAACGGAGAACGAATAACACAGAACGGAGGGGTTCCTACTGTCCCCAGAGTCCAGTTCTCGATCAATGCAAATACGAGAAGTGCCAGGCAGCAGCTGCAGATCGGAGCGCGCGCTTTTATGCTGCCACGACAACAATGTTGTGCAACATTTGTGGCACGCACGCACACACACACACACGACACATGTGCTTCTGCACTTTCCATTTTGTTCTCCAGGCCTTAATGACTTCATAGACCAGACCCAGTCGCAGTCCCAGTTCCAGTCCCACTACATTGCAACCAAATTGAAACTTGCCACAATTGCTTTGGCAATTTTACGCAATTCGTTGCAGTCAACAATAAATTTGTAGCGCAAAAGAAAAAACAACTGTGGGACAAAAGGAAAAGAAATGCAATGCAGGTCGGTCGCCCGAGTGGATGGCTGGATGCCTGGATGTGGGTCTTGGATGTTTCCATGTTTCGATGGGGCTGGCCAAAAGTCATACTATAAATTTAAACACGGACCCGCAGGCTCCCTCTCTCTCTCTCTCCTCTGTACGTTCCTGGGTGCCGCGGGCCGTCAACAAATTTTGTGTTTAGGCACAGTTTCGGTTTGCTTTTCATTTGTGGAACAGTTGGAGATTGCAGCAGCTTTGGTTTGGACTGTGGTGTGTGCCGGTCGCTGCCCAGTTGGGGCCATTTGTTTGGTCTGGTAATTTGAGTTTGAATGCAGCTGATTTGACAGCGGACCAACACTTTGGGTACCGGCCGTATCCAGCTGGGACGCTGCACGTGCATGTCCAGCGACTTTTGATTCTCATTTCCCCCCCTCACACAAACGCAATTACAATCCACAGACTGAGTCCCACGCCACGCCACGCACGCCAAAAGAATTCTTTTTACGGACAGTGTACTACAGCATTTTCTACTTAAAAATTCAAATGTCAAACGCTTTTTGTTTGGTTTTTGGCATCCATTGAGAGTACAAAATCTGCGCAATTAATTTGCTGGCAAACCGCAGCAACCGCTTGGCATTCGCACTCGCATCGGCCAGATATTGACACATCAGTGGATACAGATCCAGCCACCACCCACACTAGCCCACTCCCTATGGCTGCTCGACTAGAAATGGAATTGGAAACTGCTGAATGCTGAATGTTGAATGTTGAATCCGGGAGAGAGAATGAAAGAATTCACTGGTTGAAAACAACAAAAGGGCGGACAGCATTGTTTTGATAAAACGCCCGCATGAACTCCACATTTGCAGTTTGGTACAGTCGACGCCCTCATCCACTCCCCACTACATCCCACTGCTCTCTCTCTCTGCCTTTCCCACTCAAAATTCGACGTGAATGTGCCTGCACAGACAATGCACAGTTATCCTTTGATAAAGCAAACTGGCATGAAATGGTGCGTGTTCATTTCCCCTCCGTTGTCAGAGAGCGCAATGCGGAATGCTCTACAAAAGTGGGACACTGAGAGAAAAGCTTTCAGATTTAATCAGTGTTCCTACAGGAGAAAGAAAGAGCGAGAGAGAATTTATTTCACACACAAATTAGTCACAGAGTTACAGCTAAAGCTTAGCTTAGAGAGCGATCGCTGGCAAGCGCTCAGCAAAAGCTCAGCAACCGAAAGCTCCAGCCGTTGAAGCCGCTGCAAATGGATTACAGGGCATGCATTCATCCAGAACCGATGCGATAACAATGTCAGGCTTTAACATGAATGACAACGGCGACAGCCCTGCGGGCTTGGGCTTGGTTTGGTTTTGGTTTGGGGGCTTGGACTTTGGCGGGCGCCGGGAGACAGCGCCAGACAACACACAGCAACAACGTCAGCAGCACGAAGCTTGGCTGTCGATTTGTTTGTGTAAGTGCCATGAAGCGTATATTTTTCATTTTGACGTTTGCAAAAACAATTCCCTCTCCACTCTCCTCACTCTCTCACAGCATATGTACATGTACATATAAAAAACGCATGAAAAACAAACTAAAATTGACAGCTTGTTTGGGAGCGGGCAGAGGCGGCGGCGAGCAGGAATAGGAAGTGAAAAAACCGCATAAATCCGGCAACTTACAAAGGGAATACGAGCACTCGTACAATGCGAAAATGATTGCCATGCGGTTTTTATATTACATTAACAATTTGATCCGAACCGACGCTGCGGCTGGAGATTAACCAGCAAACCTCTAACCCGCCATGTCCAAGCCTCAGCCTCATGCAGGAAACACTTTAATTGGGAATTTTATTATTAAATTTGAAATTAGTCAAGGCTCGACTCTAAAATTGTAAACCTTTTTGCACCTCTTGCAGGCCCATCAGCCGGACGCCGCTAACGCAGATCTCCTATCTGCAGAAGATTCCCACCCTGCCGCGCCACTTCTCGCCCAGCGGCTGCCACCAGGGACTGCCGCCGCCGCCGGCCCTCGCTGGCTGTGGCTCCGCCTTGGGTCTGCCCAGCAGCTCCTCGGCCAGCGCTCTGTATGCCGCCCAGAATGCGGGCATGCTGCCCACCTCCCCACTGCCCCTGCAGCGCCATCAGCAGTACTTGCCGCCCCATCATCAGCAGCATTTGCCGCCACTGGGAGCTGGAACCGGACTTGGACACGGCCTCGGACCGGGAGGATCAGGCGCACCGCAGTATTCGCCCGCTGTTTCGGGCTGCTCCTCCACTGCCAAATACTCGAATGCCCAGCTCCCTCCACACCATCATCAGCTGTCGCCGGCGCTGTCCACACCGTCGCCGCCATCGCTGCTGCATCATCCCGCCGCGGGAACGTCCGCCTCGGCACACGCTCCCTTCCTGGCGGGACCCCACATGGATATGCAGCGGCAGTCGCATTCGGACGATGACAGCGGATGTGCACTGGAGGAGTACACCTGGGTGCCCCCTGGACTGCGACCCGATCAGGTGAGACGCCTTTTAAAACTTTCAAACTCCAAATTTCAGGCCTCCACTTTTAATCCCGCAGTAAAGTATTCCGAGTTACATATATGTTAAAGTTAGTCCTAAAACCCTTTTCTATCCGATGGATGCACTCACGCTCCCATCGCCAGAATGTGCGGCGTGCAGCGCCAAGGGCGATCCCGACTAGGACTGTCGCGTCGCGGGCCAGGCGAGATTTGTGGGCTGGCGATAAGCGAAATACTTGAGTTATTGTGCGTTATTTTGTCACTCGGAGCGAGCTGTAAATAAATACACGCGACGAGGCCATAAATCAGCGGGCCATAGCCATAGCTGGGGATCGCCTTGCCAGACGCAGATGATAGTCGCATGTCTCCTCGACTCAGAGACCAAAGCAGAGAGCTGGCTGATAGCACTGGCACTGACTGGGACCGGCTTTATTGGACTGTGTCAATTAGGCGAAGGTCCACTGTGTCCGTCTATCCAACTATCGAATTAGATTGTGCTAATGAAAGCCGGGACTGGGACTGGGAATGGGACTCTGAGGCCAGGGCCATTCTTCAATGCGAATTTGACTTTAATGGCCAATTCAATTGCGGCAGAACTGAACTCTTTCTGGCCATCGTGACGTGCCTTTTTCAATTATTTGCCAAGCTGCCGAAAAAAGCGAAACGAACTCGTAAATTATTCGCGTGAAATATGCGACAATGCCAAATAAATCTTTCACAATCTTCGCCAGCAGAGGCCCCCAGTTTGGTCGCCACCATTTGCATTCCCTCCTCCACCTCCAAATTTTCCAAATCTTTTTTTTTCGCCATTTTCCGCTGAACTCTTTGGCTTCCGTTAAAGCTGTCCCATCGCATCCCGTTGGGCCTATCAAATGTCTAGCATTGCATTTCTTTTTTCTTCTTTCGGTTCGGTGCGGCTTGGGTCGGTTCGGTTCGGTTCGCTAGCTTTTTTCTGTGACTTTTCAAACAGAATTGAAAATTTATTTACAGCCATGTGGCAGCAATTTACGTTGATGCGGCATAAGCCATGTGTCAGTCACTCGCTGCGAGAGTTGGCATCGCATCTCTCCCTCTCTCTCTCCCTCTACCCTACTAAACCCCCAGCCAGCGACTGGGCGAACGGAGAACGTTCTGCGGCCTGCTGCAAGCGTGGCCAATAAAGTTGGCTTAGCACGTTGTGCACCTTTCAACCTGGCTCAAATGGGGGAAAAACGAAAGAGGAAACCAGAATGAAACCCGACAGCGAGAGAGAGGGAAATCAACGTAATAAAATCAAAAATCTTTACTTTACCCGCTGTGCTGTGCGATCTCAGGCTAGACTCTGGCTAGGCTCTGGCTAGGCTCTGGCTCGGCTCTTAACCCTTTTGCAGAAACTCCTCTCACCAGCAGCAGTCTCTTCCCTACCCTACCCTTCCCTCTCTTAACTGTATTTAAACATTCCCCAATGTATTTCAATGTGGCTGTATTTTTTTTTTTTGCTCCCGCAGGTCCGCTTGTATTTCTCGCAAATACCCGACGACAAAGTGCCATACGTTAACAGTCCGGGGGAGCAGTATCGTGTGCGACAATTGCTGCATCAACTTCCGCCGCATGATAACGAGGTGAGTACACACACACACACACACACACACACACACACACAAAAGTGAGGACTGTGCTTGCCCCACGCTCCAGGGACTCGCTGAACCTGTCAATTTCGTGGCATTTATCCAAATGCTCGCATGGAGGGGCCGGCAGACTGCCGCTTTATCGTGATTGAAACCGACTCGAATTACGGGCTATGACATTTCAAAGTCAAATTGTCCGGTGATTTTTCCCACACACACAACACAGCCCACTCTGCCACCCCCTGGGCGCTGTGTAACCTTTAATTAATCGGGGGAACAACAAGTGCAGCCAGTGCAGAGTTTGCAGTCGGTATTTAGAGCAGACGCAAAAACCACAAAAAACTATCCAAACAAAAAGGCCTGAGCGGATTCCCAGATATCAGTTACGTGGGCTGGAGGCACCCAACCACTGCCATGGCCATGGCCAACACTGCTAACGATGGCTAGAACACTCATTGAAGGCCAAACTGTGTGCCCGAAAAAATAAGTGGATAGCAGCCGAAAAAAATTTGCATACAACACACAAACGAGACGAGACGAGACGAAACGGTATGGGAGATGCTGACCACAGTGGCTCCTTTTGGCAGCGCAGCCAGATGGGGCAGCAGATTCCGATAGAGATGGAGACGGAGATGGAGGTGAAGCGTTGATGGGCAGCCTTGGCTACCGGCTACCGTTTTGCCTTTTGCGGTTTGCTTTTGGGCTTTGTGGGTTGTGTGGATTGTGCTATTGGGGTCTGGGTATGTCTGGCCACCCCACTGACTGCTGGATGGAGGCTAGCTAGCAGCCTGCAGCCTGCAGCCTTCAGCCTTCAGCCGAGACAAACAATCTCCGCCTGTTCTATGTATGCGCTTCTTGGAAAGATCACTTGAAGCTGCTTTCTGAGCTGATTGTGCTGGGACTCCAGCACTCCTCTCGGCCCACGGTTGCTTCAACATGTTTGAGACTCTACTTGAACATATGATTTCCCTGTCCAAAGCACAGTCAAAAGGAAAATGGGGGGGCAGAGAGGTTTGCCCGAACGGTTTTCAGTTACTTTCTGTCATTGCAGGTTCGTTACTGTCACTCACTGACGGATGAGGAGCGCAAGGAGCTGCGGCTCTTCTCCACGCAGCGCAAGCGTGATGCCCTCGGACGCGGCAACGTCCGACAGCTGATGAGTGCCCGGCCATGCGACGGCGTAAGTATACCCTGCCGCCCCACATACAACCCAGTCCGTTTCTGATCCCCCAAACCCCCTCCCGCCCAAAAACTTGCAGTGCGACGAACTAATCTCCACGGGCGACATTGCTGTATTCGCAACGCGCCTGGGCCCCAATGCCAGCTGGCATCCGGCCTGCTTCACGTGCTGCATCTGCCGCGAACTGCTGGTGGATCTCATCTACTTCCATCGCGACGGACGCATGTACTGCGGCCGCCACCACGCGGAGACCCTCAAGCCACGCTGCTCGGCCTGCGATGAGGTAAGTCCCCGAAACCTTTTACTCTCCAAGAGAGAGAGAGGATTATCCTTTCTTTATCGTAGATCATTCTGGCCGACGAGTGCACGGAGGCCGAGGGACGGGCCTGGCACATGAATCACTTCGCCTGCCACGAGTGCGACAAGCAGCTGGGCGGCCAGCGGTACATCATGCGGGAGGGCAAGCCCTACTGCCTCCACTGCTTCGATGCGATGTTTGCGGAGTACTGCGACTACTGTGGAGAGGCCATCGGCGTGGATCAGGGCCAGATGAGCCACGACGGCCAGCACTGGCATGCCACCGACGAGTGCTTCTCGTGCAACACGTGCCGCTGCTCGCTGCTCGGACGCGCCTTCCTGCCCCGCCGTGGAGCCATCTACTGCTCCATTGCCTGCAGCAAGGGGGAACCTCCCACGCCATCCGACAGCTCCGGCACCGGCATGTACACCACCCCCACACCGCCCACGCAGCGGGTGCGCCCCCAGACGCGCATCACCAGCAGCCACGCCTCCAGCTCGCCGCCCATGTCGCCGCAGCAACAGCAGCAGCACCAGGCGAGCTTCAACCAGGCCATGTACCACCTCCAGAGCCAGCAGATGGAGGCGGCAGGCGGTCCAGTGGCTGGAGGCGGCGGCGGTGGCAGTTTGCTCGGCCTGGGCGGGGAGCTGTCCTTGCTGGAGCAGGCCAAGCAGAGCCAGAGCTACGCCACCTCCGACTCGGATGCGGGCGTGGTGAAGGATCTGGAGCACTGCAGGGTGGTGGGTCATGTCGGAGGCGGCGACTTTACCGACTTCTCCGGTGGTCGCGCCTCCAGCACCTCGCAGAACATGTCGCCCCTGAACTCGCCCGGGGACTTCCAGCCGCACCTGATGCCCAAGCCCATGGAGCTGCAGCGCGACGGCGTCTACAACTTCAACGAGATGTCCTCGAATCTGGACGCGGCCTGGCCCGCCAAGCCGCCGCTGGGTGCCACCCACAGCTACCAGCTGCAGCGGCAGCTGATGGAGAATCCGCACACCTCCAGCTTGCCCGAGCTGGCGGGGAAGGGTCCAATGCTGCAGCACCAGATGGCGGCCCACTTTGGGCAGCAGCCGACGCTTCATTCCTCCGCGCAGCAGTTCCAGCACGAGTACGCGGACATCCTGCATCCTCCGCTGCCACCCTGCGAGAGGGGTGCAGGTGGAGAGGTGCCCGAGCTGCCCACGCCCAACCTGAGCGTGGCCTCTACGGCGCTGCCACCCGAGCTCATGGGCTCGCCCACACACTCTGCCGGTGATCGCTCGCTGAACACGCCCCTCTCGACGCACTCGGCCACGCATGCGCCCACGCATCCCGTGTCCATTCTCAGTGGGGCATCCTCTTCGTCGCCGATGAGCGGGGAACCCGCTAAGAAGAAGGGCGTCCGCTTCGAGGGAATCCCAGACACATTGCCCCGCTCCCGCAGCTACTCCGGCAATGGAGCTGGCACGAGCGGCGGCGGCGACAAGGAGCGCGATCGGGACAGAGAGAGGGACAGAGACAGAGACAAGGAGAGGGATAAGGATCGCCATGGGCCAGGACATTCCTCGAGGCGTAGACGCCGCCGCAAGTCCACCACCTCCACCTCTTCCACGTCTGGACACCACCATCGCAGTGGCAGCGGCCATCGTTCGCACTCCACCAGCCGAGCAGACACCTATGCGCCCGCCCAGCCGTTGTCCTCCTCCTACCAGAGCCCGCCCTCCGTTCTGCAGGCGGACAGCGAGACAGCCCACAAGTCACCGCGCCAGCCGAGGGAACGGGAGCGCGAGGAGTCCGCGGAGGAGTCGGACGTGTGCTCCACGTGCAGCTCGAGCTCCTCCAGCTCCGAGGACTACACGATGATGTACCAGCTGCCGCAGCGGCGGCACTACGGCGGCGTGCGCGTCAGCTACGTGCCCAACGATGCGCTGGCCTACGATCGGAAGAGGAAGCCCGCGGAGCTGGCCAACGACAAGGACAAGAACTGCATCATCTCGTGATGCTGCCGACCCGCACCCGAGGGCATTTTAATTAGAGCTGATTGCCGAGGAGCGGGCGCAGGCGCTGGCGCAACAGAGAGCAGGCGAAGCATGGCAAGGGGGGGTTATTAATGAGGCGCCCTGGGCACTCCACTCCTATTCGACGCTAACGAAGTAGCCACAGAAACTGCGAGGGATCATCAATTGTCCGCATTGAGACCAGAATGGAAAGGAATGGAAAGGAATGGAATGTAATCGAGGAAAGAACTCAAGAAAGCAAAGTAAAGTTCAACTTGACATTAAGGCGCCTAGTTAGGGAGAAACACACACACACACACACACACACATATGCAACTCTATCAGAGGACGAAACCATACAATAAGAGCCAGCCAAGTGGGCTCAACACTGTTCCAAATACACATCCCTAGTTAAGCTACAAAAGATCAACTTGCAAAACTATTTTTATACGCGATAGAGTGAAGATATTTTAGAGATATTTAAAACTATTTATACGACGGACAATTAAGAGAGAGATAAGAGAGATACATTTATGCATATAATTTAATTGTATTTATTGCAACCACTACATAAATATATCTACAGGATGCCAGAGAGATCTGTGGCATCCGGGCTAATGATATATTTTAAATTAATTCTAGCTTAAGCCAGTAAATTGTATTACATTCTCTTGAATAAAAAGAGTGCAAAGAAGGTATGTGCAGACTGTATGTGCAACAAATGGAATCTGTCCCCTCTGTAGGGTCAGTCCACTCAGCGCTCTGCGTTCTTGGCTAGGCAGTCGAAGACGACCCGCTACTTGCATCTGTAATTATGCATCGGATAATGAATACAAATTATGCATGTCGGGCATTTGCATTTGCATGCCGCACCACCAGGGGCGGGCAACACGAAAATTAAAATCGAAACTACTCTTACAACTGGCAGGCAGAGCCAGAGTTCTGCCTGCTAATAAGTTGATGGCAAATTATGGCAGACTCCGATCTGAGAGCTGGTAGCTGAGCTGGGGCAGCTCAGGGATGGCATAGGGACGACAACAACGTTGCAAGACCCTGCTTGCAGACCATTGAGGTACGAGCAATCACATGCATGCAACGCTTGCTGCAGGGCGTAATTAGCCAAGCTGGGTAGAAAGAGTGGTGGGGGGCAGCCGAACTGTTCAGGAATGCTGAGTCGACTCCTCCTCCTCCTGCCGCTGCTGCTGCTGCTTGCCTGTTTTTGGATTCCTGGTTTGCTGGTTAGAATCAACAAAGTCGCGACGCATCGCGGCTACACCATCCATCCCATCCCATGGCGTTGAGTTGAGTTGAGCCATGTTTGCTGCCGCTTCTGTGGGGAGTCAACAGAATCATTGGCAGCTGTGTAATTTGTGGTAATGCTCCCAACTATGTATGTACTATATGTATGTCCAGTGTGTCGCCAGGTCCGGCTAATGGCCACTTAATAATGCTCTCACTCCGCAGATGCCGCCTGCCGCATGCCACCTGCATGGATCGGGACAGAGCGATGCGACCAAGCGATAAGCGAACGAAATTGTCTGCGTCTGGCATTGATAAGCCAAATGACTTTGGCACACAACGAGGGCATGGGGGGTGGGAGCAGAAACAAGGGTGCCACAGACCCACTCGTACACCCACTCGCACTCCCATCTGGATGCTGGACAGCAGCAGCAGCAGCAGCCAAGGGCAAGGACTCAGCCATCTCCGGGCCACGCAACTTTTGCAATTGTAATTTCGTAAAGTTTCAACCCGGCTCAGGCTGCTGTCTGTGGCTGTAGAGGGGGGGATGGCGGGCAAATGCATTTGCCAGATAGATTTTTGTTGTTAGATGCCATTTTTCGTTATAATCCAGCGACGGGCAGCAGACAATGGGGGGGAGAGCTTTCACTGCTTTCACTCGATGTGCGTGTGCGCCTTTGTGGTGCTTTATTGCATGTCATTTCCGTTGCCGGTGCCCGGTGCCCGTATCCAGTCCTGCGGCACACTTCCGATGATTGGTATGCTCCTGTAGTCTGGCTGGCATCCTGGCATGGGGAATGGGAATAGCAATGCCAATGCCAATGCAGTGCAGCCATTATGTTTATCCTGCCACACACATATCCAACACACACACACACACACACGACAATCGTACACTTGTACATCAGATATGGCAGAATTTATATTCGCATTTCCGACGCTCATTTTTATCATGACCGAAAAGTGGCGAGTCCGAAACCACACACAGGGCACAGGGCACACACGAGCAGCAGCAGCAGCATCCCCGAACCGAACAAATTGTAATGTGCAGCTGCCAGAGTACTTATTTGTGGCCATAGTCAGAGTGGGGGGGTACTGGGCAGTGGCGCTGGCCTTCAGGCGAGCATGGCGGACTTTTATTGTGACCTGCGACAATCTGCTGCTGGCATTTCTGGCTGCGCTTTTCCATTCGATTGTTTTATGCGTTTACAATGCGCTTTCCTTTCTGCTGATTTTACTGTGGAAAAACAAAAGCCCAGATATTAAAGTTGCCTTTGGAAGCAATATGTAGACACCGATTATAATTACCGGCAGTTGATAGTACGACTATTTTCTGATTTTGAAACTGTATGGCATACTTTTAGGCTTCCGAAATCAAGCATCAAAACTATTTATTTAATAAATTTAAATCCACTGCAACACAATATTGCCATTTTCGCCATTTTCGATTGGTTGAAAATACACGAAAATTGACAGCAAAATTTATGATGTCTGACCAAAAGCCAAGGCGAAAAAAAATATGTGCAGCATAAATAACTGAAACTGAGGTCAATTTTGCAGAATTTCATAACCGAAAATGTTATTAACTCCAGCGGAATAAAATGAATGAAATGAGAGAAACCTGTTTAATTTATGTTACCAATGGCTAGCTTATTATTGCAGCAATATTCCCGCAACCATCACACCCCCCCTCATTGATGTTTCCACAGGGCTGGGGGACTAATGGCGCAGCTTTCAGCAATTGTTTACTGGCCCATTAATTAATACAAATATAAATTGGCAATATGAGTGCGTGCTGGCCCACGTACGAGTACACACACACACGTACGGAAAAACAATGAATCAAGTGTAGGCCCGGATACGGATCCGAACCCGTGTCCGTGTCCAGGCCAGGGGCTTGGTCGGACAAAGCGCATAAATAACCACGAAATGGCCGAGCAAAAACAGAGCAGAAAAAAAAATGTATGTATATATGTATGTATTTACACCCTTCGCCTGGGACGTTTAATTAATTTTTAGCGTGTTTCGCAGACGTCGCGACGGACAGGGGGCCTCGAAAAACAGGCTGGAAAAAAAGAAACAATTATTAATATTCGCCAGGGTCGAACCCCACACACGTTCACACGTTCCCCGCCATTAAAGGGGATACATCATCATAACTAATAATAATAATCATGTGCCGGGCACGGGCACGAGCGCAGGCCCTCCCACAGCAGGACTTTTGGCTTAAAGAGATAGCAAAAGTCAGAGAGTGTCGAATTAAATTAAGCATTATTGATGGGGGGGACAAGACGAAGCTCTGGCCGGGCCAGTCGCCTGCTCTCAAGGCAACTGTTACCGTCTGGTATTTATCGCATCATATTCTGTGCATTAGCCGGGACCATGCCACACCAGCCCTACAGAGGCAGCTGGAAGAAGAGCTACAGTGTGCCAAGAACATGGGGAAATGGCTGCCACAGCTGCGACTCCTAAGGCTCAGTCACTGCTGTCGCTCTTGAACCACTGTGCAACTTCGTGCAAGGCATACCAATATCGCACCAGAATCATTAGCCGCTGGTGCGTTGGTGCGTTGGTCTTTGTCTAATGTGCAAATCTAATTAAAGCTGCACTGGCCATGGACTAATAGCCCACGGAGTGGGTAGTGCGGGGGGGCAGTTGTTTTGGTCAGTTGTAGCCACTGTCCACACAATAAATGCCACAAATAATCATAAAACTAATGCCACAGACGTTCGCAGGCTTCTTCTGCTCCGTCCTGCTGCTACTGTTCCATGAGAACTGCTGGCCAAAAACCAGACACTGACTCTACGACTGACTTTGCTCTGTGCATTACACTGTTGCGTATTTATTATAGTTATATTTTTCCTTTTTACTCGCCGGTTGGCTGCTTCATCCTTGTATCTTGTATCTTGTATCTTCCTTGTATCTGTATCCTTTTCGGCTGTGGCTTGGCTTGGCTTGGGTTGGCTTCATATTTCATTATGAATTTATGATCGGCGGTGCTTGTAATGTGTTTATTGGCCAAGCTCTGGCTTTGCCTCTGCAACATGTTTATGCGCAGAGTCTTTTGGGCTAGCTTTAATGTGTAACAAAAACATATGTTCATACTCCTATCAATAGCGATTGTTTTGGGCAGCTTCAAGCGTCGGTAAGGGGACTTTTAATTAAGTCGGGACTTCCGCTTCCGATTCAGTGCTTCGGTGGCCTAAGTAGCTTCGCACAACGAACCATCTAAATAATTAAAATATGCAAATGCCGTCTAATCCGGCCAAGCGACACGTACACGCAGACAAAACAAAACGGAACCGAATAGAACTGAGCCGAGTAGACTTGGGTACTATTATATAGGAGCTACAACTGGCACTGTGGGGACAGTCCTCCAACCGTACCAGCGATTTGCTTAAATTATTCATAGCTATGCAGTTGGCCTTTGGGTGGAGTGTGGGCGGGTATAGGGATTGCGGAGTAAGGTAGTAAATTAAATAAATGACTCGCCGTGAAAGTTTCAACGATCTATGCCGAAACGTTGTGCAGCAATTAATTCCTTGGACTGCTACTACTGCTCCCCCATCGACACTCCAATATATGCTACACTTTTTTTGCTGTCCAATCCCTGGCATTCATTCCCCCCCTTTCCCCTTTCTGACGACTCGTCTGGCTAAAATATTCAATTATCGAAGTGGTGGATGCATAGGCTCTCTGCTCTGGCCAGAACTTTGCATCGTTTTGCTTAATTGTAAAAGTTTTATGTGAGAGGCCATTTTTTAAAGCCCCCGGAAATTTTATTCGTGTTTTTTACAACTTTTTGCTTTACCGGAATGTTGGTTTCCGTTTCAGTTCTGTTATTGTCAGAGTGAGAGAGAGAGAGAGGGGAAAAACATAATTTTTAATTTCGTGTGCAGCGCATTTTTATTGGTTTTTAATTTCGTTGCTTCAGACATGGTTCGCCTTGTCCGGGCTTGTCCTTCGCCAGGGAATGTAAACAGCATCCTTAGGACAGGAGCTATCTACGGGCCAAAAGCAAGAAATGTTCTCCACGCTTCGTTCTTCGTTCTAGTGGCCCATTGGGTTGTCATAAAGCGTTAGCGTTCCCCAACGATATCATCATCATTGGCGTGCCTGTCCGCCCACCCACATTTGCCAAGGAGCCAGGTTGGGGGCGCCGAGTCGAGTCCTTCCCGCTGCGTGCAAATATGCTTTGTCTATAGCTTTCGTTTTAATTCTTTTTCTGCTCGTCTTGCTTTTCCTTTTCCCTTTGCTGTTGCCGCTGCCGTTGCTGTTGCTGTTACTTTTTCATTACTTTGGCTTAAAATTGATATGGAACTTTTTGCTGGCACTCTGGAGAGGGAGAGCCAGACCCGTGCCATCAATACGCTTCATGTTTATTTTACCAAACACACACACGCACACATACATATGTACACCGCACTCCATCGAGCTGTCTGTCTGGGTCTGCTCATGCGATTGTGGCCAGTTGTTTGGTCGTTGTCGTTGCTTTCATGGGTTTTTAATTACGGCAAGAATAACAATATCATGTGGTCTCTGAGCTAGCCAAACTCTCTCTCTCTCTCTCTCTCTATCTGGGCAACTTTAAATTCACTTGCAACTGGTTTGTCGTTTGCAACCAATCTAAATCATAAATAACATGTAAATTCCAAAAGAAAATATAAATCAAATTTTATTTGCATCTCCCTTACGATCTAGCCAGAACTCCCTCTCCCTCTTGGGAGGGTTGGCATAATTTGATTGCTGAATCGTTTATCTGTAAACTTTATTATCGCAGGCAGCAGTCAGGCAGGCAGCATCATCCGCAGCAGACGAAGTCCACAGACATTCTCTTGGATTTGACTCATTGTCGGAATAGCTGAAATATCGCTTAAATATTTGATGTATCATGCATATGCCATGAGCTGTCCCCCACGCCACACACACCCAAAGGTAAGCCCAAGAAAAAACAACCACTCAACGCAACATCAAAAAAAAAAAGAAAAAGACGAGAAAAATGTAAAGCAAACATTGCGCATACGCCGCGCGGAACCCGCAGGCGGCAAAGCAACACTTGCTGCCAGACGCACCCCTGTCTTCCCATTTTTGGCAGGTGGCATGGCACTACGCTAAAGCGCTAAACGTTGTTTGCCATTCGGATATCGGGAGTTATAAAGCATAAAATCAGTGCCAGCCACCGCCAGGCGATGATGAGGATAACGAGGATGAGGAGCAGGAGGGACTCGCAAGCGTCGAAGCGAAGGTAAGAGACTTGGCGGCATATTTAAATGTGGCTGCGGGGCAGACACTGGAGTAGGGCGGCGGCGAGGATGGAATGGGGCAGATGGGGTTGCAACTGGGGCCCCTGAATTCAGTGTTTGCCATTCGGTTACAGACAGACCCCGGCAGACAGTGAGAAATGTGGAAAATGTCTCCACTCTTCAGCTCACACTTCGGGCTGCTTCGTTGTGTTTGGAATTTTCGGTTAACAGGAATTTCGCATTTCCAGCGATAATCAAAATCTCGATCAAGTTCTAGGCCTGCCCCCAGGGTGGTGGGTGGAAATGGCCTCGGCTCCACTTGGCTGGTAGTTCAACTTAAAGTTTTGGGGCAAATTAATACCCACAACAAATGGCATTTTCACTCTGTCTCGCCTTCTTGCCATCTTAGGGTAGAGACCGCAGGAGGCTTTTGCTCTTAATTTTCCGCTTGTGGTTTTTTATTTTTGTAATTTTCTACTTTGTGGCTGCAACAGAGGAAGACGAAGAGATGGAGAAAGAGACTCCACTCTGTTGTGTAATTATCTGCTTATGCTTTTGCTCTTTCGCTCGCTCTTTTATGCCTTTTGTGACTGTCATTATGTTGCCTTTGCCCGCTGCTGTCCTCTTTCTGGCATATAAAGTTGTCCGCTGTTTTGACATTTTCGAGAAAAGCTGCTTAGGCGACAGTCGGCTCCAACTCCAACTGCAGCTCTGGCTCGAGCTCCCGTCAACTCCCAACCTGGGCAGCCGGAAATTGCATGGAACCGGAAGTAATTGGCAATGGCATAAGAGGCCATACCCAGGAGCGCAGTGGGTTGTTGGGGGTGCACGGCCAAAAACCTCTCCCTAATTTGGTCTTGTAATTAGCAAAACTGTAATGACCTCCAACGTGCTGCTCGCAGCCTCAGAAACTAATCGAAACTGTGGTCACAGAGGAGCCCGAGTAGGGACAGGAGCAGGAGCAGGAACAGGGACAGGCTCTTGGCTTTCCATTTGAGTTGCACTTCAATTACTTGTTTCAATGCCGCAATTACCATTCATTTGGCCAAACATAATGTGTCCTTGTCAACGCTGACTGCTCTGTTGCTGGCTTCTGTTCCTGTTCCTGCTGCTGCTCCTTCTCTGACGCCTGCTCTGTGCGGCCTGGAAGATGCCTTGTTGTTTGCACCTTTGCTTTGGCAATTTACACATGGCAATGGCACTAATAAATCAAAAGTGAAAATGCAAATATTTTGCAGGCAGAGTGCCCAGACAACAACAACCAAGCAAGTGCTAGAGCCAGACAAACATCCTGCAGAAGGCAGACGCCATGCAGCTTGGGACGAAGGGTTTTGCAGGGGCCAAGGGCTGGCGATTTATTGCAGGTGACTGGTGGAGTCTGCAGTGCAGTGGGGCAGGACAGAAAGAGCGACAGAGAGAGAGAGAGAGAGAGAGAGCGAGGAACTCCCACACAGAGTCATCAATAAATAATTGGAAAATGAATGCTTTGCTTATGAGAGATTTTGCAAATGACCCAACAGACAATGGATGGAATATTCAATGGCATTTCAAACGGGCTGAAACTCTAAGCATACTAGACATACACACACACACACACAGCCGGATTGATGGAGTGGAACTTCCGGCACTTAAAGTTGAATTTAAGCCCCGATCTAAGTGTGTGTTAAGCCTCAACTTAACCGTAACCCAAACCTCGAATTCGAACCCGCATCAAATGCAAATTCAAATGAAATTCCACTCTGGCAACCGCAAACAGCCAACAAAGTTCAGCGCCACACCAAATGCCACAATTAAAATGAAAATTAACAGCAAAAGCAAACTGTCAATACAACTGTCACTTCTGACAGCCAGTTGACAATTGCAAATGAGGATACTCCACATCCATCTATGCCAGGATACAGGACACAGTACACGGTACACAGTACCATGGACATGTTCATGGAGAGAACCCAACGAAGCCACTTGGCTGTGTGGAGGGCTTCGAAATAAACTCATTATAGCAATTTATGCAAACGGCCCCAACCGCAATTGAAAATCCATTTAAAATTGAAAATGCCACCAAAAATTGTGTGTGTCCTTTGCCATGTTTGTGGCCCTGGGTGTCTGCGTGTTGTGTTTTTACGGAGCTGCCTCCATTGATGCATATGAATTCAATTATAAAACAACGTCACCTCTCTGAGGGGTCTGTCTGTGGCAGGGGCAGAGGCTGCTGTTGGTCCTCTAATGAAACCATTTTTTTTGTGCCAAAACAAAAGCAAAAGCCAGGACAGAACTTGTTAATTTTATGCAGCACAACAATTGAGGAGACACACAGGATACGCTACTGTCTGCCACATTTACATTTCCGTTTCTGGGCATTTGCATATTCGCTGCATAAAAATCAAAGGATCCACCGGGCAGCAGCAGCGAAGAAACTACGAGTATGCTGGGCAAAAAAGCGAAAGCCTAAAGGAAGTTCACATTTCTGCCAGGACATTGCTGGCGGTTGGAGGCGTATCGCATAGGCGTTAAGTTCACCTGCCACCAAATGGCGGGGCAGCAGCAGGCAACATAAATAACAGCAGACTGAGCTACACACAGCAGAACATAGCAGAAAAGGCGTTCGCTTGGCGGTGGCAAGTCAACTGGTCCCCACTTGACACCTCATAATAAAATTAAGTATACGCCACTCGAGCCGAACGATAGGAGGAACTGTTGTCCTTAGTGCGGGTCCTGCTCCACTGTTATTTATGCGCTCGGCAGGACACCGAGCAGCGGCACAGCGTGCAGTCCGGGGGGGTTCTTCAGCTTTCCTCGGGACTTTTGAAGTTTATTTGCGTATTCCGCCGCTCATTTCAATTTTCCAAGCGCGCCCTTCGCTGTTGTTTTCCTGCTGTTTTACCCCCTCTGTTTTAGTTGTTTTCCTTTGTTGGAACAGTCGGCTGGCTGCATGCCTCTGGCCATTGTTTAACTAGTTGGTGTCAGTTATAATGAATTTTAAATTAAGTTGTTATTGCTGTTCGGCTGGCATTAAACGATCCAACTGCTGCTGCTGCTACTGCTACTCCTGGCCATGCTGCTGATGTTTCTGCTGTTCAGCCAGAAGCCGTTTATTTGCATAATAAAGGACATGACTAATGTTAATTAAATTGCAGCAGACAACGACCAGACTAGGTTTTTGGGCATTTTAATTAAATGCGCAAGAAGGAAAATATGCAAATGCAAAAATTCGATTGGCCAGCCTCAAAGTATTCAAAGGTTTTTACGCACGTAAATAAAACGAAAGAGCAGCAGAAAATTATGCCAGGGCAAAAGCAGGTATTTCATGCCTGAAATAATTGTAAAGCAATTATTTAAATGTCATTCGTAATGCTGCCACAATGTGTGTTTATAATTGCTATTAGATAAACCGAAATCAATGCAAAATATATATAAATAGAATAACACATGCCACTCTTTCCCTCTTTTTACTCTTTCACCCTTTTGGGAACTTGGCATGGGATTAAAAATTCATCAACAAATTCAATTTCAGCAACGCCTGACTTCCGAGTAATTTAACCAGCACAAAGCCCGTTATTAGAGTGAATTCCACTTTGATGTTTACCAATCAAGCTGCCTCTTATTTATGTACAATTTAATTCTATATTTGTACCACAAAACTGAGCTCTGACATTCGTTTAAGTTGCAAAAACAAAACGGAAAACTCTCCACATTCGTATTTGACTTTATATCAACGATAACATTTTGCTTTAATCTACAATCTATTTTGTGTAACAATCTGCGAAGCCAATTCAAAGCATTTTCCTGCTTTACATGCCACGAGGACACAGAAGCCAGTAGCCGGTAGCCAGTAGTCAGGAGCCAAGAGCCAGGGTTGTGATTCCATGCCAGCACTACGATTGCAAACAGACCGATTAAATCCTTTCAAACGACAAGCATATGCAAATGGCAAAAAGCTAGGGACCGACAGCATCGCACCGCCAGCAACAACTACAGAAACAACTTTTTGCATTACTCAGATTGCTGTGACTGTGCAAAAGTGTAAGGGGGTAGGGTGGTAGGGGTTTCTAAAGGGATTCCGTGGTATGCAAAACTCTCTGGTCTTTCAGCTCATTTATTGGTGACGCCACGCAGCATAGTGAAGTAGGAGTAGGACGCATTCAACAGACTCTGAAACATGGCCAAAGTCATGGGGTAAACGTTGCCAACTTTTATCTGAAAGATGAAATGGAGCGTACAGCCCGACGGATTAGAAACATAGAGTCCCAAATGAAATGAAATGCAACGCATTCATGCCGTCCATGCCACCCACCTCCAATGGACATTGCGTTTGCATCAAGAAGATCAAGAGAGTTTTGCGAAAACGAATGCTACCCTCATACCAGGGCACATTATAGACGGCCTCTGCCACCAGAGTGTTCTAGAAGCATTCCAGAAATTAGTCAGAGCAGAGCAAAACAGAGCTGGAATGCCATACCTCAATGACCAAGTCGTTGGCCCTGTTATAGTAGGTATACAGCACATAGACCATGGTGAGGATGTACATGACGATCGAGATTATTTGTGTGGGTGAAGTTATCTGAAAGGAGACAGCATAATGTTCCGATAAAGCTCAAAGCCTGTTTCACTTTCTTACTATATTCAGGCAGAAGAGTAGAGAGCTGATGATGGAGCCGAAGATGATTGCTTCGATGGCCACAATGAGGCTTACCAAGTCCTTGAAGTTTTTCACATAGCTGAAAATGAAAATGAGAGAGAGAGAGAGGGAGACAATGCGATGCTCAAACCCGACCAATAAGGTGCAACCAGGGCTCAGACTCACCCCATTACTGCCATGTGAAAGCGAATGCAGGCGGTCAGCATTTGATATCTTTCCCCAGCGTCCTGCCCCTGGCCACCAATCAGCGACAATTTGTGCACCAGAATACGCAGCATGGCCCTGCCGAAGAGGGCAAAACCGGCAAAGACACTGACAAAGGGCATGTACAGGGCGGACAGCAGCAGGGGCGTTGGTATCTGCAGCAAGTAGGCGATTTCATAGACTGGCGTGCGGGTCATGTCCAGCAGCGGAAGAGCCACGCCAAAGGGATGAGCTGAATGGGAGTGGAAGGAGAGTCCATATGAGGTAAGGATTTCTCTGACCAACTCCACTCACCTCGCTCCTCTTTGAAGAGCGTGAAGACCAGGGCCCCAACAATGTCCAGGAAGGAGGCACTCAAATTGAAGACCGCCAGGCGATGGGCTTCCCGCTCCGCCTCCAGCAGGATGGCTCGACAATACTCGTCGCCGGAATCGTGTATCCACCGATAGAGTCTGTGCAGCTCCTCCAGAAATACCTCAAACTGGTGGTGTTTGATTATGACCAGCCACGTCCGCATCAGGGCATTGAAAATGGCAGCAAAAAAGAACAGATTGAGTATGAAAGCGGGCAGGTCGCCCCACATGCGAAGCAGATAGAAGAACTGCATCAGATTCATGGCGCACACGGGCAGGACAAAGGCAAACTTGCGCCAATTGGTGGCCGGAGTGGGATACAGCACGGCCACGTATCTCCAAATCCTCACGTTGATCCCCACCAAACCAATGTCATCGATTGTCGTTGCCATTTTCTCCCACTTATCCTTGTGCTCCTCCACTCTGTCAGATCCACTTTGAACTGTGCCGCAAAGTGCTGGGCAAATGTCTTTTATTCTTCTCGCCAATCGACGCCCTCGAAGGGTGGCAATTTGCGGTGGTTGGTTGGGTACGATGTCGAATAGGAGGAATGGGCACTAAAGCCATTTAGCAATTGTCATTGCGTAGTCTATAATTTAGCTAATGGCCTAATGATGAGTGTGATCTAAGTGACGTGGGATTGCGTTGGTGCCAGTGCCACGGCCCGTGGCTGATTGAAAAGCCTCCCCAGGAAAATTAGCATGTGACATTTCTATATTTAAGTAAGTCATGTAATTTACACTAAGGAAACAAGTTAGAAAATACTTCAAAGTTACATTATATATCCATGTATTTAAAGGCTATTTTAAATAGCTAAAATTCCCGTTTAGAGTCCTCTGTTGGAATACAGAAAGTAATTTAAAAAAGCTATGCCTTAATTTTCAATTAGCTCCCAAACCACTCCCATTTCTTTGGGCAAAACGAATGAAATGCCTTTCCATTTGTATAATTTGATACCCCATTTGATAGCGGCTTTCCCAAACGTTATCTTTTCCTTAGCAGTCAACCCGTCAGATAATTTGCCGGAATTCTTTTCAACAGGTTTCGAATGAATTAAAGTTGTTTTTCTGCCACATGCAAATTCCCATTTAATTTGGCTATCGATTTTCCTGAGCCCCTGCCAAAACCTTCACTCTTACTCTAGAAAAAAGGTCTGCCATGTTGTCTCTGTCGCACAGCCAGTCAAAAAGCTAACGGGCTGCTAACGCTGGAGGAGGAGAGCTTGGACAGGACGGCACAGGTTGGTTGGCAATCTGAAGCGATAGCTGGGATGACTTATTAAACAATAAAACCGGATTATCCGTAAACAACTGGGCAAACATGCCAGAGCCAAATATTTTGGCCAGGCCGCTTATCATGCATACGGCCGAATGTCCAGCAGAAAGTGCGGCATATAGCAACCAGGGAAAGCCTTTCCGAACAGACAGCCAGAACTTTCTCGTAGCACAGACAAAAAATACAATATAAAAATCAACAAGCGCCCTGGCAAAACATAATTCAGCAACAATGCTGGCTCAGCAAATATGGCAAAGGAATTAAAATGGGAACAGGGAACAGAGCAAGGGCAAGCCAGAAAGGAGTCCACTGCCAATGCCAATGCCACAGCCACAGCCAATGCCAAGCCCATAAAGGCACACATTATGGCCACTTAACCGCGCGTTATGCCGCAAAAAGGCAAAAGGGACAAAGCCAAACGGCAAAGAAGGTTCGGCTCGGATGGCGTATGCGCAATATTTTGTGCAAACATGCCCAAGGGGGGCGGTCTGGCCAGACCGGGGGTAAGCGAGGAGTGTCCGAGGGTGGACAAATATGCAATGTCAGTTACAGCTGCCCCATTTGGTTGCTCATACGCAGCGTTGCACATAAATCAAAGGGGGCAGTAAGGTCTTTTGTGCATTGCCTGCACTGCAAGAAAATCTATCCAGAAAATATGGGAGGTTCTCTACTAAATATCCACATCCGAAACACAATTTATTTAAAATTAAAATGCTAAACAGGGCCAATGAGCACATTTAATTATTACATTTCAGAGCAGATCTTAGTCCAGGGCAGAAGTCTCCACAGAGGGACATCAAAGTGAAAAGTGCTGGTCGAAGCTCAGACTGTGGCCAGCCTGTTAACCCCATAAACCACACGATGACATTAATTACGGGCTCCAGACAGGACGAAGGACTCGAACACTCGCATTGAGAGTGGACGTGCCTGGCCACAGCATAGAAAACAATCAAAGGGGGGCGGCGGCGACGGCGGCGACCCGACCGTATCCCTCTTTGCTTGTATAAAATTAATATCAAGTAATTAACAGCAGCGGCAAGTTCCATGTGGATGTGATTTAAACCAGGCAAGGAGAGCCATCAGCTCCGCCATCTCACCTCCTTCCACTTTTACTTCCACTCCAGGGAGGCGGCACTCAATTGTGTGGGCGTGTCAATATTGGCTTTGCCACATTCCCATTGCCATTATTTACCCCCATATCGCACCCACTCGTTCTTCTTGGCCGTTTTAAGCAGCTTTCTGCCAATTAGGCAGCTCACTAAGCTGAGCCGAGAATTGGCCTTTAAAGTGCGGAATTGCTTGGCCCAAAGCCGAGTCGAGTCGTTCGCTTTATTGTTTTGGGATCTGCAATGGAATGGATTTCCTGCATCAGCTGGTTCAGCTTCTCGTTCTTGGCCCTGACTACAGAAGCATAGCTAAGGCGACTTAGTTTTTGTTAACGATTTGCAAACATGTGTGTCACAGCGGCCACCGAGCCACCCCCACAGTGAGCCACAAAAGCGGAATACGCTTTGATGGCATCGAAACGAGGCATGCGAGTTCTCTCTCTGGGTTTGGCTATGGCTGTGGCTATGCCGTCATTCCCTGACTGGCTTATGTGGGATGTGTGGCATGAGTAAGCCGGCCTAGGAAAATGAGAAACGTTTGTTTGCGGATAATAAAGTACATAACTCGAAGGAATGTACAAACATTGGATACAATCGAAATATTACGAATGAGGAAATGAGAAAATATTCTTTAAGTCGTCAATCGATGGGAACTCCAGCGAGCAGATGAATAATGCAATCGTACATATATGCATTAATAAGGCGATTGAGGTCGAACTTTTACAAATATAGATTGATCTCTGGCTGCAAGCTTTCACTTATCTTACAAGGTTTCGGGTGCGATTCTGTTGCATGAACTTCACGATGCGTTTCGAAACAAGACTACAGAAATCTGTAAAATGATAATGGACAATTAATTCCAGATATACAAAATCCTCGTAATGTCTGAACACGTTTTCTCTTAAGTACTTTTGACATACATACATACATTTACGAGGCTCTTACCATTCTTTAAAGAAAGTAGATTAAGAGTTTAGTGGACTGCATCTTAGTTCTATCAGCAAACTCTAATCTATATTTATTTCAAATGAAAATGAATATCATCTCTGGTAATTTATTCGCTGATAAGATATGAGTAAGCATCTGACAGACGCACATGAAATCTTTTATCTCAAAATGCGGCCACGAAGGCCATGTCACTGCAAGTGTTCCCCCCCCACGGGTATTTCCTCCGACTGCAAGTACTTATTACGAATCTGCGCCGTTCCACGCCAAAGCCGTTTCTAACGCGTATAAGTCATGGGTACACACATCTCTATAAATGGATTACAGCCCAAGTTCTTTTATCTCGCAGTGGGATGCAAAAAATTAAGTTTTTATTAAGTCAATTTAATGACCCGAGTCCATTGCTTGTGGGGTGTGGGAGGCAGGAAACTAAGCCTAGAGTCTGTGGAACATAAAGAGGAATTATCGTACGTACTAAAAGGCTACTTTGGTGCTTGATTGTGCGCTGACAGAGATTCAATCCGGCTAGGGACTCGGCAGATTGCACCCCACCTGGGTCACCACCTTGGCGGCCACGTCGGTGGCCATGCGGATGCTTTCGCCCAGCGAACGCTTCTCCAGCCAGCCGTGCAGAAAGCCAGCGACGAAGGCATCGCCAGCTCCAGTGGCGTCCACCAGATCATCCACCCGAGGAGCCCGGTAGTCCTCGACGGTAATGGGACCGGGCGGACCGAGCTCGTCCACATAGTTGGTGATCACCTGGACGCCGGAGCTGCCTTTTGTGATGAAGATTACTCTGGTGTTGCCCTCCTGCAGCAGTTTCTGGGTCAACTGGTCCACACTCGGGGAGCCGGATGCCTCGCCGAGTGTCTCGAACTCCTGCTCATTGCCGAAAAGGAAGAAGGCGTGCCGCGCCAGCTTCATAATGGCCTGCGCATGTCCCCGGACGATGTACGGGGCACTGAGATTTAGGGCCAGGCGACGCCGATTGCGCACCAGATTCTCCACGATGTAGTCGCAAACGTCGGCACACTGTGGCACGAAGAAGCCCTCGACGTAGAGGATCTGCTTGCGCTCGAGGGGACGCAGGAAGCTCTGCCCGTCGTGGATGGCCGTATGGCTCAGTGTCTGCACCGAGAACTGCGCGGATGCGCCAATGTTCGCATAGAGCGTAGGATTGTCCTCGTACATAAGGCACACACACTGGCCCGTGTGCGTGGACTCGATGGTCTGCAGTCGTGCCTCGATACCCCGCTCCCGGAAGATCAGACGCAGTTCGTCCGCATGCTTGTCCGCGCCCACGGCTCCAAAGAAGGTGGGATCGGTGCCCAGTTGCTTGAGGATACGAGCTGTGTTTAAGGCCGAGCCACCCGGCTTTTTCAGGCATTGGGAACTGTCGTAAAAAAGTTTTTTAGTTGCTACTCTGACAGATTACGGGAATATTTCTTACCTCTCGGAGGCTTCTAGGGCCAGTTTGTTGAGTTTCTCCAGCTCCATTTCCCCCTTGGAGCCCAGTTGCAGGTCGTAGCGCTGCAGCAGCTCCGGATCCTCCAGCTTCACCAAATGATCCAGCAACACATTGCCAAAGCACACCACTTTGCGGGGCCTAAAAATGGGAAAAGCCGAAAAGGAAAAAATAGCGATCAGTTGGACGGGGAATTCTCTCTCTCGCAGCTCATCCCAGAGCGTTTTTCCCACTTACGTGTGTCTGTCATCGGCTGGGGGACTGCCTCCGAATATTTTCTCATAAACGTAGCTCAGATACTCCATTGTATTCAAAAATTAGCGTGAAGCGGGTACTTTTCGCGATTCTACGTCGTCACATTGATTTATTGTACCGCCAGTTTCCCGTCTGCTCTATTTGTAGCAAGCAGCAGCTGAATCTGTAGCGATGCCCCGTAACTTTCGCCGGCCAGCGACGAACTGAATGATGTCGGAGCCGGTTTGGCTCTGTGTTTTTATAACATGCTCGTCGCAATCGCCGTCACCATCGCAGTGTGGGTTCCCCACTTATCCCAGTCCCAGTGCCTGACCCAACCAATCATTGGAAACCAACTTTAACTTCTTTGTTCACTTTGACACGGAATAATCCACTGTTGAGGCTGTTTTCGCTTTGAATTGTCTTCTCATTTTGTTGCTCTGCATCGACTTTTTCACACTTTGTGTTCTTTTGACTTTGAAAATAAGCTTTTGGCTCTGTGTTGTGGTTGTTTCTTTTTTTCTGCGCACTCTGTGGGCTGCGGACTGTTGGCTCTGTGTTGTGTAATAACCCACCTGCGGAACTAATTACAGCCTGAAGCTTTGAAAGTTCAACTGGAAATGCCATCTATCATAGCTAATGACTTTATTTCTTAATTTATGCGGTAGAATTATTGTAATGCAGATTATATAAAGGTGTTCAGCCCTGGCCACAGCTGTTTAGACAGTTGTTAAAGTAAGAAGAAGAGAGAGAGAGCAAGGAAAAGCTTATTTAGCCGGCAAAACAAAGACGCACGTGGAGAAAAAGCTTAAATTTACTCTCTCTCTCTCTCTCTGATTTGTCGTTGGGAGAGCAAACTTTGAAGCTCAGCGGCTAGGGTTTCCACCAGCAGAAAGCTAAGCGAAACGGTTAAAGACCGTTGAGAGTTTGAAAATACCCCAGAAGAGTTATTGCAAAGTTGAGTGCGAAATATATGAAACAAGTTTAAATAAATAAAAGAAAAAATAAACGCTAAAACTATGTAAAATCTTAATTTACAATAATGAAAGATTAAAATTATTATTGATTATGGATAATCAAAAAGTATGTCATAAGTAAAAATATATTTCACAAGCTGTAAGAAAAAATCAAAAAAATTTCATAACAAAATTGTATACTATAAAGAATGTGTTCTTAATTTATTATACATATGGAAATATTTATTTCTTATTATTTATTCAAAATTTAACCCGACAATACAAACTTCACAAGCTTCTGAGACTCACCAACATATTTCACCATTTAAATAACAGAACAGATAAAGCTTTCATTTCAGGGAACAACTTTCCTCTGGCTTAAGATAACTCTGCTTAAAATATTTTCATAAATCGGAAAGTACCAAACAGAGGCCAAAAAAAAACTGAAAAATCCACTAACTATTTGGATTGGGGTTTTTTCTGAAGAGAATTCTTATGGACACGCGGGTTTTCCCTGCCGCCGACGATAAATGGGAAATCCCCCAGCATAGACGCTGCACCGCATACATAATTTCAGTGCAGCAGAGAGTGCAGCAAACTGGTCCGCTGGAACGCCCGACCGGTGCACGTGAGACGAGAGACGCGAGACAAGACAGGTGACTGGCTGCAGGTCCGACAGAGCTGGACTTTGGACCGACTTTCAAAGCCGAATGTGGCTCAATGCAGCGGAGTTTTTCAGGGGAATTCTCCAAAACCAGTTCGGTCGTCAAGAGCGCCCGCCAAAGACGCACTCGTTTTGGCTCTTTGGCTTTGACTCATTTGGGCTTTGGGCCAGGCCAGATTTAGTGCTGCCGCGGCGTGACTCAGCAGTCGGGCATCCGGAGGCATCCCACCACGAGTGGCAGCGATGCCACACAGCCACCACGCATCGATCACTCTGTAAGGCGACCTCCTTCCTCTGGAAGATCATCCGACACCTCTGACACCCATGAGCCGCTGGCATGTTGCACACAACATTTTGGAGTAAATAACGAACGACCCGAAGCGGATGCCCCTAACTAGGGGTTCATTGGCCACTTTTGAGGCAAATTTGGCGCGCAAATTCTGTGCTGACTCCACAGTTTCGGTTTGAGTGCGCTTCCCCCGTAGTGCCATTGGGGTAAGGTAAGGTCAGTCAAGCGCCGAGTAAGCAGCAAATATTGTTTATGTTTTGATGCACTTGCATAGGTCAGTATTTGGCGGGGGAGGTGGACGAGGCTGGACACCCCCTTACAGAGCCACACCACACCCAAAGAGGGTACGGTAAAGTTCACTTTATGCCAAAACAGTTCATTGATTCCATATTTTTTTCAACTTTGTTTTGAACATAATTCAAATTACAATTCTTGTTTTTTGGGGGTTCTGTTTCCAGGAAGTTCATTAAACTCTTGCAGAAATTTTTGCATTATTGTGTGAAATTCAATTTGGATGGGAACGCCACTAGTCGACAGATATCAGATACAGTTGTATCTGAATAAATGAGACAATGTTGCGAATGTCAGTAACATTAATTTTGAAGGGCTGTCTTAGAATTACAGGGCTCGTTTCCAAATAATTTTAAATTGGATATACAGATTTATGGCCTGGTGTAAAGACGCCTGGCAACAAGCGGAGCTGTGGAAAAAACTACTTGGATTGCAGTTAATTCAGCCTCATAAATCTCATCTGTATGATACCGTGTAGCATTTTAGTGGGCCGCACTGTCAGCAGTTTATTCAACCCATTTACATGTGTAATAACACATTTATTTATTTATAAATGTACATATGTATGTGGCTGGCTATTTTTAAAACTTGTTATTCGACACAAAAAAAAACACATAACTGTGCAAAAAACCCTTCGTCAAGATAAATATGCTTGTCGAATCGAATTTAACCCAACCCCTCCAATAAAAAGAATGAAAAGCTAGCTTCAGCGACGACTCATTGGATACTCTTACGGAGTGATCGTTCCAGCGAGTTCATGTACTTATTCGTATTAGTTCGATTCCTTAAGGACTGCTATTCCTTTTGCATGACAGATATCTACAGGCACGGCTATAACCCCTCGAATGTATATCATTTATAAGTTCCAAAGTCAGCATTCTCTGCATGACAAGCTTCTGGAGAATATTATAATACCCATAATAATTATAGAGTATGCAAATAATTCATTAAAAAGTGCATTAACGGGACTGAGAATACGCGGTAGTTGAACCCCCAGGGGTAATGGCTGGGAAACGCTACCAAATGGCGTAGTTTCATTACCCCTGCGCAGCGAGGTTCAATTGATAAAAATTCGCGCGAATCTTTATTTAAATTTTCGACACGTTCCCACGTGCTCATTGTACTACGCAGAAAAAGATTGATGCGACCAACAGGGAGCATGGATATGCGATAAATTGATTAGCAGCTTCCCATTGTTCGGGTCTGGTCTCCTCCCATGTTTGTCCCCATGTCTGGTGTGGCCCAAACAGAGCAAATATGAGTAAAATAAGGAAAAAGAGGAGGTGCTCAACTCTCTCGTTCATTTGCTGCACTTCGAGCGAAACCAGCACAGAAATAAAATTATGCCGAACTCATTTCGATTTCAATAAGAGAGGTCGTTAATTAATCATGCTTGAAACAACACCATCATCAACACCGCGTTGGCCAAACGACACTTTTAACACAGACGTCAGAGGGGCACCCAGAGACAGTAGAAGGAACCTGTTGATTGGCTTTTTGGCCTAGTGCCAAATGGTTCATGACCAATCCACTAAGTTCCCAGTAAAATCGGTTCATGAAAATTGAGGGAAATCATTCAATTTTGCCCGAATTTTGCTGACCAACTTCTGTTTCAATCAAAATCCGTTTGCCAAATGACTTTTTCCGTTGAAAGATAATGAGAAAGAAAGACTCTTAAATTAAGGGAGATACTTATTACCAGACAGTTGCATATGTCTGGGTGTGTGAGCGGGAGAGCTTCTAAAGTTGTATGACCTCGATGTGTGATCCAAACCGCGACAAACTGCAGTTGCAACCCATGGAAAGAAACTCCAAGACTTGCTAATTGCCCCGAAATGATCGGAAATCTTTTCCCCACCATTGAAAAAATTACCAATTTTGGATGAGCGAAGCAACAATGCGGAGAGAGAGGCGTTAAGAGAGAGAATGAGAGAGAGGAAGAGAGAGATGGATGGCCCCTGTTCTTCTTGTATGTCTGTGTGGTGTAGTTAGTGAGCCCCCCAAAAAGCTCCCTTGCTCTCGTTGCCGCTCGTTTGGCGCTCTCTCTCTCCCGCTCGTTCGTTTCTGATGAAATTCAATGGGAAACGCACGTTTCGGAGAGCACCAGCTATAAAAGCTCGCGTTCGCCCGGTTGGAGCATTCATTGTGAAATTGCAAATCAAAATTGAAACAGCGGGAAATAACGGTTGAGAGCGGATCGCAAAGCGTGCCGCAGACAAAACGTGAAAAGAATTTCATAATCAAAAGTTAATCCAAACGCTTAAACAAGCAACAACAACAACAACCACAACAATTAGTGCGAGCCAGTGACAAGCCAAAAGTCAAAAAGAGACTAAAACAACTGCCAAAAAACGCAAAAACCCAAAGTGCAAACAGAGCCAGCAAAAATAGCTCAAGTGCCGCCAAGCCGCAAGATAATTTCACCAGAGCAAGAACTGCAGCAGCCACTGGAATACCTGAGCAACATGGTCGTTGATCAGAACTGCACAATGCATCAGCTGGAAATGGAGCTGGACATGGAACTGCCCATGGAGTGTGCCCCCATTGGGCGCACCGTTAAATCGGCCCTTCTCAGGGCCCAGGACGAGTCCCGAGTGATCGTCGGCCTGTCGGCCGCCATCAATGTGCTGTCCAAGTCGCCGGATGGTTCGCTCTTTTGCCTGATGGCCGTGCCCAAGGACGGAGACTCTGCCACCCACATGCACGAGGTGCTGCTGGAGGCCTTCTGCTACGAGAACGACATCTACGTGATTAAGGTGGACGACGCCACCAAGCTGAGCCGCATCCTGGGCCAGGAGACGGTCGAATCGTGCTGCCTGGTACAGAAGACCTGGACAGCTGACCAGGACGAGGAGCGTCTAAACAAGGCCGAGAATCAACTGGTCGACTACTGCGAGGCACACTGGGATGCCCCCAAGCAGCCCACTGTACAGCTCCCGGCCGTGTAGGCAGTGTGAGCGGGACAGACACATCATTGAACAGTAAAAACCCCCGAGAGACAGTGGGGCAAACATGGTTTAAATTGAGAGAAACTTGCAATGAGCGAAAACCAGTTAAAGGTTGATGTACTCCAACGTCTTGGAGAGTTCCCGACGGGAAACCGACGTTTGGGCTGCCACAGCCACATACTTACTTGTACATATACACACACATATATATATCAGCCGTATACATAGGATATATATATAGTCTTATATAACTGTACCTGTACCTGTACAGAGAGGAGGATTGCCAAGCTACTTGGCAGATAATTGGAACTGAAAGGCGACCTTCGATGGGGCGGGTAGAACCTGCCTCTGAACACCCGCGGAAGTCGCTCTCTCAGTGCCGTCCCTCTTCCACTTGAACGCAACAGAAGCAGCAGCAGCAGCAGCAAAAGCAACAGCAGCAGAGACACAGCAGCAGTAATTTTGCGACACTCATACACTCACTCAAAAAAGCGCGTGACCAGCTGCCGCTTAAACATACACACATATACACAAACAGACACACATAAAAATATATATTGCATGAAATTTTGTATTTGTATAATTCGTTCGCCTTAAGCGTCGCTAAAATTTATTGATAATGGCAATTATTCTGTTCACACTGATCGGATGCACGCCGTAAATTGTAAAGTAAAGCACAGCCGAAGAAATGTAAAAATTAAAGTTTTGTTATGTTAGCTTTTCCAACAGCAAAAAAAAAAAGAAGAAAAACACAAAAAAAAAAAAAAATTGTTATTTAATTTTAAGCAAATTAAATTTAAAGATTTTTTTGGTTAAAGAAAAAAAAACCAACTAAATAAAATATTATAAAAAAAACCAAACTCTCTCACTGTCTTATCATTTATGGTTAAAAATTTCTGAAATTTCTCCAGCAATTGACGTCAATCATGGCAAAGACCTGGTTAATGGAAGTCCCACATTAATCTGCTAATGAATAAGACTTTTGGGGTATTCCCCAAAGAGCGTGCCATGTATGTATATGCCGCCCCTTATCAAATAATTCTCGGAACCGAGCCCAAGCAATGTCACCAAATGACACCAGCTGAAATTGGTCACGTTTCTGGCAATCTGGTATTCGACTTTGAGATGCTCTTAAAGGGTCGCTTAGAGATTGCTTAAGTGCATTTATGCAACAGGTGTGGAATGGAATGGATTTGTTCTTTCTATTATGGGTACATTGGGTTTCTATTGGGTTCACAGAGCTGGTATAACAGGTGCGAAAAGATGCAGCTAGCTAATTAATAGGTCAATAATTATGATACTAATGAGATTTGTAGCTAATTATCTATATTTTAGTTTAATATTGAATTACCTGCTTTATCCCATATCCCATACATCATATCGCTCATATCACTTTACACATATCAGAGAGTATTAAATCCCAACATGTCTGTCTGGGCTCTGATCATGGCAATTGAGTTAACTAGCCAGACAGATGGATGGTTGGATGGATGAATGTTAAGCAGCAGTGACATGTTAATATAATCAATGCCAGACATCGTAAAATGTTAGCTTAATGCACGAACCGAAAGTAGCAGACCAGATGGGGCGGATGGAGGCAGCAGCCAGGAAGAGCATGTGAGCAGCTCGTGGCATAAGGAAAATCACTGGGAAAAAAGTTTGCCACTGATTAGGACGATTAACATGAATTTGAGTATGGTCAAGACATAGGTCAGTTAGGCGGAATGTCTGAGCACGATTTATTCGTGGAAGCTTCTCTTTCAAACATTTCCTCTCGTGATGGCAGCCACATGCCGAAAATACTTTGAATAAATGTGGATTCTGGGGCAACCCCAACACCAATTATCACCCGAACTATTAGTTAACTACATTGGGGCGTAAAAGGGGGAATTTACTTGGCTATTATTTGAATTTACCTTTAGGTCAACTAATATTAGCCTGAGATCTGTTTACAATACGAATAAAAGCCAAGCCGCACTTAATCATCGGCCTGTACTTTACCCCCGAGTCGGATTTGGTGACTTCCAAAGCGTGAATTCCAAAGAACAAGCTGCGAACCGATCCACTCCATTGCCATGTACTGATTCCGGCCAAGTCATGCCGGGCTGAGTAATGGGCCATGCGGCCATTGACTGAACAATTGGAGTTGGCTGTTCCGATGCTTTCCCCCACATAAACTCGGGGACAAACACTCTCTGGAAACGGGGAAGTTCAGTTCACCAGTAAAATGGGGGCCAGTGTGATCGGATCGGATCGGATGGGGGCTGCTGTTATGCAAATTGGATCGGCAAGCTTTGCACTCTGTTCGCCAGCCGAGTTTTGTCTGTGTTTGCCGATATATACGGAACCGAGCTTGGAGCGTGACTGGGCGAGATTTTTCTGAAGGCAGACGGGACTTGGAGCTGCCCCATCGCAGAGTGCAAATTTCAAAGATTCCCCTCCAGCGGCGATGTCGTCGAAGGTAAATGATTCACATCAAAACGGTTTAGCGGTGCCAGCCCCTCTCGGCAAGAAATTAGCATAATTCTCAATGCAAAACGTACTTCAAATACTGGCTCAAAATACCCATAGATACCCCAGAGAATACCCCTCTCTCCCCACTCAGGCGAACTCGATTTACAGCCAGTTGACTTGTTGGTCGAACAAACTAGTTTTGAATTCGTGTGACAATGCCGCAGTTCTCTCAGCTGTTCGACCTGTACATGTGATTGTCATGAGCGCGTGCTGTGTTGTCTGTGGGGTCTGGTCTGTCCCCCACATGGCGCACCACCCTACGTTGATACCGGCACCACTCATGTGGTAGCACCTGCAGAGCTCAGGGCTGTGACGTGTCCACCAGTTGTCAGGCCTCAGTCGCAGCCAAAAATGTATATTTAAATTCGAGTATTTGACTTACTTACTTACGTCTATTTGCATTAAACACGAATATGAAAATACAAAATATTATTATTATTATTTATTGTTTTTCTGTTAGGCTCTATCTGCGATTCGGGCGAAAAACAAATAGTTCTTTGCTATGCGGTTTTTCCCGCAAATCGCTTTATGGATTTACATGGAAAGCAAAACGAGATCAGAGCTGCTTATCAATGCTTTGGATTCGCTATAGAGCAGAGCACGGGATTATGCGGCGTAGAACTTATCAGTGCCGGGACTTACGCAGAATACTCGTATGACTACTGCGCATGGGGCTGTGGTGGCACGAAGCGTGCTTGGGGCTTGACGCTGAATTTCCCAGCCTTGGCTCCCACCCAGATAGGGAACCACACCAGTGAAAGCGAAACAGACGCAGTTCCCACTGATAATGGATCAGAATTTCCATAATTTGGACTAATCAAATGGTTCGATATTTGTTTACTACCACAGCAGTTCACTATACCTCCCAAAAGGTATGAACTTTTCCATTGTTGTTCCTTCAAATTGATTGATTAGATACTTCCACCTATGTATGTACCACTCCCCCCATATTATTCCGCAGCTTAGAAAACAAAACAAAGCGTCTTGCGCACACTGTGTTATGAATGAATTTTTGACGCTTGGAAACGGGTTTTTACTTGGGGAAATTTTTAAAAATACTCGTATACCCCACTGAGGGTTTGGGATATACCAACCAGCAAACGTTATGACGAAACAAATAAAAACTTGTAACTGGTACTTGGAACATTATACAATAGGTATTTGCTTTGACGGGCGAAATCTGTGTGGAAATTATATTACTAGTAGTAGTACCGAGTATTAAGCATGAGTTCGCACAATGAAAAGTGATAAGAAGTTTGTAGCCTCGTTTCATCGCCATTCTAATCATTTCTAGAGCAATTAAAATTTATTGAAATTTAAATATTTACTTTCGCCCGCTGTGGCACGTGCTGGGCAAATGAGATTTTTTTTTTCCAGAGAAAGCAAAGCAAATAAAACAATTCGTTAATGGCATTAAACAAAGAGATTATAAAGTAAACATAATAAAAACAGGCGTTCCACAAACATCCTTTAAAAGTACGCCTCAGGGATATCCCTGTGACCCGTTTCCGACTGCCGCCAGACAGTTCAAACCGGTTCAGTTTGGTATTTCACATGATGCGTAAATCGAATAAGAGCAAATCGCACACTTTTGTGGAGAAAACTAATCGGAAAGTCAAACATTTATAGTTCATTCCATTGTGCGGCCCATATAACAGTCAAATATTAGCGCAAAAGGTAAAACGCAATTGCACTTGTTACGCCTTTTGATATAGACACCCCCACGCGCCCTGTTCCGCTCCACCAGTAGTAGGTTAAATATTTGCACAAACAAACAGCCAAGCCAAGGGAAATTAGCGCCGCATTAATAATTGAAAGAGAGCGGGAGAGAGGAATAGAAAGGTACTCTATTTAATTAATCTTTTTTCGCAGCTCTTACGCTCTCAAAACATCACAATGAGAACGAGAGAGAGAGTGCAAGTGTGTGAGCGTGTGCTGCGAGAGGCGACAATTAACGGAAGGGCGCTGAATTTCACAAGAACACAGACGACAAAGGTATATTGCATGCAAGGTGGTGGTAGTACGCTGGCTGTAGTCGCTAGATAAGAGCTGGACTCTGTAAAAACTTTTCTGTCCTCAAAAATTCAAAGATCTAAGTGGAATTAATTATGGAATAAATGTATTCCGTTCAAGTTCTTCATTTTACCTGAAAATAAGTGAGCTCAGAGCTGGAATGCCTCACCCTTCCAAAAATAATGATCTTTACTATGATTGCCTCTCCCACTCACCCAATCTCTTCGTGCACGCTCTCCCTTGTATGCTGCAAAGCGTGCCGAGCAAAGTCAACCCGCCGATAAGATTACTGCCAAGTGGCGGGGAGATCTCCACCGTCTCTTGCTCCACCTCCACCTCCACCTCCGCCACCGACTGTCTGAATGACTGACTGATTGGGCTGCGGTGCTGGGTGGTCACGGGCAAGTTTACAAGGTGCTTCACGCCTCCGGCCAGCGACATGTTCGAGCACGTTTGCACGAACGCTGATATGCCGTCGATATGAACACAGTTATATTGCATATTTAACGATTTTCAGGGCACATGTCCTGCACCATCGTCTTGGCTGCTTACGCAAATCGAAAGACAGCTCAGGTAATCCAAAACACAGCGTGTCGGCCCCCGTGTACCGTTACACAAGCGAGAGTGAGCCAGCGCGAGGTAGAGAGCAGGCGCACCACCCAGCCCCCAGCAGCCAGTGCCACCCACCAAAACAGCTGCTGCTGATGCTGCAAAACGAAGCAGAAGCACCGAGCCCACCAGCAGAGGCAGCGACAACTGCGTCAATGTCATAAAACTTTCTCACGTAAGTCAAAGTCAGAGTCCAGGGCCTGGAGAGTACCGCTACGCGTATCTTGTCGGCCAAATCTCGGACTTATCCTTTGTTGAAACAACCACCAGCACCACCCACATTGGGTGTATAAATACGAGTTTTATGGCAGCGTAAAAAATGATTTTTTACGATCCGAAGTGGATATAATGAAGTTATCGCAAGATCGCCAATGCGACAAACAAAAAACATTCAAAAGGGAAATTCACATTTCAAACATTATTACGAGCAAATCGCTTACTTAACCCAAGAACAATGAAGGAAGTACCAGAAGCGTCAAGCCCATCCAAAATCCCCCCTTCCTTGGGCAACGCAACTGCAAGAATTATGCGCGTATATTGTACAGATGTCTGGTACATAATTTCTTCTTTGCCCACCCGCATCCGTGACGAAAGCAAATGTCTTTATGACGTCAATACACTAGCACCTAAGATACTACATATGTATATATTTCACATGTGTTCTGGGGGAGGATTTTAATTTGTTTTGGCTATGAAGTACTCCCACTTTTTCAGAGGCGATGCCACTGGGTGCCAGCAGCCAGACTATCCACTGGGAATATTGTTTTAAAAATCTTTTCTTTAGGCGAAAAAAGAATTATGTACTACGTCATGATTGTATATCTACAAGAGTTTCCGGTATTAAAAAACTGGGAATAAAAATATATTTAGCTTTGCCTAATTTTTAGCTGTATGTATTTCTGGGAACTTTTGGGACTGCTGTTTGCCAGCAGCAACAAACCAGAACCCAGGCCCTGAAACGCTTTCATATGCTCGATTCGTTTTGGAGAACAAATGTAGGAAATTATCGCAAAACGTGATAATCATAAACGCGTGACTATCATATCACGTTTCAGCTTTCATAATAATGCGACAATTGTGGGGCCAAAAATTATGCGGCCTGGCAACAGGGAAAATTGTTTATCAATGCTGAATTATGGAAAAAGGAAACAACAAAACACTTGGCCATATGGAGTACTTCCACTCGCAAAAGTCAGTCATATTGTTAACCCCCTCCCCAATCAGAGCTATTGTTTCCGGGAAAGAAATTACATTCACTGCCCCACTGAACTAAAAAATTAATGCACAAACAAATTGATCATCAAAAATGGCGAAATACTCGTACTATAAACTCAATCTAATCAGAATCAGAATCAGACGAACTCAATAGAGATTATTGCATGTCTCAGGGTGAGCCATGCAAAAAGAAAAAGAAACAACATTCAAGGAGAACAATTCTTACTGCCATGGAGACCCACTTTCCCGTAGATAAGAGGGCAGTAGTCTTATCACTAATCACTTGCCAAACCAAACACAATGTTTGCATTGGGCTCTGCTACTTGTTAGGGGGGGTTGGGGGTTTCTTTTAGGGGTTTAGCAACCCGTTCGTTGCTGTGACGGATGGCCACCACTTGTCACATTGTCTTTCTCATTACCGTCTGCGTCGCATTAAAATCAAACAACAAATACAAATACCCAACAAAAATAGCCCGTGAAATGTTAAAAATAGCTTGTCTGTTGCTAAAAATATCAGCGATAACATACTAAAAAAACAACGAAAACAAATATTCTGCATAAATATCAAAGTACTATAAATACTTGATTGTTTGTAATGTTGTTGTATCCGCTGGGCTTTCTTTTTGTGCTGTGGAGACTCTTATCAGTTGTAGTTCCGGAGAAAAACAATATACCAAGTGACAAAACCACAGTCTGTGCCTGTGACTGCCACTGCGACTGGAATTGGGATTGGCACAGAAAAATGCCGTTGTTTGCTTGGCACTCTAGAGCTCTGATGGGGGGAACTCCCCGAGTGGCATTGCCTTTTACGGCCAAGATAGCAAAATGGCCAAAAACTGGGAGGTGAATATTTATAGTCCGTCGCGTTAATTGTGATTACGGGTTGCGATTTCTGGCTAAATCAAATACGACAGCTGGCGCCCGAAAGATTTATGACTTTGCCTCCAGGGAAAAATGCACTGGAAACAGGAAAGTGTGCAGAAGAATACAGACTTAAAAGATAATATAATATAAATATGAATCTTATACACCCAGCATAGAGAAAGATTTACATATCTAAGCCCAAGGAAAAAAATTACGATGCCAGGAAAATGTACACCTTAAAACCAAAAATTCCCCTCTTATTCTTAATTCTTGCCATATATAATTTAATGTGTTCAAAGAATTACAGATTATGAGTGGGAACATCTATATATTAACTGGCAAAATCCCCTCAGATATATTGTTTTGCTCTAGAGATTCTTTTCCCACAGCTCAGTTCACATTTTGTGGAACAGAAATGCTTGAAATATTTCCTTTTTCTGCGAATTCGATTCGAAAGGTAATTTTTGCCAATCACTTCCCCGTACATTGTTCCATTATGGGCTGGCTGGCTGGCTGGCTGGCTGGCTGTGCTCAAAATGTAAACACAAGATCGAACATTTGCGGTGCGATTTCGCCGGTTTCTATAAATATATAAACTCGTATGTAGATACAATTCGCACCCAAAAGAAACTGCGCACTTGAAATGGCCGGCATGGAATGGCCCAAATCCCATTGAACAAGGCCAAATTGGGAGTTTATCAAAAGGCCCTCGCATAACCCCATTGTCTGGCGATGTCTGGCAGTGGCCAAAAGTTACATCAGCCATATCAGATCAAATCACGGTATCGCTTCAATCAGTCGGTTTGATTCGATTACGAACAGATAAGGTTTTGTGGGGAGAAATCAACCCCCCAAACCCAAAATGAGCTGCCTCCAAACTAACTTTAGACTTTGTACTCTAACAGCCGTTCATCATGAGACTTCAGCTATCATTTCCAGACCCCGGCGTGATTCATATTCGATGAACTTTGGACTTGGAAGAAGCAGAAGCAGAACCATCTCCACATATTTCCTGACAAGTTCCGCCGTAGCCTCCACGTTATCTGCAATACTGTCACATGTTGCGCTCTCTGCATCCGTACCATTTTTCGTATCTTCATATTCATCTTGACCATATATGGTGGCAGCTTGTTACATACAATAGAACACCTTTCATTAGTCACTTTCCCTGCGCTTTTCTTGTATTACTCATACGCCACGTAATCGCTAGGGGGGTGAAATCTTATCATCGCAGGGCACACAATAGCAGGCGGCAGGCAACAGGTAGCAGGCAACAGGCAGCAGGTAGCAGGGGAAGCCAGACAGCCAACGGTAATTTCATCAATTCCACCGGCGATTAACGGTTCGATTCGTTTTGTGCTAGGTCAGTGCAGAATCAAAACGAACAGAACAGAAACTGGCGATCCGATGCAAAGTGGATTCCGTTCTGTATAAATTTGTTCAACATTTTAATACCCGCTACTTGCTGAACACAAGGCTATATTGCGGCCGAATGGGTATATGTAACAAGACCCATAATCCATATCAGGGACATACGCTGTATCAGTCTAGACTCCAATATACATCCGTCTGTCCATCTGTCCAGCTGTCCATCTGTCCGGTATGTCCGGTATAAACAACTAGATCTTTGTAGTCTTTAACGGCTAGCTATACCAAATTTGGTATGTAGATTTATCGCTGCAAGCCAAGCCAAGCCAAGTAGTTCAAGTTTATATTAAAATTGAACGACACCCTTTGCCGCCTACCATGTAAATCGAATAAATGTGAATAATAAAATAACAGCCCCCATTTTCCAAGGTGTGTCGCATTATAATTTGAAACATTCGCGTTGAATAATGCCAATCTCTGACCTAGTTCCAATTTCATAATAATTCCTGTGTTGTTTATTATAACCTAAAATCAGATAAAGTTCTCTTTGATCTTCCAGCCTGCGGTCTGTGTTGCCAGCGGAATACCAGAGGGTATCCTACGGTCCCAGCAGCACCCAGCATCATCATATGCATCATTGTACCGTTCGAATTTCCTTTATATATGCGTCAAGTGCGGAGCAGCGATCGAGCAGATAACATCTTCATCTGTGCCAGTTTACGGCGTAATTTGAACGCATTTATGCGCATGGCTAATCGATCGTCCGACAATCTGGCGACTCCAAATTGAAATGAGAACGTTCTACGGGTGGGTAAGACGCGTAACTGTAAAAATCAGTCATTCCATTTCCTTTGTGACCCTCCCCCACTACCATCTCCTCAGGATGATTTGATTTACGGTTCACGTTTCTTTTTTGCGTTGTTTATCAACTGAATGCATTTCGAATTGGCACTTAAGCTATGCAGGTGTACGAGTATGAGTATGGGTGTGGGTGTGGGTGTGGGTGTGAGTGTGGGCATGGGCATGGGTGTCGATGTGAATAAATGGGTGTTACTGTGAGTGCGAATATCATGAGTGTTTTTTGCTTAACCTAAGGCAATGCAAGTGAATCGAATTGGGATGATTGTTAGTGCGTGGAAGAATGAGTTCCCCTCTCAGTGATTACAGTCGGGGTTCCAGGGATTCTTCAGATTGGCCAGACGCAGCTGCTCCAGCGCAATCTCATGGGCACGCAGATGCTCCCGTGTGGCCAGCTCCACTGCGTTCGCGGCGGATGGCAGGATGTGGGTTTCCTTCAGTCCCTGTGGCAGGACTGGCAGTGGCTGCTGCAACTGTTCGGTGTAGCGCACCAGGAAGGGATTCGGGGTATTATCCGGGTAGACAAACGTTGGACCGCTGGTGGTTGCCGTGGCGGTCGGTATGGCATTCGGCTGATTCGTATGGATGCGCAGGAAGAATCCATTCTGGACCGACTGCTGCTGGCTGCTGATCTGCGTTTGCGGCTGGGCTGGAGCAGGAGCTGGCTGGGAGGCCAGCAGCTTGATGTTACCCTGCGCGGCATCCAGGAAGATGGGACTGGAGATGTCGGTGGGTGTCTCTGTGTCGTAGCTTGGGGTGTTTTTCAGCTCCAGCTGCTCGGCGTACAGCCGCTGGCGATCCTCTTCCTCGATCTTGAGACGCTCGGCCTGGAGGAGGCGCGTCTCCTGGCTGATACGCTCCTCTTCCCGCAGGCGCTCCAGCGCAGCCTCCTTCTTCTCGATCTCTTGCCGTTCCTTTTCCCGCAAGTTCTCCTGGTCCCGCTCGCGCTCCTCGAGGCGAATCAGATCATCAATGTCGGCCACCTGGTCCTCCGCCTTCACCTTGGCCTGGCCAAGAAGGATCAGGTGCTGCTCGCGTGCCCGCTTCACTTCGGGAGTGTACTGTATGGGCTGGGGCCCCTGCTGGCTCGGGTAAATGGTCTTCAGATTGGGCAAGGGGGCAAAGGGCGCCGTCGGAATCAACGGCTGCTGCTGCTGATCGATGGGTTGTCTGAGAATGGCCTCGTTGAACTGCTTGAGATGCTCCTCCCGTGCCAACTTCACCTCCGGTGTCTCCTCCACGGGTTGGGGTGTCTCAATGATGGCTTGGGGCTGATTGAAAAGAGGCTGCTGGATAGCGGACGTAGTCTTCAGGATGGGTTCTTCGGCAGGCTGGCGGAGCAGAGCCTCGTTGAACTGCTTGAGATGCTCCTCGCGGGCCAACTTCACCTCTGGAGTCTCCTCCACGGGCTGTGGCGCCTGCTGATCCCCATAGGTGACTGTCTTGATGTTGGCCTGAGGATAGCTGGCGATGGGTTGCGGCTGCTGAATGCCAGGAATGGTCTTCAGTATCGGGATCTCGGGTGCAGCGGCAGGTTGACGGTGCAGTGCCTCATTGAACTGCTTGAGATGCTCCTCGCGGGCCAACTTCACCTCTGGGGTTTCCTCGACGGGTCGGGGAGTCTCATTGCTGGTGCCAGTGTATCCGGAAATGGTGGCAGCCTTCACGAGGAACGGGTTCTGCGGGCTGGCAACAAACTGTCCGTAGGAGTGCGTCTGCGGTGTCACCGCCTGCGCAATCTTGATCTGCTGGCCGTAGATGACTGGAATCGCATCCTTCGGGGTTGCCTTCACCTGGACGATGTCCTCCTGCGGCTGGTAATGTCCCATGATCTGCTGTGCCTGTTCTGCGCGCAGCACCTCCAGTCGGGCTTCGTTCCAGATGCGCAGATGCTCGTCCCGGGCGCGCTGTACCTCCGGACTGAGGCCCGGCACGGCATCAAAGGCCGCGAACTTGACGATCTGCTCGAGCGGCTCGAATTGGGCCATCATTTGGGGCGAGGGCTTCAGTCCCTGGGCACGGAGTCGCTCCAGCTCGAGTCGCATGACGTTGTAGCGCTGCTCGCACCAGGCGCGAAACAGAGCCGTGTCCTGCTGCTCCTCCGCCAGGCCAGAACGCAAAAGACTCGGGCTGGCACGGATGCCGTTCAGCGGCTCTGGATAGTTGTAGGCCAGCAGGCGCTCCGCTCCCGTGCCATCCAGATAGCGGACATAGCCTTGGGCCAGGCCGCTCACCACTGGAAACTCGCCACGGGACGGTGCATAGGCCAGCAGCTGAGGATGTGGCTGTGGCTGTGGCTGTGACTGAATGGTTCTCACCACTGAGAAGGCCTGGACGGAGCCCAGGGCCAGCAGGCCGAGCACGAACAAACGCATCTTGCTGTGGGATTCACGGGGAGTAGCGACTAGTAGGACTTTTGGTGGGGTGCTCCTGGGGTGGGGGGGCTGCTCCAAAATTTCTCTACAACTTCTGACTACTTCTGCCGGATTCGGGGGAAGACTGATGCTGTTCTGGCTGCGAGTGTAGGGCTTTTATAGCCAGACACTCGACGCAGAGTGGAAAAGAACCGCAAGCCGAGACTGGTTGTGGATGTCCTTGGGAGTGCCGCCACCAGACACCAGGTACAGGATGTGTCAATAAATATTCTGTTGCCCCAGGTCGCTGGACTGTCGCTGGACTGTCGCTGGACTGTCGCTGGACTGTCGCTGGACTGTTGCTGGCCTGTCTCTGGGATTCTTGACTCTTCTTTTATCTCAAACTTAATTGGCCAGAGCCAGTAAGCGTCGGGTACCTGCTCCGTTCCCGTTCCCATCCCAGGACCACATTTCGCTTCGCTTCTTCCGTTATGTGGCTTGGGCCGCTCGCTCAAGGTTAGCCCTGCGTTATTTTTAGCCCTGGCTGCTGGAAATTTATGGCCAAAACCCAGACAAGTGAAGGGCCTTTTAGCCCAGTCCATTGGTCACGCGATCCATCGATCGATCCATCGATCGCCTATCTATTGATCAATGACAGACTCTTTATGCTGGATAATTATTTAAATTTGTCAAAAAGTCTCACTCCATCGCGCTCTCTCTCTGAAAAACTTCTTCTCCTTCCCCCTCCCATTGACTGGCAAATAAGGTAAAACAGGAGTTCACTTATTTTTGTACAGTCGCCGTCTGGTCGCGCCTGCATGACGCTTTTGAGGGTGGGGGAACGCAGCACAGAGCAGGGAGAACGGAGAACCCACAGCACATAATACCCCCTGATATGGCCTCTTCTTTGGGTGCTGCTTCCTTCAACCGGTTCAACCGACTGCGAAGCGGCTTAAATAAATTCAAGTTAATTCCAGCCGGCGCCGTTATATGGCCACAAGGGGAGTAAAGCCATTGGCCGGAGGCAAATGCCAGTCCTGTATTACAAATTATATCATTTCTCGCATTCAGTATATACGAACAAAACAAAAGATGCCAGCCAGCCAGCCAGACAGCACCGCACATTCTTGTGGTTGCCGAATCGCCTTTTTATTGTAATCAAATTAAATAAACATCTGTGTGGCAAAGAGGCTCGACAGAAGTTCACAATAAATTTATTTTTATATGTGGCTAATACATATGCATACACATACATATACATATATGTATGTATAAAGGTATATAGAAGGAGGTGGATGCATTGATGAATCCTTCGCCTTGTCATGGTTACATTCTCTCATAGATTTCTAATTGTTGGAAATGAATTAACTATAATACTCCCATAGTCTAAAGAAAAAAACATTTACTCATCGCAACATATTCTCGCTGTTTTGGAGCTATCTCTTTGGAGTATTTGCTTATCTGTAGACGCCTGATAACCTGCCTCTCTCTCTGGTCAGTCGTTGATCACATGCTGGCGGCCCAATTGTTTGAGTCAATTGTTCGATTTCATTGGCAGATTTTCACCAATAAGTCACCTTGGCCAGGCTTCAATTTTCACACTCTGCAACTTGGACTTGAACGCTGCTGTGTGTAATGGCCATGTGGAATACCTTCAGCGTCTCACGTAATGCCCCCAAAACTAAGTGTGCCTCAACTTTCACAGCCAGAAACATTTCATAATGTAGCCATTCAGTTGGCAAAGAAAGCGCTGGGAGAAGCGTCTTGTTGCCAGGCCGAATCTCGCATAGATCTCTTCTTGTTCGAACTGACCATAGTCACGTTGGCCCGTTGACTCAACGAGAGCATGTGACGTAGATCCGATGATGATGATGATGATCAGCCCCATGTTCATATTTTTCGGGGGCAGCGATCTGTGCGCGTGCGTTTGACCATCAATTGGCATTTTAATTCTTTTGTTGTCCGCGAGAGAGTAGCGCAGAGCAGCCATTCGATTGCTATCAATGAAATGAAAACGGAGGCACGTCCGCGCTAATTAGAGGATTGCAAAGTGATTACTGCTTACTGCTGGCCAACCACGTTTCCGCTTATCTTATCTGTCTTAAATGCTTCTTTTTTTACATACGATTCAACGCCCAGATATCCAGATATTCATCGCAGCGAATGGAAGCCGGTGGCGGATACGCAATCTACGAATTCTGCATGCGGCCCGTGATAATTAGTCCGGCAATTAGCGCATTCATTAAGATGTCTGGTGGCTGGATCCACTCATCACGCCATCATAAATCTTTTGCAAACTTTTCCTGAGCCACACCAGATCGGCACTTGAGCCAAAACTTTCAGCAGCAGGCGAGAAGCCAAAAGTTTATGGCCAAGAAACGCACTTGAACCGCAGTTCCGGCGAAAAGTCCGCAAAAACGAATACCAAAACTTGTCGCCTCGCCAGTGAGTTTTTCGGGTTATTCATGAGGAACGTTGGCCGCATCACGTGCGTCTCTACGAAATAACCCAAGACGTCACTGCATCTGCGTGCAAAATTTAAATTAATTAAACAGCAAACTCAATAACACAACAATCGATTGAATGGGGCAGCCAGCAATTCTGCGTTTTTTTCTTATTTTTGGTTGGTTGGCCAACGTCCGCAATATATGCTCGTATTTTTCCACAAAATTAACAGCAACCAAAAAAAAACCCCACGCATCCAGTTCACATTTTTGAGCAGCTTATGGAGGATTATTCGGTGGCTTGATCGATTCAACTGCAGCAAGGCAGGGCGCTCCCTATGAACTTTAGCCAGAGATAAAGCTTTTCCTCGCCCGTATTATTGGAATCAACAATCAAGGCCATTTATTTTCATGCCCAAATATTCTTTATATAAACTTTCGCATCCAAATTTGCTCCGTCTTTGACGTCACTTGGCCACCAAGCAAAAGAGATGTTGCGGTCGTCGACAAAACTCGTTTCTCTTGGGCATTTCCCGCACTCGCAGTTCCGTCTGAAGGCGGAGAGGGGGGCGCAAATAGATCATAATTGCGTTCATGATAAATACATCAATTAGAGCGCCAACGCAATGACCTACACCTGGCACTTGGCCACTCGTCATCGACATCGACAACGACATCGACAACGAAAGCAATCCGTAAACTTCAATCGTCGACAGTAGTAAATTAATTTGCATTTATGTACAACTAAGGCCAGCTAATGGAGCTGGCTGATTTTTGGCGTTCTATAATCCACAGTTAAATTGAAATTGATTTGTTATTCTCCCCCTCACAAACAGTAGCTGGGTCAGTCAGCCTGTCAGGTTTAAGCCGGGCTTAGCACTTGAGTTGTGCATTAAAGATCACAAAACAGACGATTATTGTTATTTTTCAGGCCTTAAGCACGTGAAAAATGCGTTGCAAATATTTTAAGATTTTATTTTTTACCTAACAAATGTCACGCACCGAAAACAACTTAATTTTTTATGAACAAAAATCACTTTGTTACTGCGACAGTGTTCATTCCATTGCTTTGGCAGTCATTCCGTTCCGTTCAAATTAATTGGCCTAATCATGTGTCTGGACCGTGACTTGTGAATGTTCAACTGTGAGGTGTCTGACCAACCGATGAGGTGGATGAAAATCTAATGGAAATGGCTGAAAAAGGTAATAAAGGGCTTTACAATTCACTAAACATTTAAAAGGGAACTATTTTCGAATGATAATTGATCAATCGATTGATAATATAATGAAAGCCATTAGTTATTGCTTGAATACATCGCTTTATTAAATACACTTCTGGAAAGCAAGAATTATAAAACTGTAGACCTGTAGCTCCGTAAATGTAGAAGGTACTAGTGATGCTGAAACTGTAATAATAGCTAAATACATATGTACATAGAAATATGTACTAGCCAATTGAACATATGTACATACATAAACTTGTCACAAAACTGTAAAATCAGCAGCTGAAAACTTTCAGTTCCCCTAAAACTGTTATCCACTGATGTAATGTAAATGTAAATGTCATGTAACTACCACGGCCTAGAAATCGTTTCCCTTAGAGACTCTACAACTGTAAACCAGGCCAGTAATCATTCAACTGTATTACGTCTGTAAAACAATAAACAGGCAACTGCAAAGCGAAAATCATCTGTTCGGGTGATAATTAATAAATCAGCTGAAGCCGCAGCTGAAACTGTACACAGAAAGGCATCTCAAAACGTGGTTTAATGACCTCAAGGGTAATCAAAATAAATGTAAGCCAGTTCATCAAAAACAGCCATCTGCTGACGCAAATTTAGGTGACATTTAGCATGACATCTCTGCTGGTAAAACTGTAAAGGCAGTGTGCTTAAAACTGTGCCGTCCGGGGCCAAACCAGGAAATTTATGAATTTAAAAGAAAAACTTTTGTTTAAAACATTTATTTTTCGGCATTTAATTTATCTTTAAGTTTTGAACAACATTCAATCTTGTTAAGGTCAAAGGTGGTGGTGTGGTGTGGAAACTGTGGATTGTGGAAAGGTGTGGGGTGGGGGCCAAACTACATCAATACTTAACTGCCTACGCACTTCCACACCTAAGCATACGCAGATTTCTAGCATGAATTACACACAGTAACTATAATAGTATTTGTCATTGATTTGATATATGTATAATACACGGCGTAATAATAATTAAACTGGCCCCCAGGAGGGGCATATTCATCCAGATATCAAGACATATACTATTTCCATATACATACATATATATATTTATATATACTCGCACACACTCACACACATACTCGTACAGTTTATAATGCTATTTTGTAAATTGTTCATCTTGGTTTTAAGGGTTTTTTTTCTTTACACATTTTGCTTAGCGTTTTTCATTTGTTTTTGTTTTGTTTTTGTTTTAGACTTATCCTGTAGATTGTTCTTAAAACTATTTAACTTAAACATTGATTTGATTTCGTGTGAAACATTATGAGGTTATAAATTCCATCTTGTTGCCATGTTTCGTATTCATTTCGGGAAAGTTTAAGGGGGGGGCGGGCGGAAATCAAGGATTACGGATTGGGTGGGGGCATTTTCGTTTAACAATTTTTTTGTTACATAATAATAGAAGCTTATGGATCCAAATACATAATTTACAAACTGATGATAATAAATCGCTTGGACTGTACATAATCGTAGGCTGGCAGGGATCGGGATCGGGGGATCACCTACAAACGATAAATCAAGGACACTTGCAGTGCTAAATTGGGAAACGAAATACTCTAATGGAGGGCCTTCTTCTGCTTCTGCATCATCTTCCGCTTCATCCACATCTTCGAATAACAACAAATGACGTAAAAATACACACACTATATAGAAGGATCAAGGGTCGGGTGGGGGTGCGGGTGGGGGGATATATGTATAGTAGAAGGGGGAGCGGGGGGTGCACAGTATATGGCTAATTTCGAGCGGCGCCTTAGCCTTAGCACAGGCGCAATTGGGCAAATAGCTTTCACATAATCGGATCGGGCCCCTGGCCCTCGAGGTCCGATACCTGGCTCTGATAGTGCAGCGCATCCTGGTACGCCTTCTTCACGGCCTTCCGTTCCGCCGGCTTCCGGGACTCGATCAGCTTCTGCTGGTCCACCTGCTTGTCGATGCCCAGAATGTCCAGCTTATTGGCCGGCAGCCACTGCCAGGTGCGCTTCACATCGAAGAACAGCACCAGAAAAACGATGTCATCCAGGCAGTTCTTGCGCAGCGCCAGCACATCCGTGGGCGGGGCGGGCAGGGGCACGCCATTATAGACGAACCCCTTCGGCGTCTTCGGGTCGAGTATTAATGCGGGATACCACGGATAGCCACGGCACTTGGCCCACACCAGCTGCAGCGGCTCTAGCGTTGGCTTGTGCGAGTTGTGGTGCCGGGTCATGGTCACCACCTCCTCCACGTCTTCGCCGTGACGACTCTTGTTGTTGTTGGTGGCCGTTGCCGTGGTGTTCCGCCTCGCCTTGATGTTGTTCACCAGCGGCGAGACGATGCTGGGCGTGGCCGAGCGCAGTTTGCCCGCCTTTCGCATGATCGGCGGCGGCGTGGCCGTGGAGCTAGTCGTTGACTCGCTGAGGTTGCTGCGCCTCTTGCCACGGCCCCGGGCAGCTGACATGACCGGCCCACGCGCCGCCATCGGTATGGGTGTGGGCGTGGGCGTACTGCGGGACGTTCTTGTCTTGCTCGGCCTGCCTCGCCTCTTCTGATGTGGCTGTCCAGCCATCACTGCCTCATCTTCGCTGGAGCTGCCGCTGGCCCCGCTGCTGCTGCTGATGGCCATGTTCCCGTTGCCCTGGCTGTTGTTCAGGCTGAGGCTGGCGTGCTGCAGGTCCATGGCGTCGGTGGTGCCGTCCTGCGTGGACGTGGACTCCCTCTCCTCGCTGCGCCCATCGCTTGCCTCGTCGCTGTCAAAGTCCGAGCAGCTGCCGGACATGCTGAAGTCTGAACAGCTGCTGCAGGGGCTGCTGGACTGGGAGGGGCCTTCGTCGCTATCGCTCACGTCCCTCTGGTTGTTCGCCCGATAGACGCGAAAGCTGTCCGGAATGCGCTCGAAGAGTCGTGCGTCTGGCACCGGCGTGGCCTGGCTGGAGGCGGAATTGGCTCCCGCTGCTACTGCCGCCGCAGCTGCTGCTGCTGCCGCCGCTGCCGCAGGATTGGGAGACTTCTTTGGTGACATGGAAGCACTGTTTCTCAGCTCAGGCAGCCGTCGGTAGCGTCCCGGCCTCTTTGGCGACTTCACGCCAAGATTGAGGCTCATCTTGCTGCTGATCGACAGGGCCGTGGATGTCAGGCTGGCCGCTGCAGCTGCTCCAGCCAGTGCGCCCACACCCGGAGCCGCAGATGCACTCCCGGCCGCTCCGCTGTTGCTGTTCTGAATCAACGTGAAGCTCGAGACTGAGCCAGTGGCAGAGGCAGTGGGAGTGGCAGTGGCTGTGGCCAGGACACTGTTCAGCGAGGCCACGCTGGTGGCAGCTGTGGCCGCCGTGGCATTGGAGGAGGAGCTGGCACTGGCACTGTGGCCGATGGACTGGCTGCTGGAGGATTGGGAATTGTGGTGTTCCTCCTTCACGGGCGTCGTTAGCGGCTCTGAGGGTCGTTTGAGAGCCGCCTGAGACTTACGCGTCAGCAGTATGGCCGTTCTAGAGGGGATGCCAAGGTTAGGATTAGGTATGCCATGGTTATGGAATGGTTCTCACCTTCGGTTGATGCCCACGGGCGAGCTGCTGTTGTTTAGACTCTTGATGGGGCTGCAGGGCGGCGTTTGCGTTGTGCTAAGCGTTTCCTTGACAGCCTCCTCATCGCCATCGCCATCGCCCTCCCCGTCGCCCATCGAATCCTCCTCAGAGTCCTCATCGTCTTCCACGTCGTCATCCTGCTCCAGGTCCATATCCATGGCGCTGCTGTTCAGACGCTTACGCGAACGCTTCTTGGACGGTGAGCCTTGTCTGCCTCTACCCTCATCATCGTCGCTCCGTGAGCGATTGGCGTGCACCGACGAGTGACGCTGCAGGAGGGAGACGTTAGTTTGTGATGCGGAAAGAAAACGGTCAGGACTTGGAGGCACACTTACCGCTGCGTAGCGCGCCTTTTGCAGAGACTTGCGCATCCGCGTGATCTCCAGACGGATCTGCTTGATCTTCTTGGTGCGGTAGCTGGGATTCTTGAGCACCTGCGACTTGTCGGCCAGTATGAGCAGCTTCTGGACGATATCCTCGCTGGCCGGCACCGCCAGCAGCTGTCGCAGCTCCTGCTCCACCTCCGCCTCCACATGATCGACATGCGAGCGCTGCGACCGCTCTAAAAGGCCATCCCGCTGCAGCTCCTTGCGCAGCTGCACGAACAGAGGGGCCGCCTGGTCGCGCAACCGGATCCCGGCGCGATAGAACACCGTGTCCTTGTTGTTGTACGCCAGACAGTTCTGGATCATCAGATCGAAGTCGGTCTCCAGCTGCTCCAGTGTGGTGTACTGGCAGTCCTTGAGCCGCGTCCGCATGGTGCCCAGGTCCATGGGATGCTTCACAATGTCCGTGTAGTCGGGCACCTCGCTGGTGTCCACCGGCTCGCGGAATATCTCCATGGTGTCGCGCGTCTCGAGCGCATCCAGCAGCTTGGTCAGCGCCGACTCGAGCGGATTGAGCTGCAGCATCACGACCTCCTCGGAGATCTTCACGAAGGCCACCTTCAGCTTCTCCCGCTTGCGCACCAGCTCGCAGAGCAGTCGCGCCCGCTCCAGATCCTGGCGCAGGCACTGCCAGTACTTCAGCTGCCTGTACAGCTCGTTCGTGTCCGGGGAGCCCTCGATGCCGTTGCGCTGGATCACGCCGTGGTTGTGGCCCTGGCTCTGCAGGCGACGCAGCAGCGGCACACCGTTCCGGTAGTGACGCTTCAGCGTCCAGTAGGCGATGATGCGGTCCAGGAACTCCTTCTTCTTCTGCATCGTGACCATGGTGGCGATCTCCTGTACACGATCCGGCGGTATCGTCGGTATCAGCACCACCGGTGCCGTGGATCTTTTCTTGGCCAGCGCCTTGCGCGCCTCCCGCATCTTGTGGCGCGTGTCCTCGAAATCGGGCACGTTCATCTTCAGCTTAGCGTCGGCCGGCGTGTGGGCGTGGCAGTAGGCAAACTTCTGCACATGCATGGAGGAGTCGTTGTGGCCGTCCTTGATCGTGTCCATGGTCATGTAGAGGCCCGCCTGCTGGGCACAGGTCACATGGAAGGCGGCATAGCAGCTGTTCCTGTGGCACTGGATGCAGGCACCCAGACCCTTCTCCTTGCACACATAGCACGTGAGCCGCCAGCGGGCAGGGGGAATGGTCTCGATAGAATCTAAGACCAAAGGGGGATAACAAGTTAGTCAAGAAGAGAACGCAATAGAGAGAGAGATCAGGACGAGGGGAAATACAAACCAATTGGCTCCAGGAAGACGGTATTGGCGAACCGCACCTCGGGTATCCACAGAGCACACACCACATGCGCCCACTGGCCGTGGTCCGTCTGCTTGAAGGCGCCACCGGCGTTCGGGCAGAGGACACAGTTGACCGGCTTGCTGGGCGACTGCAAGCAGCGGCGACAGAGCCACTGGCCCTCGGGTATGTAGGGCACGCCGTAGCAGTCCTGATGCACCGCCAGGTTGCACATGTCGCAGAAGAGTATCACGTTGGTGTTCTGGCACTCGCCGTCGAGGCAGATGCAGCAGACCGCATCGTCGTCCACCTCGACGCCGGTGGGCGTGCCATTGGCCGCCGCCTGGAAGTGCGACTCCTTCTCGAGGCGATCCATCAGCAGCTCCATGGTGTCGATGCTGACGGCATTCAGGCCGAGCTTCTGCCGCTCCTCGTTCATGTGCTCCAGCCAGGCGGAGTCCTCCTCATCCACATCGTACTCGATCTCACCGTCGAGCTCCTCCAGGGACTTTTCGATGAAGCGATAGTAGGCCAGCGGCCGGGGCGGGGCATCAGGCACATTGTAGTCTTCGATTTCGCACACCTTCGCCACCGGCACCTGCACCTTGGCCCACGGCGCGTTCTCCTCCAGCGGAGGGGCATCCGCATTCAGGATGCAGCCCCGCTCCACCAGGCCGACGAACTCCTCTTCGTCGACCATCGGCAGGGCGTCATCGATGCCCAGGCGCACACTCTTGCCCTCGATATTGAAGGTGACTGTGGCCTCCTCCTCGTTGTAGGCGACCAGGGACTCGGGATTGGCGTACTGATGGCGACTGCTGCTCCCGCTGCTGCCGGTGCAGCCGTTTTTGGCCTCCCCGGCAACGCTGAACGCATCCACACCGCTGCCGTTGTCCTTTGGCTTGAGCGTCGAGTGGTGCGTGGAGCGGGAACGCGCCTTTTTTCGGTTCGGCGTCAGGACGGGCGTCAGCGGCTGCGGATTGTCGTGGTCGTACTTCACCAAATGGTACTGCAGCCCCATGATCGTCTTGTAGCTGCGGTCACAGTCGCGCACTGGACACGCATACGGTGGCTGGGATTGCTTGTTCTTCACGCCTTTGCAGTACTCCAGGGCATCGAAGTCGAGTCCCATGGCTGCGCTGCTGCTGCTGCTGCGAGTTTGTTGTGTGTGTGGCTTCTGGTTTCGAATGGGGACAAGTGTGTCTACTCCCGCATACGGATTTTCATATATACATCTTATTGTTGTTGTCGCAATGCGCGCGGTTTTTTTGTTGTCCCCCTTTCCTGTTCGGATTTTCGTTAGCTTGTTGCAAAAAACGCGATATTAACAAATGAGCTAGTGGTGGTGGTGTACCAACCAAATTCGCCATATCGATAGTATCGCGTGGACACGATGCGGCATATTACAACACTACACATGGGAAATATTTATGGAAATGCCATTTCACTGACAACAGTAAAGGTATAAGCAGATATTTGACAATATTTTTTTTATAATCAATAAAAATCGCCACTCGAGTGCCGTTTGTGTAGGGATAGCTGTGCATCTGTTTCGGCTGGTTTCAGCTAGGGATGGGAGCTGACTGAACATGTTGAACTAGTTCCATGTTAACTAAATTCATTAATTGGAAAACAATGGAATATCTTGTTAGTTTTTTATAATTTATATTTCTGCCGATACTTTACAATTTTAAAGAATTATTCCGGGTCATATTATCTACTCTAGACGAATTATTTTATATTTGCTAAATTTGCGCGGGAACTTTTCTGCAACTTTAGTGTTGTAAAACGAGCATTGTTCTGCAACTTTGGCACGCTATGAACCATAATCTACATACCATGGGAAAATGGATAGAATATAAAACTATATTTTTAGTGTTAAAGTTCTAACTATCTGGTAATATTAAACCGAATATCAAAATCGATATATAATAACGAATCTTGTCGAGGCCGTCAGTATATTTACGGTATATTATTTAATCAATAATATACCTTTCAAAATGACCGCCAAACTCCATTTAGCGCACAAAAAATACCGACATTTTTCGTTCTCAAATCGTGGTGGTTTTTTTTAATGTTCTCTCATTTTCGAGGTGAAGAGAGCGCTTTTCGTGGTGAATGCAGAAACTACTCAGTCTCTGTTTCAAAGATATTAACCAAATTTTGCAGCTTAAGCGTACCAATAATGGGTGTCGGGACCTGGATAAATGTATATACAAACACACAAAAAATTCATATATAGTTAAAAAAACATGTCAATCTAGGAAAAATGCAATATTAATGTTTCAAAGCAGCTTGGAACAACAAATTGAACATTAATTAAAGGAAATAGGGTATACAAATGTTCATACGCATGCAGATACTTGGCCTGCAACAATGAAGGAATGTGACCGGAGTTCACACTTACGTTTTATGCTTTGGCCGTTTTTTTTTAACCTTATTATGTAAACAATCCAATAAACAGGAGTTCAGAAAACTATCCAATCCTGTACAAAATTTATTGATAAATTGGATTAAATTATTTGTTTAGGGCTGAGTGGGCTAACTAGCTGGTAATATTAAACCGAATATCAAAATTGAGGAATGTAAACGCATCTTGTCGTGGCCGTCAGTATATTTACTGTATATTTCGGTATATTTCTGAGAGTCGGGCGGTATTTTTATCGATAAGCCCGTTTTTGAGTTGACGCGTCTTTATTGCCGCCATTTGAAATAAACGGGACAGAAAAAGAAAAGGCGACTCGAGAAAGTATAGAAAAACTTAGCGAATTTGCGTAGATTCAGTTTTGTGCCAAATGGAAGACATGTTGGATATAATGCGGCCCCTGTCGCGGCTGGAGCTGGAACTGGAGGAGATCAGAAAGGTATTTTTTCGGGCTGCAGTGTGCATGGAACACGTCGATCAATATGGCGACGCTCTTTTGGTTTTTCTTTTGCAGGCTCATTTCAAGGAGCTGGACGAACTGTTCTACGGCGTCAAGACCAAAGATGCCAAGCCGGTGGACAGCACGCCCGCACAGAGCGAAGGCTCCTCGGTGACGCCACAGCAGACCAAGAAGCGACCCAAGCGGTTGACCGCCCTGACGGAGAACACAGACGAGACCGAAGGTGAGTTGTGCAGCTGGCCACAAGGCGAACAAGTCTCACGTTGCACTCTTCCCAGATGCCGCCGATGTCACGGCAGACTCTTCGGGCCGCCAGAGTGCACGGCTGAGCAACTCACAGCTGCTGGCCATTGCCGAGGATGATAATTTGAACAGCACCGCATCGCTAATGCCGCCGCCACCGGCACCGACTCCATCCGACACCACCATGAGCTCGGGCCGTCCACAGCGGGCTGCAAAATTGAAATCGGAAAAGCTGCTCAAGGAGCCCTCACTCAACCGCAAGATGCGTCGTCCTAGCGACGAGGAAATGATCCGGGTGAAGGTGGAGAGCGATCATCGCGCCTCACAGTTCAACAGGTCCGGCATCAAGGCACAAAATGTAGCTCCAGTGGCCGAGCCGACAGCCGTGGAGGAGCCACTGCCAGAGGCAGCAGCAGTAACAACACCACCAGTGGTCCCCATTGAGAAGCCAGTAGAGATCCCTGTCTCCCAGAATTTGCGCGTCAAAATCAAGCGGGAGAAGCTCACGGGCGAGTTACCGCCGCCACCGCCCCCCGCTGATGTTACAACCACAATTTTGGAGACGGATGCCACCAGGACGGATGAGACTGTGGTCAGCAACACGACAACAGCATCCGAGATGTCCAAGAAGGGGCGAAAGAAGAAGAAGGACCCTTGCCATCGACCCATCAAGGTGGAGCGATTCAGTGAGATTGATCAAAACTCGCCAGTGTCCTCGCGGACACGCAAGAACAGCACCGAGTCGCGCACCCAGGAGCGCTCCATCTACAAGGACGCCCTCGAGGAGCCACCGATTGAAGAGCAGCAACAGACCCCCATGGCTGCTGCTGCCGTCGTTAATGAGACGATGACCGTGTGGAACGCCACCATGGTGCTGGGTCCGGCTCCCACCGATGAAAGTCCCATCACAGCGCCGGCCGACGCCACCTTCGAAGTGATTCCCAGCAAGATGGTGTCCCAAATGCCGGAGTCAGGGCCAGCGCGGGAGAGTCTGCTGACCGAGGATGAGTCGCTGGACGACAGGGTGCCAATGGCCAAATTTCTCTCGAATGTGAAGACCATAAAGCTGCCTGGGCGACCCCACGAGCTGTTTAAGTGAGTATGAATAGAATTTGCAGACCCATTGGAATTGGAGATTCAATGCTACCCTTTTGTCCTGCCCGCAGTCCGCTCCTGCAGAGTCCGGTAAAGATGCGCGTGGAGGCGTTCGAAAATGCAGCCCTTGCCCAGAGTAAATTGCGCGCCCCGCGAGCCAAGGATGTCGTAAGTGTGCACACTGCACCTCGTTTGGTCGGGAACTGATGACTCTTTTTCTACTTATTCAGGGCACGCCAGGATCGAACAACACGCCCAAGATTGGCAGGTTGCAGCTGCCGACTGTGGGGCGCTTCTATACGCCCACTCAGACCACGAGTGCACTGCCCCTGAGCGCGGCACCGGCCAAGAAGGCCCCCTTGAGTGCCTCGAAGGCAACGACACTCTTGAAGACTGCCACCGGGACCAACCTAAAGTCCACCAATTCTACATCCAGCAAGACCTTGTCGCGCGAGAACAGTGGCGACGACTTCCGGAAGGGTCTGCACAACCTGGCCGAGGAACGCAAGAAGCTGCGCGAGCAGAAGCATCAGCAGGCCGCCCAGCAGCGAGAGGCCAAGGAGCAGGAGCGAGCCGAACGCTTGGCCAAGCAGGCTGCGGAGCGCGCCAAGGTACGGGAACGAAAGAAGCTGGAGGAGCGCAAGCGGCTGGAGATGGAGGAGCGCAAGCGGCTGGAGCTGGAGGAGCTGAATCGTAAGATGCGCCAGCAGGAGGCGGCCGAGGCCCTCAAGAAGGCCAAGCTCCGGGAGCTGGAGCATCAGAAGTTGGCACAGCTGACCGGGGCCAAGAAGAAGATGCTGCCACCGCCGCCGAAGACAAAATACACCTGGGACATGCTGCACGAGGATGACTCCACCGACGACGAGGGCAAGGTCAGCCACAAGCGTCCGCCGGCACCCACCTGGAGTCGCAGTAAGTGGCTGCCATTCGCTGTGGCTAATTCCTTTAATTTAATCCGCATATTTCTGTCCCTTTTTTTGCAGGCCATGTGCGCCGCGAGGCGATTACCATGCAGAGCCACTGCCCCACAGATGTCATCGACAGCTTCTTCTCGGTGGCACCCACCACGCCGGACCTGAAACAGATTTTCCCCAACATCGATCCCAGCCAGCTGAAGCGCAACTCCAGTGTGCACTGGTCCACGCCCCCTCGCTACTCGGAGCTCCCAAAATACTAGTTATACATATCCAAATGATCCTTTGTTTATCTTAGTATTCTTTATACGGGAAATGTATGCATATTTATGTAATTATGAAATATTTACTAGTATATAATTGAAGTTTAAATGAAATAAAGTTATTTGCGAAAAGTAAAGCAAGATACCGCTCCATACCGGGTCTTCCATTCCATGCCACTTGATTCCCTCTGACACTAATACCCAACTGCTTAAGAACTATTAAAGCCGCCGGCGTGCTCAATTAATGGTCTTCTTGGGGTCTTGCTTGGAGGGGCTTTGATGTTTTGATGCTCCGAGGTGTTTCCATTAACAATGAAGAAGGTGCTGTTGTTTTTGTTGCTGCTTCTGTTTCTGTCGATTCGTGAAAAGTGTGGAAAGGCGCAGGTGAAAAAGAAAACAAGCAACACAGACACAATTTCACTGGTCATGGGGCATGGTTTTGTGGCATGATGAGCTGAGCAGCGGCAAATCTTCGATTGTACAAGTCAGCCGACCTGCCTCTCCTCTTCATTGCGCGTTTTTTTCGTTTTTCCCGATTGCCCCCCACCAACAGAAAAGATTTTCCTCGCAACCATTCTCATTTTCAATTGCATTGCTTTTGCTGGAAGCGAATCCGCAAATGAAAATCGCAACCAAATATCAAAGGATTTCCATTTTATTTCGTGCGTTTGCAATTTGCATAGTAATTGCTGATGATTGGAATGGGATCCGTTCCGGGCAATTTAGCCCCGCCAACAAGCATCGCTAGATTCCCTAACTAAGAACGTTCAGACTAGTCTTAATCTGGGATCGGATTAATGGCTGCATATTCAATAAATTGCCAATGTTATTGTTTCCTTTCCAGGGCCGGCTTTAGGGCAGGTGCCCTGGGCGCCAAGTTTTGGATTCGCCAAATGTCCAACTAGGGCTATTTTTTTCAAGTCTTCCAATATAAAAAGGCGGAGTCTCGTCACATGTACGCCCCAGGTGTCATAGGATCTAAAGCCGGCCCTGTTCCAGAAACTCACCACGGATCCAAGCTGGAGGAATCCACCATAAGGTAATCTTTTATAAAGACACCGTCGCGACGTTTGGATACCCTAACCGAGCAGTTTCCATTTTAAGCAGTAGCTGTCTCTTATAATAGGCTATGGTTAGGCATACAAATAAACTTAAACATTTTTCCATGAATGAAATAATAAGCAGGGTCCCTTAAATAGGTAAATCTTCAACATAATCCACCCCAGCTCAAATGTCATCTCAAGTCGCGTACACTCTTTATGTGCAATCCACTGTTCACCGATCGCAGCTTTTGGGGTTCCACGACTTGTGGAGCTTGCGGCTCCACCTTAGTCAGTCTCTGGCGATCGAACGGTGCACACCTGCTAGCGGGGTATTGGTAAGACAGCGTCGAAGCTGACGGCGACGGTGAAGTGAAGTAGGAGTCGCGCGAGTGCGTGTGCGTAGAAGCGAAAGAAAGAAACGAAGAAGCAACAACAACCAACACAAATTGAAGAAGCCACTCTGCCGGGCATGTACGTGTGTGTGTTTGTGTGTGCGTGCTTAAATCTATGAAAAGTGAATAACTAAAACGAGCTCAAAGCTACAAAAGTGTGTGCGTGTGTAAGAGAGTGAGTAAAGTAAAAGAAAACAACAACAAAAAAAGAGTGTTTTTTGTATCTCTAGAAGAAGCAGCCGCAAAAGGCAAATATGTAAACGTATAAATGATATTTGCGTGTATCTCTCTCTCTCTCTCTCTCTGTGTTTGTGTGTTTGTGTAGAAAAGCAAAAATATATATGTACAGCAGCAACAAAAACATCAAAAAAACTTTCTTTTTTTCGCGCTACCTTTTGGCTGTAACTTTGTTTTTGTGTCTTGCGGCTTTTGTTTATTGCATTGTTGTTGTTTCACGAGTGCCGCTGTGAAATTTGTTGCAAATTTTATAATTTGCCCAGTGTGTTGCACCTTTTCGCTGCCTAATTAACGGGCCGATTTGAAAAATATTGAAAAGAATGTGAATAAATTAAAATTTTGTGGAAGGAAAGAAAAACGATTTAAAATAACACAAGAAACAAAACTGCAGAAAATTAAAAGAGACGCAGCGCGACACTGCACTCCTAGCCGGATGCGCTCCTCCGTGATCAACCTGTCTACCCACACACACGCAGGCACACAGGCACACAACTTCCCTCCCTGCCTGTCTGTCTGTCGTCTTGCCTGCAATGTGATCTGGCCTGTCCACTCTGCTTAAATTGCCAAGAGCGCCTGCCCCTGCTCACCCCCTGCCGCTCTACTCTATGATACTCCCCACTCAAGTGTCCCGTTCCAGCATTTAATACTGTTACTTGTGCCATTTTGCGCGCACTTGTGCCAATTTTGTATGCAGCAGTAACAGCAGCAGCTGCCTCTCCCCCCTCTCCATACTGTGCTTGTCGCTTGATTTTTGCTTTTCGATAATTTAAAGCTAACATTCCTTCAAGCCACAAAACCGCATTTCTTGCAAACCCCTTTGCTCCACCACCACTCCAATCCGTCTGCGTTCCGTTTGGGTCTGGCTGGCTGGCTTTCGGAAATCTTCAATTTGTTGTGCCTTTCCGTTTTTTTTGCAGTTTTGTTTTTGGTGAAATTCGTTCCATTATTAACGTTGCTTATGTGCAAAAACTAATTGAAAATATCGTGCAATAGAAAGAGAAATAGAAAAGGAAAACAATAATCAGAAAACATCAATCACAAAAATCTGGCGAATTGCAATCGCATGATTAATGGCAGCGTTTTGAGGTGAGTCTGAAATGCAGGAAAAGTGCGGGGACGGGGAAATTTGTGGACTGCGTCTTACGAGGGTCGTCTGTCTCAGATGAGCATTTTTCACTCATATCTGAGATTCTTAAGTATCTGCAATGAATCTGCAAAGTTTGCGCGGCTGCATATTTAACGGAAAGTCATACAAAAGTCTTATGCAACTCTCTCCTGCTTCTGGCGAAGGCAGACACCACTCCTCTCTCCAACAAAAATGAGGGTTGCGCAACAGAAAGAGCACCAAAAAAAAAAACATACACAAAAACCTTTATGAAAATTCCATGAGTCATTTAACCCGAGAAGATGGAAAAAACAAAACTAATCACCAGCTGCAACTTCCGTTGGGGTGTTGAAAACGTCTCGAAAAGAAAGCAAATCTGGTAAAATACATACGGATTTCGGCAGGACAGAAGAGCCGAAATGAATCCCAGACAAGCGCCAGCGTGGGCGAATCATTCATTGGAAAAGTCAGAGCAGAAACAGCAGGAAAATGATGAAATGGAGTCATTTAATGACAGACGACAGACACAATCCCAAAGCGACAACACGCCCACGAAGCAACCAATGTGTGTGTTGCTTGTTGTTTACAAGAAAACTTTCTATTTCATTCGCGCTTCTCCATGCGTACCATTACATTTTTTCAAGGTTCCACACGAAAATCCCTTTTGGTTCCGTTGTCTCAGAGTAAACAAATATTAAACAAGAAAGAAGAGCTAGCTTCAGAGGCCGAGTGTTGAGATACCCTTTTAGGTGTTAATGTACCTGGGATATTGATTGAATTGTCATGGATACAGAGACCAGAAAGAAAGATATAGTTTTCATAGATATTTGTTAAAGAGACAGATCGGATAGTTGGACTCGCATAGCGATGCGGATAAAGGAAGGATATACAGACATACTTAAGATGCGCATAAATGCTTCCCTCTCTAATAGTCTTGAAGTCTTAAACTGAGTTACTCTCTGTTAGGGTATAGTCAAAAAACCAAAAAAAACTGCCAAAAATCGTCTTTGGGCATGACTCAACCCCATGTTGCACATGTTACCGGCTCAATCCGGTCGTGTCCGGCTCTGAGATCACGTAGCAGAGCAAAACAAAGCCAGCAACCTTTACCTTTCCTTTCCTTTACTTACCTTTGCTCTGCTCTGCCATTGCCTCCGACTGTTGCCGCTTCTCTCGATGCCGCCACGATGCTTTCACTTTCCATCTAATGCACGGCAATTGCTTTTGCGGTCTGCGAGGCCTGATCTTGTTTTGGCTTCTGATTAGCAGCGACACGAGACACATTCGGTAATCGTTCGGCAAGCCCCCAGGATCGATTAGAGATCATCGCATGGTAATGGCTTTGGATATCTGCATACATACGAGTGGTACGTTTGTGTTTAGTCTGGAATTTCACTTTTGCTTTCTGACACCTCTCAACTTGTGCCCCCAAACTTTCGCTGCAAGCCAATTTCTGTGCGCGCAGACTCTGGACATCAATCAAAATTAGCATTTCAATCAGCTGAGAGTGCAGTTAGCTTTTTGAATGAAACCTTTAGCTCGAGATTTTATGTAATCATCGAAAAAGTTTTTCTGAAAGTATTTCTTTTTTATTGGGCCCATCAGAAAACAGAAACTAAGCTGGAAAACGTCTTTACATAAGAGAGGGGCAAGGGTCAAAGCAATTGTAGAGCACTCGGGGGACTTTTGATGGCCTATAGCCTGGGGCTGACTGATGTAATGTGTGTAGTGTAGTGGCAGAAACAAAAGACTCAAGCCACAAACTATAGAATACACTTTGCTTATTTTTCTAAAAAGTTTTTCTCTTCCTTTTTTGCAGCATAAATCTACATGAGGAAAGCAGAAAGATGCCACCACAAATTTCAATTCAACAATAAAACAATCTAAAAAAAACACACACACACAACAAAAACCACAGAAAGATAGAAAACCCCAAAGTGTGGCACAGAAGCAAGGAGGAGGCTGAAGAAGGAGCATTGAATTTATGCAAAAATGCGACGAAAGCCACAAAACTTAACAGAAAGTAAACAATCGAGTAGTAGAGACGAAGACGCAGACGCAGACGGAGACGAAGGCGGCGGAACTGTCCATAGAGGTGGCACCTTCTCAGCGTCAGCCTTCTCCAACGATCCCAACAATAGAATGCCAAGAGACCATCGACACATGATGGCCATGTGGCTGGCATTGCTGTTGTTGTTCGTACAAACAACGGGTAAGTGTTGGCATAAAGAAAGAGGGAGGGACAAAGGGGGGATACAGTGACAAGCGCAACAAGAGAATTTCACATGAATTCTGTTAATAAATTGAACCTTAATTGTGAGTCAGGGAACAGCCAGCCACCAACTTTCCCGATTTGAGAGGATGAAAGTTTCCGATAGATAATTTGAGAATTTTCAGAAACAAGCGAAATGTTTGCATGGATCCCCGTCTATACCCCGTCCACTGGTATTATAAAAATTTGTAGAACCAAGAACCATTTAAATTTATAAAATCTACATCATTTCTATGGAACTCGAAGCATTTAAAAGAGCTTGAAAAAAGAACATTTTTTCTCCCAATATTCGTACGTGTGCCGATGAAGATGCTCCGACACGGCTTGTACGTGCCTCTTCTTTAGCTGTTTTGTGTTGTTTTTAGAAAGCTTGCGTTTGCTGCATAATTTATTAGGCGTTACTAAGAATGCGCATAGGTTTGGTGGCTCCCCAGCTCGTTTGGTCTCGTTGCAAATGAAAAACTGTGCCAAGCGTAATGAAGTGTACCGCGAGACTGTACCTGTACCCTGTACTCAGAGGCACAGCACAGTCTATCTGCCTGTCTTTCTATCTGTACACCCGCACAGTTGTGTTCAATTGTTTTGGGCCGCCTGCCAAGAAGTTTGTTAATTTTTGCTCTTTCTGCCACTGAAATACGGGTCTGACCCACTCTGCACTCTGCCGCATATCTCTCCTGGGATCTCTGCAGTGTGGGGGAGGTGACACATTTGAAATGTCTCAAAAATATATTTAAAATCCATCTCGAAACTGGGTTGCCTCCTAGACAGTAATCCGGTGTGAATCATGGGTTTACTTTGGATTGCACAATCGCGATTATTCATGCCGCGATTCATTGGGATGGGCTTGGACATGGGCTGGCCTGGGTTTTTGTTTTTCTGTTGCCTGTTGGTCGTTTTTCTTTGTCGCTTACCAAGTGCGTGACGTGCGTAAAGTCCAAGTTAATTAATGTTTATTATGACTCGACCAGACGCGGGTTCATAATCGCCGAGTGTTAATGTATTGGTTATTATATAAGCTAAGTGAAGTTAAATGTCATTAAACAGATGGCAAAAAGTAAGGAAAAACTATTGGAAATAGAGGAATTTTATACCATACATGTGTTTCTTAACAAATTAAACTAAAAATACATATGAAACTTGTTATAACCAGAGCATACCCTTTTGTTGTTCAAATAACTTTGTTCAACTTTACTTAAAAGAAATGCATTCTCGTTAATTATTTATATTTGCATTTAATTAACATCCCCTTCCATCACCTTTCATGCCACAGCATTTCCCATACATTAAAACTACGAGTAAATTCCCCAATTAAGAGCCGTACCCGTAGGTTTGTGGAATGCATTCCACATACATGCTCTCATGCACTGCTTGCTTCTGCACTCCAATGGAAAGCGCAGCATTAGGCAGCCACTGTAACCGTTTAATTGCAATACATCCAACCCCCTGGTGGAGGGGGAATCAATTAAAGCTAACTGCACTGTTTACTGGGCCATTTGAGGCAGTACCACTTGTGGCTGTAACTGGAATTGGAACCTTTCATGCAGCTAATAAGCCTTTCGTATCCAAATGGAATTTACATAAACCTGCAAACAAGGTAGCGGCTAAATTGGGTGAAGTGAAACGATGTGAGAGACCAGCCAGGCAGCAGAAGGCAGCAGGCAGCAAACTTAATTAAAAAGAATCTTCAATTGAGTTATGGCTTAAAGAAACAGAAGAAGAGGCAATGCCATGGTAACAGTTACAGCCCATCTAACGGCGTTTCTACTATAGGTGGCCGGCCTTCGATATTTGTGGAACTATAACGAATCTTTGGGACGCACCCCCCTGGAAAAGTGTCAAAGAAAGCGCCATGAGTCGTCCGTTTATTTTCCAGAGTCATGGAATCATTGAACGAAACAATCGATGAATCGATGGGGAGAGATTGACTGCGGTGCCATGACACTCTAACCCATTGACTTACTCCCCTCTCTCTCTCTCTCTGTTGGATCTTTCGTTTTCATCTCTCTTTGGGTTCCAACTGTTAAGCTGATTACATTTTCAGATTAGCTTCTTCCACAAACAATTTTTCCTTACAATTTTTGTCAGTATTTTCTTTTTGGCACATTTCTGTTACATGGCCCACTTGCCACAAAGAGAGCCAGAGAGGTGCAGCGAGACAGAGACAGGGAATTTATAAATAATAAAAAAAAGAAAGAAAAAAATTGTGGCTCAATGCACCAGAAGAAGAAGAAAAGAAGTTGCCGCCGCCGTTGACGTTGCCGTTTGCAGGCTGAACAAAAATTTATCGCTTGAGATTTTATTGGGTCAAGAGGCAGGTTGGCAGGTTTTTTTCGTGGATTTAGTTGGGTCTTTCTCAGATCTGATGTGTGGATTCTTGGTGGGCTTCGGGCACCCAAAGTCTCTTGGAATGTTGACGCAATTAATTATGGGGATATTTTTATGAACAGGTGTGCCGGAACCCTTAAGGTGAGTGATCCATGTTGAAGAAGATATCGTTCGAACTGTGAGTGGAGATCTTTTACTCCTCTTACTTGTGGCAGAGTTCAATTTAATCTTCGATACTCTGGAGCATGTGATGCTCGTAATCAGACCACATGCTGCTGATCTTCTGCTGATCTTTCGTTTTCAATTAACGTAAACGTTTCCACGCATTCCCTTTCGGAGATCATTCAATCGAAGGCGAGCACTGCCTGAGCTTGAATGCGGCACCCAATCACAACATGAAACTGAGTCCGAAGCCGTATCAATAACTGCATACTTTCCCTTTCCCGTGAGAAGAGATACTCTCTCGGAGTTTCGGATAAAAGATGCCCAAAATTGTACAATAAAATTCGGCACAACGAAAGTTGCACACACACACACACCCAAAGAAAGAGAAGAAGGAGAAGTAGAAGGAGAAAGAGGAGAGAGAGACTCCCATTGGGGCAGGTAGACTGAAAGAAACATCTCTGAACCCACAATTTATCTCGTTTTTGGCTCCATGTTCGTTCTTCTTTAATGGGTTGTCCTGCCCCCAGCGGCGGCGGCGTCAGCAGCTCTGGGCCGCAATTCAAGTCTCACAGAGAGAGGGAGGGAGAGTGGGAGAGAGGAACCCTTTCATGTCGCGGCGTTGACAATCAATGGCAATCAATGAAGATATGTTGCCCCTTTCGAACCGGTTCGCATTGGAATCTCTTAACAGCTCACATTCTTCCATTGCCAATAATAATTTTTGCATAAACAAAAGACTTGGACAACAAACATCCTTTTAACGCATGGAAAAACATAATATTCTGTTTAGTTTTTTAGTTCAACAAAATTTTTAATTTACTTTTAATTTAAAAGAAATCATTAATTTTTCAGGATTTTTTTTTAATATTTAAAAGATTTTCATCAGCTTAAGAACTACAAATATTATTTTGCCGCAAATATTTTCCATGAATTCCTCAACAGAAAAGTTATGAAAAAATTTCAAAAAGAAATACGAACATAAAAAGTTTTGAAAAGAAAAAGAATCCGAGTATCTGAGTAATCTGGAAGGTAAAGCGCCGTTAAATGGGTGCAGTTAGGTGTCACGCACACACCTGTCTGTATGCCTGTATACGAGTATATGTATGTATGTATCTGGGTTTACGGGCCTAGCATGACACAATAAAGCCCACGCACACACGCACACAGATACAGACAGACACAGACACTTTACCCATTTCCACTATTTGGCACGCAGTCAGAAGAAGCCTAATAAAAAGCTGGCTTACAGACAGAAAGACAGACAGAAGAGTTTATGTTGTATATAGCTATAGATTCTCTTTATATATAGAGGAGCCGGTTCTGTTGGTCACTTGTTGTAGATTTTTATTTGACGTATACACACAGATACAGAAACAGAAACAGAGACTTGAACTTGTCACAGACCATTAAGACCATATTGGCCGGCAACTTGTTTCCGTTTGGTGGCTACTGTGGGTACATTGACACAGTTTCATTTGGTGAGAAGAAACATAGAGCTGGAGAAATGGAGAAATGAAGAGCAGAGAGCAGAGAGCATAGAGAGAGAGAGAGAGAGAGAGGGGGACTTATCAATCAATAAATTCTCTTACAGCGTTCTCTAAGCCACGTGGAACGTGTTTCTCTGACAGATTCGCCTGAAGGCCCGTCATTTCTGTGCCCATTCTTTTCAATGTTGTCGCATTTCTAGTGTTCTATTTATTCTTCTTGAATTTAAAATATGATTTTTAATTGTTCAATTAGTGCTCCCCTCGCTCCATCACATCGCTGGGTTACTGACCCAAGAAGCGGCTTGGGAAATACAAAACTATTCCCGACACAAGTGGCAGGGCAGGGGCCCGACAAAGATTTCAACTATGCGCCAGCGCATTCTTTATCCAGAGATCGTGCAGATCGCTTATCGCCTGCTAAATTGCAGCTAGTTATAGGGTTACAATCTTGTTTCTGTTTCTTTTTCTTGTTTCTTTTTCATGGACAGGCACTGGGGACTGCGGCTGCGACTACGGCCATTAGCGCGATTCTGGCCATTGTTCTGGCTGGAACTGGAATGCGTTGTAGCGCTCTTCTTGTGGCCTCTTCTTCCCCCATCTGGCCGCACTTAATTAAGCATCTCTTTGGGCAGAATTAGATTTCATAAGTGGCGGCAATTAACTCGTGGATGCCTGCAGCAAACCATTGCTCTCCATTCATATGCGAGGATGTTTTCCAGTGTTCATTTTTCTTCGACTTCGAGCCCATTAAAGCCAACAGAGCGCATCCAGCGGCTGCTGCTAATAAATTTCCCTCTCCTTTTGCTGTTTGTGTCTTGGATTTTGGCTTAGACATGCCCCTCCGCAGGGGGCGCGCAGGCAGCGGAGCGTAACCAGCAGCAGCAGCAGAAATGCAGTCCGACTGCAACCGGCTTTGGCTTTGGCTCTGAGTCTGGGGGTTTAAGGCGGTTAGATCAGAGCCAGACCTTGATTAAGGTCATTCGCTTTGAAAAAAAAACCTTCATTCCCAGTCCCAGGGTCCAATACAAAGGATGCCACAAAGTACACTCGAAGAAAAGGAAAGTTTTTGCTCAGCTTAGGATGGAATATTTTAAAGATAAAATTAACTATTTCCTCTAGCATTCTTATGTGCACTTCTTCGATTTGGGTATACCAAATGGTAAGACACGCGCTGCCAAATGCAAAACTCCAAAACGCCAAAGGCCAAACGTCATGGTCGAACAGAAAGAAAAGCGAGAAGATACGAGCATGGCTATGGAAAATCAATTTTCCAGTGAAATTTCACTAGACAACAACTTCAGTCTGAGTCTCAAGTGAAGTGAAGTGAAGTGAAGTTGTCTTTTGGTCTTGGAACTTCTCTTCTCATTCGTCTTTCTGTTAATTGCAGCTCATGCATTTCAGCTGGATAGACACGGCCAGAATGGGGGAAGAGGAGTAGACACATTTCAAGTTCTTTTCAACACTCCAGTGCTCCGTCTCCCTCTGGTGCTGCTGTTGCTGCTGCTGCCCCATGGCCAATTGTTTGTGCAGACACAGCCGTGGACAGACAACAGTCGAGTGATTGTCTGAGAAGTTCCTCTATTTGCTTTGCTAATGAAATATCTGCCGTACATTTGTATCCACGGAGTGACGCTGCATCCGTAGAATCCATTGCAGCCGTCCCACGCCACGACTTTCCTTTGTGGCTCAATTTTTGTTTATAGTTTTACGGCCGCCCAACACAACGAAAGTTCCGTGCCCCAAGAATGCCCCACAGCAAATCAATTAGCACTAAATCAAATTTTAAATGCCACAACATGGACAACGCCCTCAAAAAAGAAGTTCACCCCGACCGGACTGAAGCTGGAAGCTCGTGGAACTTGAGGCGTGCCTCACAGATGATGGGTCTGTGCGATGGGCTCTTCCTATAAAAGAAATCTTGGCCAAAAGCCCAAGACCAAGAGTCTATGGCTTACGTTTATGGCTGGAAAAAGAAGAAATGTAAAAGCGAGTTGGGGATTAGATTCGTTTAGATATATTGTTTGAGATTGCTTTGAGTAGAGTCGAGGAAATCGTTGTATGAGAAATGTGAATGTCGTTATGTGATATTTAGGCTCGGCCAAATGCTGCCTTTATTGAGAGCTCCTAACTATGAAGATGAATCAGTTACATTCATGGCTATAAATGTCTAGGCTTTGTTTAAGTTGAGCTAACCTTTTTTTTTTACATGTGAAAGACTTATTTTGTATACAATTTCTATGAAGATTCAGCTTTTTATTTGTATCTAAATCCAGCTCAAAACTCGAATAACATACGAATTAATATCTCACATTGTTTATGTTTATTTGAATTATTTCCTGCTTTCAATTACCTTCACTTTCGGCTCTTAACTTGTGGCATTATTTATATACATATATTCGTAATTACATAAATGCATTTATTTATGGTGAAAACATGACCAATTGTCGAATTTTGTTGGCTTTGCAGCTAACCATAAAATGTTATTATTGCACAATCAGTGATCCACCTGCTACTCCTACTCCTCCGTCGAATGTGTGTGTGTGTGTGTGTTCTTAGGGCAGACATGTCGTATGCGTAATGCGGCCCTGTACGTGTGCCAAATATTGAAGTATTTCATAAGCAATTATCCACGCTAGCTCCGGTCTGGCCTTCCCTCCCAGTCGACGGATCTAATGTGTGTCTCTGCCCCCTCCATTCGAGAAGTGCAGCGAAATAGAAAGTGATTTTCTGTCGTCAGTTTGGAGGCGCTGAAATTGCCAATTTGAATGGAGCAGGGAGAGGTAGTTGGAGACGTTGTTGGTGTGTAGGTTGAGACACAAATCGTGCGGCCTCCTACCACTCCCAGTCCCCTTTGTCGTGGGCTGAAGTGGCGTTTAAATTAGTGTAGGCAAGCGCTGGAACTAATGACGATGTTGCTGCTGCTGCTGCAAGTACAAGTACGAGTACGAGTCCACTGTGTTGCCACGGTCTCGTCTCTGAGTTGTCATCCAGCCAGGGTGCATTCAACCCGGCATACAGCCCCGAGAGTCCCAATTGAAAGTCCCAAATTTTACTTTCATTTGTGGCAACAGCAACAGAAGCAGCAGCAGCCGCAGCCTGTTGTCCGTGAAAGTGCTGTGCATGCAATTCAATTTTTGAGATTTTTTTCAAAATTTGTGTTACACATTTACCCAACTATGTCCATGTCCAGATCCATGTCCAGATTCAGGTTCAGGTCCGAGTCTGATAATTTCACAGCCGCCGGCGGCGGATCAGAGCCACAGACAGACTCACTTTCAGCCAATTCAATTTGGAATCGATTAAAAGTGAAAAACTGAAAAACAGAAAAACAGAAAAACAAAGCGAGGAAAGTGAAAACTGTGTCTCTGGCCATATACGAGCTGCCTTTTGTCAGAGCTGGCCAAAAGGAAGCGCTAATTATATTAAGTAAATGAAAACAAAAATGCCAGCAAATAAAGCGAGTAGAAAGTGAAACAAAGTATTTCATATTTCAATCAGTGTTTGATTCCCGTTTAGAGCGACAGGTGAAAGTGAGATCTGTGCCAGACACGATCGAGAGCAGCCCAGCAGCACCCCCAGACAGACCCACAATTGGGTTAAGCTCAATAGCTAAACGAGTGTTCCGCAGTGTTCCGCAGTGTTAAAGTGTGAATTATGAGCCCAGCATAGCAGATTTATGTACGTTTAAGCCTTAAACTGGTTACGGCCTGGTCTCCACTCCCCATAAAAGCCCAAACCTAAGTGCCAGAAGAGATGACATGCACTTGACACAGCCAAAGATAGATAGGATAGGTGGGTCTGGCTCTGGGTCTTGGGTATACGGGAACTCGTTCTCTCATAGGTAGAAGTAGAAAGCCAGCAGGCAAATAAATAAATCTTATCGGTGGAAGAGGTGTCAAACAATTGTTCAAATATCAGACACCTTCGTGGAGGGGCTTCGTTTTCCAGTTTTAAGTTCAATTTTGTTGGAACTGACGGCAGCATACAGTTCGCTTGCTCAGGGGAAAAAATTTGAGCTGTGACTCCCTAGGGAAATGATCTCTACCCAAAGGATTGGTCTAAAGCTGAGCAAAGATGAAAATTCAAGTACTTTTTAATCTATATTTGACTTTACTTTTGCTTTGAGTTGAGAATCACTTTGATCTTGGCCCACACACTCATCAGCTCAAAGACTCGCTAGAGGAAGTCCCAAGTGCCTGTCCCCATTCGATTGCAATCTGAGCAAACAATCTATATTTAAGTTGGCTCTTGCACATTAATCTGCAATAGCCAGAGGAAAATGATGAAAATCAGCAGCAGCAGCAGCAGCAGCAGCCACACACAGACATAGTCGTACAAATGCGAGTGCGAGTACAACATGCAATACACGACGATGTCTTGGCATCTTTTCAACGCTTGACGTAGCAATTTGTGAAATTCTTCCTACCGCAGAGTGCAGATTCAGCTGTGTGCTGTAGCTGTAGCTTAGCTATAGCTGTGTGCTGTGCTCTTGCCTTGTGGTAACTTATAATGGAATGGTGGGCCTTCACAATTGTGACAGATACGCAAGCAGCAGATTTACTTACAAGTACGACAGCGACGGCGACTGCGAGTGCGAGTGTGTAGTAAGCCTACAATTTTGAAGTTAAACCAAATATATGTACTCGCATGCATGAAAAGAGAGTGAAAAGAATACCCTCAAAGCGGCGGAGGAGCAGTTGAAGGGGCGGGGACACACTTGACATGAAAAACAAATGATGCCTGCAGAATGGAAACTGATCTTGGAATGGCCTGGGCTGAGCATTGTTTATCTCACATCACCAAATGCAAATGAATCTCGTTGACAATGACAGAGCGAAGATGGCTACAGAAGACAGCAACAGAAAACAGAGACACTGATGGAGTAGGGGCGGGGCGCAGGTGCATGTGGCAAGGTGGCAAGTGAAAAGTGAAACCTGCAACCAGCAGTGGGAAGGTTCTTTCAGGGCTGATGATGGATGAAGCGACCCAGGCCAGGGTCTAGGAATGCAAACAGCAAATTGGGAAAAGCACTGAAGCTACTCTATTTTCTCTGAGCGTAATTAGAAAATTTAAATCAACGATTTTTCTAACATTTTTTCCCTCTTCCATTCTATTTGCAGTGGCACAGCACGAGAGCATCTCACAGATCTCGCCCAAGTCGAGCAGCCAACGCAATGATCGTCTGAGCATCGAGAGCACCATTGCGGACTCCATCAATGGCCTGGCCGAGAGCCAGTCCACGCTGCAGGACGACAACGACAACGACAACGAGAACGAGACGCGGGCGGAGCGAGTCGAGCGCTCGGCCTCGCCCATTCTGCATGACCAGCACAACGCGGGGTATGGGGCGAAGGCGGGCGTCGGGCCCAACGATGTGCATTTCCCCCAGGATCAGGAGAAGGACGTGTCCGCGGGCAGGTACTTCCACTATAACATCAAGCCCACGGGCACCTACGACAGCCAGGAGGAGCAGCCCGAGCAGACGCAGAGGATCAGAGCGGGAAAAACTTTGTCGGGGAGCAGCAGCAGCAGCAGCAGCAGCTTGGAGCAGTCTTTTTTAGGGAAGGGGGGCCTGCGACCGCTTACGTCGGGGTCCCCAATCAGGCCGAGTCCGAGCAGTACTGTCACCTCGCCGACGGCGGCGGGGGCCAGTGCCACCCAGGCGCCGCATAGTCCCCGGCAGAACGGCAATCCGGACATCCAGGACATCATCACGGGCATTGTGAAGCTGCTCAACGGCAACGTCAATGTCCACGCAAACACGCAGGGCGTCGTGCGCCGGCCCTCGGCCAGCAGGATCAACAATCGGGGACCGCCGCGGATATCGGAGACGCAGAATCTGCCACCCATCGACTACGAAGCCCAGAAGCCGGGCACTTCGATGCGTCCGCCGCCGTATCCCTTCGACCGACCGGAGCGACCCTTCATCACGGGCGTGCCCATTCCCGAGCAGATTGTGCCCCTCCGGCCAGGGTTCGTCAGCAATCGGCCGCCCTGGTACCGCAACAAGCCGCGTCCGCCCATCACCACGAGTGTGGGTGGCAGTCGACGCCCCCTGCCGCAGTACAAACCCCTTCCAGGTCCCCAAGTGGTGCCACAAGCCCCACCACCCCAAGAGCAGCAGGAGCAGCACCACCAGCAGCAGCAGCAGCAGCAGGAGCAGTCGTTGCAGCCGCAGGATGACAGTGTCCTGCCCACGGATACCACCTACGACTCGGAGTTCTCCAACGAGGATGCCAATGCGCAGTACATTGAGGTATCCGACCAGGACACAGATGCCACCGGCGGTGGCGAAATCGATGATGAACTGCTGCAGCCGCCTCCTGCCGCACCCTCAACGCCCAATCCGCCCACAAGCACGCCGACAGCGCCCAAGAAGAAGCACAAGCCAAAGCCCGTCGTCAGCGAGAAGAAGAAGGTGTCGCAGGAGGAGCTGGAGCTGCCACTAGATGGTGGTGGTGGCTACACCACCATCGTGGAGACCAGCTCCGTGGTGAACACCGTCATGGGCGGCATGGCCTCCACCTACGTGCCCATGCCGATGGACAGCTCCGAGGGCCTGGAACTGGATCCCTCCACCGAGGAGGTGATCTTCATGACGGCCAGTCGCACACCCGGCCTGGAGACGAGTGCCACCTCGGCTATCAGCACCTCGGCTATCAGCACCTCGGGCATCACGACGGCCACTCCGTCGCTGTCCATTGAACCTTCGTCCTCCAAAGAACCCACCACTACCACTACTAGCACCACAACCACCTCGAGTACAACCCCGAGTACCACCTCCACCTCAACCACCACCACAACCACCACAACCACTACCGAAAAAGCGCCCAGTTCCAACTCCAACTCCAACTCTAACACCAATGCCACTCCGCCTGCCCCCTACCATCCCCGACCCGGCATCGTTCTCGACGATCCCGAATTCAAGCCCGGCGGCAGGCCACGTCCAGCTGGCAGCCAGCGACCGGTGGTGCCTCCAGCTCCAGCGCAGCCTAATCCGCCCATCCAACCCACACGGCAGCATCTGCCGCCCGGCTATGGGGAGATCTTCGATGTGACACTGTCAGCCATCCAGGGGCCGGGGCCCAAGGGCAGCGGCTCCAAGCAGACGATCAACATCAAGCCGTACGGATCGTATGGAGCGGGTGGCCAGGGTGGACAGAGGCAGGACGACATCATTGTGTCGGCATCAGGTGACGAAGGCTTCGTCTCGATCGATGGCAAGCGCACTTACATCAATCTCTTTGGTGATCCCACAGATCCGCCGGCGGGCGCCACAACACCGGCCACACGACTGCCCCAGTTGCCGGGCGCTGGAACATCTTCGGGAGGTGGTATTGTTGGTCTTGGTGGTGGTGGTTCGGGTTCTGCCTCATCGGCAGCGGCTCCACCCGCGAATGCCGTCACTCAGAGCAGCGGTGGCTATGTCGTGCCCGAAACGGAAGTGGTGGATCTCCAGGGACAGAGCCAGTCGACCGGAACGGCCGCAGGAGCAGCCACAACAAATGCGGGGCCCACGCGGCCCCACTATCGCCAGCGTCCCACGTCGCCGCCAGTGCGGATTGACACCTGCATCGTGGGCGACGATTCCACCTGCGATCAGGCGCAGCATGAACGCTGCAAGACGGACAGCGGCGTCTCCAGTTGCCACTGCAGGCCAGGTGAGGCGGCCACGCTCTTTCTCATTCAACGATAATTACTGAAATTCCATTCTCTCACGCAGGCTACTCCCGTCGCAAGCATCGGGAGCCGTGTCGTCGGGTCATCTCCTTCCATTTGGGCCTGCGCGTGGACCGCATCTATGAGCATCGCATCGTGTGGGACCACAAGCTAATGGATCGCCACAGCGAACCCTTCGGACAGCTCAGCTATGAATCCATTCGGGCGGTAAGCAGCTGCCGCCGCACAGCTAACAAAGTAAAGTCTAATCAAATCCCTTCCAGCTGGACTCGGCCATGTCAATGACGCCCTACTCGGATGAGTTTATGGAGGCCAAGGTGAACAATATCTACCGGGGAGATCCCAATCTGGGCGGCAACGGCGTCTACGTGAACATGACCCTGAAGGTGAGCGGCCAATTGCAATTCAAAGATCTGCCCACTTATGCACTGCTCCTTCCCTGCAGCTGGACGAGAGCGTGGAGACACTGCGTCCCAATCTGCGCAGCGATGTGCAGAAGCATCTGCTGGGCGTGCTGCATCGCCGGAACAACAATATTGGCAACTCCGTTCTGTATGTGAGCTCACCGGAGGGCGCCGTCTCGCCGCTGCAGGATCTCGATGAATGCCAGTCGCCGGATCTGAACGACTGCCATCCCGGTGCCACATGCAGCAACACTTGGGGCAGCTTCCGGTGTGCGTGCGAGGCGGGACTGCGCGATCCCTGGGCCGATCAGCCACAGCGAGCGGGCCGCGAGTGTCAGGCGTGTCTGGACTCGTTCTGCAACAACCATGGCACCTGCAGCTACAACGACGAGGGCAGCCAGATCTGCACTTGCGACTCGAGCCATTACGGTGCACAGTGCGAGATCGATGGCGAGGTGCTGGGCGTGGCCATAGGCGCCTCCGTGGCGGCCATCATCATCATTGTCCTCACACTGGTCTGCCTGATCATGTGGTCCCGTCGCTGGCAGCGCGAGCAGAAGAACGCCATGGGATCGCCCGTCTTTGGCTACATGAACACGGCCCCGCTGAAGTCTGCGGGACTGCCGCAGGCTGGCTACCAGGTGACGCTCGAGGATCGCATGCGGTGGGCCCAGATAGCCGATGTCATGGCCCAGACGAATCACTATGGGGTGAGTGCCTCCCAATAATCCTGCCGATTGCTGATTGCTGATCGCTTTCTTTGTGCTTCGACAGGCGGAGCCCATTGGACCCACGCGTCCCTCCTCGGCCATGTTCGCGTACCCCAATCTGGGAGCCATGGGCATGGGCATGGGCACTATAGGAGGGATGTCGCTGCAGAGCACCATGCAAATGCATCCGAGTGCCACTCTGGCGCCGCCAGTGCCATTGCCCAGGTATGAGCACAGCAATTGTTAGCCCTGGTATCCCATTCTCCCTCGTCTAATCCACGTTTCTCTTTGCACTTAGAAGACTTGGCCTGGGTCCGCGTTCTAATGGAATGCGAACGCTGGAGAATTCCAGCTCGAGCGAGGAGGAGGATCGGGCGGATCTGCTGGGACGCAATTTCCAAGTGCCACGCCCAAAGAGTCGCAGCAATGGCAGCATAGCGGTGGGTTCACCTCATTGCTACCCTCCCTTAAGCTATCCTTTAACTAATGTCTGCTTTCTGCTCTCTCTCCATTGAACCACACAGAATCAGTCGGGCATCTACTACGATGTGGACTACGAGCCATCGGGCCACGGCATTGGCAACAGCAGCGTGGATCATCTGTACGGATCACAGAACCAGTCGGTGACGCATTCATCGGGCAACAATCACATGCCAGGGCCCCAGGGCATACCAATGAGCACATACACCTCCGGTCGGGCGCCCAGCAGCTACTACATGAAGTGACCAGCGTCCCGTTGGTACTGGAGGATGGGAGCGCATCCTAGTTAACCCTGTGTACATATGCATCTGCTAGCATTAGAGTATCGATCGATGTCAGTGGCCCTAAAATACTTTTCCACTGCAGTCCCCGCGGCGACTGCAGCTGAGACGCGTTTTGTGCGGATTCCCCTGCCCCAGCCCAGCCCCTGCCCCACACATTTAGAATGAGAAGCGTAGACTTAGGACTTAGACTATCCCATAGGTTCGAATTAGGATTACGCTATGCAAAACGACAACTAATCATTAATTGTAAACTTTAAACTAAACCTAAACCTTTAAATTATTAATAATAAAAATACAATCCAGTTGAAGTCAAAACCCATGAAATTAGCCTTAGTTTGTAGCAATCTATCGATTTAGTTAGGTTTCCCCCAATCCCATACCAATATATGTATGTAGTTTGTGTGCATGTAAATAAACATAAAATAAAAGATCTTAATGTTAAAGTAAATCTGAATTTGAGAAATGTAATTGAAGGGCATAGTTATAGCAAGGGAGGTGCTTAATACAGTTTCTTTCATATTCATGATTTTAAATCTTGGCGCCCAGTGCTTCATAAACTGTAAAACTCTTGTGTCTATAGTTTCGTCCTGCTCTAACATTTGTATTAATGCCAGACACTATCTGGTCTTTGTTGTGTGAGCGGGACAACTAGCTAACTGTTGCCAGTGCTGTTAAGTTTCTACACATGTTCAATGGGCGCGCATTTTAAAATATTATACCAAATCATATTGTTGAGTAGATTCTAAATATAGAAAGTAATTTTGGGGCCCATATTTAATACAAAAAATACATTAAAAAGTGTGAAAATTAATTGAATTGTTAATATACTTAGATCAACTTTAGTTCTTTATTTTGTATAGTTTCACCATCATTAATAATCGCCACAGAGCCTCATAGTATCCGTTGATGATTTATGACAGTTCACCACTCACGTCAGAAAAGAAAACGAGAGCCACTTCAATTTATGGCAATCTGTTTTTCTGCTGCCTGTCGTTTCGGTTCACACGCATAAATACGCTTGGGAGGGCGGATGGCGCAAAGAATGAAGAAAATGAAAATTATTTTCGGACCTGCGCGCATGCGTGCGGCAGGGCTCTTGCGCAACCAACAAGTGACGGGCCACATGGGTTGGAGGTGTAACTGGAATGCCCATAAACAATATACCACACTTGAGCTCGTTATTCGTGATGGGAGAGGGTTGTGAGGAGAACGCCCTCCCCCCCATTAAGTTTTCACAAGTCAACAGCTGCGCGAAGAAGATCATCAATATCTGGCTATTAGCACCCGAGACCAGCCAAATGTCCGTCGACGCGTATGAAGTTCAATGCCGAACGCTTCAAAGCGCCGGCAAGCTAATTAATCGATACCGCGCTGCCCCCCTCGGCAATTGCTCGTGTTGAAGTGGAAAGGTCGAAAGCCCGTCACTTGGGCACCTGGATGCCTTAATTGCGCTTATTTAATAATTATCAAAACGCTGTGACTAGTAGCAGCCGCTGCTGCCTCTCTGCCTCTCTCTGTCCTCTGGGTTGCCTTGCACAAAATGTTTAATTGAAATGATTTTTGCCCACGTTGTGTGTTGACCCATTTTCGCTTCTTTTCACATAACATTTATAACATTTTTCTGGTTTTTTTTTTGTTTTTCATGTATCTTTCTTATTGCAATGACGCTGCAATCTTTCAATCGCTATTCGAGTGATTCCAACCAAATCACGTAGATGAGGCCGTGCCATGGCGTGGCGTGGCGTGGCCATAAAAAATGTCCAAGCAGAAATTCCATTAGGTTCGATTTGGCCATTGTTGTGTGCAGTTTATATTTTGTGCTGCAATTCGCACTCGTTATTGGGCGTTATTATGTCACATTGATTGATTTTAGCCTTCGGGATCTGTATCTCTCGGTTCAATCTGATTGAAATGTTCCTCATGCAGCAGATGAGACTGTTGCAACGGCAAGGGCAGGCAATCAGCGGCGCTCTAGCAACTGCAGTGACTGAACTGCCACTGAGCAAAGTTGGCGACTTGCAACAGTCGTAAAAAGCTAAAGCCATAAACACAATTCGCACACACAAAAATCTCTGTCCCCCCACAGCCTGTATTGCCAGTTTTGTGTTCCAGTTAGGCACATTGTTGCGTCTTCGAAAAACGGCAATGACAATGCCAAAGTCTGTCATTCGCTGCCGCAGGTGTTGCAGCCCATAGCTCAATGCCTCTCTGCGGCTCGTCCGACGTGACGTGTGGCAACGTGCTGGTCTTGGCGGAGGCACTGTTTGTCGTTTGTCATAATTGGGCGCGCGTGGAAGATGCGCTTCCAACTTCCTTGTTGGCATTGTTGCCGCATGTCTTGCCTGTCAATCTGTGGCAAATGAGCAAACAACACAAAAAAAAAAACTATCTTTAGAAAATCTACGAAAAATGATAACCAAACAAAGCGCAGAAGATTGACAATCACAGTGGAATTTGGCAGTGGTTAAAGAATACTCGTAGTGTTTATGACAAGGAAATGTTGTGGTAAAGGATTTGGTTCATATGGGAGTGCAGCGTTTATGGCTGGAATTGAGTCGCAGCCCCAACTAAAGCCACAAACATTCACAGATTCACATGACTCGGAGTTGGAGTGGAAGTGGAAGTTTAGGCCGCGTGAATTTGCCACAAAAAGCGAGAGCGAACTCTCTCACATGTCATTATATAAGGGAGAAGCAGCGCAGTGACGGAGTCGGGAGTGAGTGAGTGGGAAAGACAGCTAATTGGTGTGGAAAACTGGGAAAAATGAATGTGATGTGCGGTGAAATAGTTATACAGACCCACTTGTATCTGGGATACTTAAGGCCGAATCGGTGGGCTGCTGGCGGAACAGTCGGTCGCGCGCCACAATGTAAGTGCAACAGCCACCATGCAGTCACTCCACGGATACCCAGGGGAAGTCACAGTCTCAGTCTCAGTCGCACTCCAATAAAAGCCCAAAAAAAAACAAGAGTTGAATGAATTTGCGTATTAATGAGCAAAAAGAGCAGCCGAAAGCCCATTCGCACGCATGCCAATGACTTAATTTTTTCGTATAGAGCCACTTGCTACCCGGCTACCGAGCCACTGGCCACCGGACGGCTTCCCTTACGCCCACCTGCGATGGCACATCGGGTAATCATTCATAAGTCGTGGAGAGGAAGGGAGAGAGCGAGGGAGAGAAAGGCGGCAACACCAGCACCCAACAACAACAGCAATGATGTCGACGATGTTGAAGAAGAGTGAAAGGGGATCTCACGTAATGCTGTTGCATCTCCTTTTGCCCTCTTCCCCAACCATCCACCACATCGTATCGATGGGTCTGGTCACGGCCCCCCGGATTGCGCAACATCTAATTGTGTTGCAGGAAGCTGAAGAGATGTGTCTCCTAAATAGTTCCGCTGTGGATCCGGTGGGTGCTCCTGGTTGCCCCACACTACCACACTTGCCTCCAGCCCCCACCCAGTTGGCCAATCGGTGGTCAGGTGGCCAGGTGGCATGTACATCTGCATGTATAATATGACGTTTAATTAGCAATATTTGTCAGAGTGCTATAACAAACTGCATAGGCAGGTCCCATTTCAGCTGGCGGTGTCTTCACCGCAAATCCCCGAACTGAGCCTAGCTGCAGCTTACGTACACTGCACGAAATTCGAGAAGGAAAGGAGAACAGTGCCTGAAAATTCCAAGGAACACTTCATCATTCTTTTCCTGCTGATTTCATCTCAGCAAACTCCCCTTCTTTGCCTCCTTGGGTGAATCCAACTATGTACATTTCCATTGCATAGATTTTCCGCTGTGCAGCAATGAGGAAATCAAATGCAGCGGGTGCAGCTGCCTGGGTGCTGGCAATCGCATGTAGCATGTAGCATGCAGCAGGAGTGGGTAGCAGCAGCCACATTTTGGGGAACTTTTGCGACGAGTCTACGCAAATTGGAATGCGAGACCTCTGACTGTGTGAATAAGATGGCTGGCTTAGCTTCGCTTTTGGCCAGAAATTGCGTAATGGCCAAGTGAGCCACTGAGCCGGTTTAGTCTCAGATCCAGTATATTGCTGGCTGGCTGTCTGGCTGGCTAGCATCTGTATTTGTATCTGTAGCTGGGTAGCTTTATAGCTCGGTAGCTCTGTGTTCAAAGGACGTCTGAGCCATAATCAATGTGCCGTCTCGGGGGGCTCAGCATCTTCTTGTTTAATGGCCATTGCAACATACAGAAACACACACAGACACACACACACATGAAGGGAGGGAGGTCGATCGCTTCGTTTTGTTGTTGCCATTAATAACCGTTAATACCATTACCTTACCCGCACCCCTACCTGTGGTCAGTGTTCAACATGTTGTTAAGTCAAAAGTCTTGTCGACCTTGGCGAAGATACTCGTACTCGTACTCGTAGCAGTGAAGTGCCTCTCGCAAGACCATCTCTCCCTTGCAGACTTCGAATTGGCGTTTAACACTTGGCGCCATTCGCCTTTTGGCGAGGGCCACCTGCTGCTTAATCCGCTGATGCCGCCACGGCTGCTGCCAAATGAACCCAAGCCAAATGGACACGCACTTTCAACTCCACTTGCTCGTCCAATTAATCTGGCGTTGCATTTAAGCTGACTAAACGCACCCACCGCCTCCAATTGGCTGTCTGCGCAATGATGCAACGATGCAATGAAATCAATTTACTCCCATTGGAGCCCCCTGCCGATCGGAGCTGCAATTAGCCATCGGTTCATTTACCATGTATGTGGGTCAACACCACATCGCATCGCTGTTGGAGCCGTGGCAACAATGACATTAACGTCAGCACTTGAGACAAGGCGGCGAGAGTGCGAGCGCACCTGCCCGATGCTGCTGCTCTCGACCACGTAACGAATTGGGGCAGTGCCAAGTGCCGACCGAGGAAAGCCACCAGCAATTGCGCCTGTAATCTGTCGAATAAGATGACGACGATGACGCTGCAGACATTGCCTCGCCGTTACGGCGGACACATTTGGATTAGGCCTGATCCGAGCCCAGAGAGCGAGTGAGAGCCTGATTGAAGGTTAACCAGGCAATGAGAGTGTTGTCTTATGGCTTATTGTTTGCGAGATAAGTGCCAGATATTTCTAGCTCCCAACTTGCAACAGCATTGCAACAGAGTCGCCACTCAATGGGGCGGCGTATTTGCCATAAACTTAGCTACCCTCAGTGGTGTCTGGGAAATGCATTTGAATGTCAAGGAATGCCATAAAAATTAATTTAAAAGCTATGGAGCTAATCCGCATATTAACTTCACATTTTAATCCCACCCAACCTTTCTCTTAAAGCAATCCACTAATGATTTCCCCCCCAAGGCATTTTCCAGGCAATTTAACACGTTTCCTGTCCTATCCATGAATGGCTAACTGAAGCTGAAACCTGTCTGCCAGATCGAAGTCATATCAGAGCCGCAGCAGCAGCAGCAGCATAATATAAGGCACGGCACTATATAACCTACATATATAAACGTTCAGATCAATAAAAAGATGCCGTAAATTATGCAACTGGGTTAACAGGGACGACAACGGCGGCGAAAGGTGTTTCCAGTGCCTGCAGACACAGAGTTCCTCCATCCATCCATCCATCCATCCTCCAACATCTTCGACTGGTGGCCAAAAACTAAAACTCGATTTGCCAGTACACAGTTCGCAGTCAGTCGCCGAATCCGCTGGGCACGTTTCAGGAATTTCAATTTCATTTAGCCAAACAAAAAGCAAAAGTCCAACCAGCCAGCCAGCCAGCCAGCCAGACGACAACGACACAACAGTTGGAGCTGGGAGTTGTAGAGCCTGTTGCACATTCTTCATTATACGTATTGGTGGTTTTTTGTTTTTGTTTTTACCTAATTTCAAGTTTTGGTTTTTATAAATTGGTTTAACATGTCGTTGTGTCTTCGGTGGCTTTCCTTTTGCAGTGCCTGCATTGAAGGCCGTTCGCCTGGCAACTGCCATTTCAAGCGTCTGCCTCTGGCTCCTCCTTCGGCTGTGATGTAACTTCTGGTCTGGGGCGATTCGTTTGCGGTACCTTGTGGATACTATCGGATTCGATTTGTGCATATTATTTACGAGCCATTCGGATCGTCTCAAAGGGTCAGCCTCAGCCGAGAGTCCGTTTCTCGAGTGTTAATTGCAGTTCAAAGCAGTTGCCAACTGTTTGGGTCTTGGCGCATTTATTAAAACCTAATGTCCAAAACTATTTAGGTGTTCATAAAACGCAGGCCTTATTACCATGCTAAAAAGTACATTTGGCCCCCCGGTAGCCACTGAAGCGTAGACGGCGGCGCCGTTTTACGTCTTCATGCTACGTCGTCCCGTTCGCGGAGGTCGCTTGCCATTTGAGCAGTTAGGGTCGTCGTCGTCGTCCCGTCCCGTCCATAAATGCCTTTTGTTGTTGTACTTACTCGCATGTTAGCTTGGCCAAGTGCGGTGTCTTTCTTTCTTATTTCGATCATTTTGCAACTGAACTGTGCTAATTGTTCGTCACTCAAATTCGGCAAGCAGAGTCGGACATGGCTAATCGTGCCATATAAAATGCGGGCACGTAGCTCCACTTAGCTCCGGGTACGGGGCACGGGGCAGCATTAGACAAACGCCCACAGCAGTTGACCTTATCGATGGAGCAGAAGTAGGTGAACCACTATGCACAGTGCGAAATGATCGATTTGTCTTTGGGGATGCCAAGATTTACCCTATTTGCGGATATTAAATATGTTGATGGATGTTGTTTAATGGAAATAATACTATTATGAAGTGGAATGAAATGAAATGGCAGGGAGAGTTTGTCTACGATTTGTGACTTTACATTTATTTCCTCTTTCCCTGGAGATCTCCCTGTTCCATTTACTTGTATTCTAATTAAATGCACAAGCAAGCGTTCAATTATTTATGGCATTAATTTTGCAACTGTTCTTTGTGGTACTTTTTCTCTCTGTGTATCATTTCATGACACTGTTCGAGTACTCGTACAAATAAATCATCGCTGCCAACAACATAATTATTGTCCCATTCTAGCTGTGGACCATCATCCATTCCAAAGCAGCGAAGAGCCGGACTTTGACTGCGACTGCAAAGCCAACGCTTATACTTGTACATACTTGAGTCCAAGAGCAGACCAAATACGCTGCCATTGTTTTTTGGATGGTGCTGCTACCTCCGACCTGGGGCTGAAGCTGCGGCCGAGGCTCTCCGCATTACCTTGGGAAAATCCGCGCAGTCATCGACGGAGGGGTCCAAGACCAAATCCGAATTCGAATTCATCAGCTGGAGAGCACCGAGCAGAGCTGAGCAGAGCCGAGCTTGGGAGCAGGCAGCGCCGCTTTACTCTCACTCTCTTGCGGTTTTCGCTTTTGCTTTCGATGGTATGCGATGGAAGTTGCGTGCATTTTGCACAGAAGAGCGGGCAGAGAGAGAGAGAGAGCTTTGCTTTGGTTACAGTTTTTGTTTTGTTTTGTCAAATTGTTGTTGTAGCTTCTGCCGCTGTCGCTGTTGCTGTCGACGCTGACGCTGGAGTTGGAGTCTCAGAGACCGAGACCGAGACCCATTCAAAATATAAATAGATGTGCATGTAGGGAAATGCGAATATTGTTCATAGAAGACCTCATCGGAGGCACACATCAGCTCCCTTTTGTTTTGACGCGCTGTTGGTGGTACAGGGATACCAAGCATGAGATCCCTCAGTTTGTTGGTTAGTGTTTTTGCCAGTACCAGTGCCAGTGCCCGCCCCCAAAAAGCCAATCCGATCCCCATGTGAATCCTTGATGAAAGAAAGAAATCACTGAATAAGAACTGCATGAAATAATACAACAATTGAAGTGAAAATAATTGTGCAAAAAATACCAAAGAAAAAACTTTTAAAAAAGATGTGAAAAATATCATGAATAATACAGTGAACTCTGCGTATAAGAAACATCAAGTAACTGTACCAACCCTTTGCCTTCCCCCAGCTACTCGGCGCCAGCTGCGCGCTTGTCATAAGCTTTGCCTTCGCCCATCCCCCCGAGGGCGTGTGGAAGAAGAAGCTCACCTGGAAGGAGGACTGGGTTCAGGTGTGGAAGACCCACAAGAAGGAGGCATGGGAAACCAAATGGAAGAAGGTTTCCGTGCCCATTTGGAAGGAAGTTAAGGTAGGGCTCAAGGACACACAACCCACAGATCGCAGATGGTAATCACAAAAAAAAATGATCCGTAAAAAGGTACCCGTCTGGAAGGAGGAGAAGGTGCCCGACTGGAAGATCGTGAAGAAGCCGAAGCTGGAGGAGAGGGAAGTCCCCGCCTGGAAGGAGGTCAAGGTGGCCGATTGGAAGAAGATTACGAAGCCAATTTGGGTGCCCACCAAGGTGGCCGTGTGGAAGGAGATCCAAGTTCCGGTCTGGAAGGAGGTGCAGGTGCCATTTTGGAAGGAGATCCAAGTGCCCGTGTGGAAAGAAGTACAGGTGGCAGACTGGAAGCAAATGTTCGAGCCTCAATGGGTAAGTTCAGCTGGCCCGGACCTGGACTGAGAGAAGAGCTGAGAATAAACCTGAACTCTGTTCAGGTGAAAATGGGAATTCCCGGTGAAAAGTTCCTGGGCAAGGATCACGAGGGCTGGGAGTACACCAGCCACGATCTGTGGCGCAAGAAGCTCGTCTGGAAGCCCGTGTGGAAGAAGGTTTGGCGCACCGAGAAGAAGCAGGAGTGGCGCACCGAGAAGAAGGAGGAGTGGCGCACCGAAAAGAAGCAGGAATGGAAAACCGAGAAGGTCCAGGAGTGGAAACAGGACAAGAAGCTGGAGTGGAAAGATGAATGGATTCAGGTTGGTCCCCCCACCCTTCCATCTCCCATTCCCAGTCAGTTCAGTGTTCAGTGGTATTTTTCTTTGCGCAGGTGTGGAAGACAGTGAAGAAACAGATCTGGATCAAGGAGAAGCGCGAGACTTGGATCGAGGAGAAGGTACAGATCTGGCGCACCGAGAAGCGTCAGGTCTGGGCAACTGAGAAGCGTCAGGCGTGGAAGGACGAATGGCAGTCGGTGAATGTGCCCGTCGTCAAGGAGGTGAAAGTGCAGGAGTGGAAAAAGGTGTGGAAGCCCGTCTGGGAAAAGGTCTGGGTGCCAGCCCCCCATCACGGTCACGGATGGGACTGAAACAACCTGCGGGATGGGTCGCTAGCTATGCGACAGCACTGATATCTGATAACTGATCCATATCGCCCTTCTTCACACTTTGTTCATCCATCCATCCATGCATCCCCCCTTCCACAGAACACCAGTGTGTACAAGCGAAATTGTTGAAATTGTTAAATAGATTTAAACTCGTAAGGCATTCCCCTACACTCCACCTGCTCACCTGCTCACCTGCTCCATCTTCATCTTCATCATGTTGTATAAAACATTTCATTATTTCCATTTTCAATATTCTGTCTTCCATTCTCGCTCTCTCTCTCTCTCTCTCTTTCTCTCGCTGTATTTCTTCCTCAAGTGTACAAATTAGTCATGCGCGCGATTTTGTCTTTAAGTTATACAAAATAAAATCAAAATTCAATAAAACAACGAAACAAAATAATGTATACGAATTTGATATTTCTCTACTAGTGTGTGTGAAATCTGGAAACTATCCACAAAAAGATTGCCTTGTAAATATGTACTTAAACATAATTATAATTCACTTTAAGCCCACACAAGAAATCATTTCATGTTATAACTGAAACAAAAACTGAAAATTATTAAAACGAAAAAAAAAACAACATAAAAATTAAATGCTTTTAATTACGGTTTAGCGTAAATTACGAACTTAACGCATCCCCGGACACATTTCAGACCTGGGGCTCGCTCTCAGATAGTGATGGCTACTCATAGACGATTGTACTTTCATTGGCCAGCCGGGGGATGATGCAATTTTCGTGGTTTCGGGGCTTTTTCGTTGCCCATTACACGACGAAGATGCAACTCATAAAATGAAGTTTCAACTGCAGCCCAAGATATGCGGAAGTTAGATAAGAGCCGAAAAAAAACAGTTAAGGCAGTCATCGTCATAGCGGGGATCGGGGTTCAATTCAGATGGAATTGGCAAAAAAGGTCTCGACTGAAGATGAGAGAGGCCATGAGCCAAAGTCAACAACTGCAACACGTTGTGGCATCGTGATGATGATGTAAATGATGCTGGGACTGCCAATGATGGTGATGATGATGATGGCTCTTGGCATTTGCCGCTTGCTAGATGCCAAATAAATCTCAAGGAAGCATCTCCCCAGCAGATAAGCAGCAACAATACCGTTTCCACTTCCTGTTAACCAAGTTGAAGTTGAATGCAGCTGCCTCGTGTCTGCCTGGCTGCCTGACTGCCAGCCAGACAGCCTGTGGTGCTTGTGCTGCTTTTGGTGCTGGTATCTAACAGCCTTACAATTCCAAGTCAGTCGGTCGCGTCGCCTGTTTGGTTGCAACATGTTGCTTTAATTGACTTGCCACCCGCCTGCCTACCTGTACCTGTCCCTGTCTCTGTCTCTGTCCCTGTACCCGTCCATGCCTTGCACTGTGTCTGTGTGCCAGCAGCAAAACCCACATAAGGTTAGCCGAGGAAGCCAACTGTTGCACTGGTTGCAGCAGTTGCAATTCGAGCCCCAAATGCGGTGCTGGGGCTGATTAGGTAACCGCCGCCGCCAAAAGTTCGAGTTCAAGCAAAAATTCCATTGGGAAACTTGAGGCGGTAGTTGCCGCACTTTCTGCTGCCGCTGCCCCCACGTTATCTTAATGATGTTGCCGAATCTTTTGCTTGGCAAATCTGCAATTGATGTGGCAGACAAATGAGAGTTTGGGGGGCGTGACTGAAAGGGAAATCGCTCTAGCGGGCGAAAGATGAGCAAAGATTAGCTTTGGAAATAGACGGTAATAAGTTCATTGGTGGATAACCTTGTTGAGGCTCAATGGAAGGGATTTTCTTAATGGAGGGAGCTTCTCTCTCGAGCTGAACAATTAGCCGCTAATTCAGCCAAGGTCTATGTCAAACTTCTCTAGATATTGTCTATAACAATGGAAATCCCATTGATTTCCATGACATTTTCAACGTGTTGCAATCCCATAGCTCTGACATCTTTTGTTTTCCCTTTTGACACAGCATTTTGTCACGTTTTCAATTTGTTATTAATACGATTGTTTGGAGCAGATTCCGAGTCCGCTCTTCGTTTGATTGCAATTGCTCGACATGGCGTATGCGCAATATGGATGCTCGACTGAGGCCCAAATTGCATTCCGTTTTTATATAACCAGCAGGCAAGTGTCATGCGAAACTGAGATTTACCCACAACAGCAATAGCAACAGCAACAACGAACACTTAACGCATTTGAGTGAAGCACATAATTGTTGTTGTTTTAATTATTGAAGCAGCAGCAGCAGCAACATCAACATCAACATCTGCGGCATTGCACAAGCCACAAAAACCAAAACAAAACGTAGCAAGCCACACAAAACGAGCGAAAGAAATTGAAAAAATGTAATAAAAATAAATTTGGTTGAACAAAACAAAAAACTACACAACAAACAAAACGAGCAAAACCGAGCGACAGAAATATTTTATTGTAATAAATCTTTTGTTTCCACCCGATACATCTAATTTTAGCCATCAGCAAGATAGGAAGACACTCATCGTGAGCTGGAGCTTTTGATACCCCTGCTACAGTACTACAGTAGACACATAGATTATGATATTCGGTATGGTGATCCCATCCTGGGCATTCCGACTACCAAGAAAGATTGTTGTCAGTTGCACTGAAACAGACAGACCGAAAAACTAGTGCACTCTGCATGGGTATCGAAATTGGCCAACAAAATATTTCTTTTATAAAAAAAAATAAAAATACATCCAATAGCAGCTCAGGTTCAAGTTACAAACCGCAGCCACAGCAGTCGCATATCAGAGTAGCATACCGAGGAGCAGAGCACGTGACGCCTTTGCCGCTGCTGCTGCCGTCGCGTTGTTTGCCAAGCGTGAAACTGCAGCACTCGGGTGGATAGGATGACGTATGGGGGTTATTGCTCGCCTCGGAGTGCTCTGCACCACCAGGTGCTGTTGACTCCAGCGTGCGGCATATGTGGGTCGAACGAAAGCGAATTTGGAGAACTGGAGCACAGCCTCACCAGGGCGCACCCTGCCTGGCAGGCTGTGACAACAGCATGTTGCCCAAGTGTGGCAAGGTCGTCCGTCAACTGTGGCTGATTAAAAAGAAGCTGTGGAATTGCAGAGGAGAAGGAAATTAGCGGCCGGCCGTAAAGAGAATGAGAAATGAAGTAACTAACAAAGCAACTAACCAGCAAGAGCCATGACGCTGCTGAAATGACACACGAAATGTTGCAAACGAGACGTTGCCCCTCAAGTACGGGCGGGCACTTCACTTGCATCCATTCGAGCCGTTAAAGATGATTAAAGCGCGGCACAGAGATTGCGTTGTCAACGCGCTGCTCTCGTATCTTTGTATCTGGGATCTATATAAACGATATGTTAGGGCTCTGGTCCGCTGACCAATACGGTCCAACACAAAAGACTCAGACAACGAACTCGTTTGTCGGAAATAAAAAAAAACGCCTCACAGCCGCAACTTTATTTTATTCAATTTTTGTAGAGTGTCAAACATTTTGATGGCTGCATAAGCATTTTATGTTTTATTTTATTTTATTGTACTATTTTTTAAAATTAAATTGTTATCTTTTTTTAACGGCTGGTATGTTTTAATTATTTAGTTTATTTAGTTCATATTCTGAACTAATTATGTAATTTTATACCCCCATCTTAAAGAGATATGTTAACTGCAGGTGTCCACCTACACTTACTCTCATCTCTTTATCTCAATTCCTTTATTTTATTTGACCAATTTTATTCTATACCATAGTCCAATTTATTATATTTTTCTATTCTATTTTATTTTTTTTGTTGGAATAGATTTTAATTCATTTACATTTTTAGCTATTTAATTACTAACCTTAGATTCACTGAGCCTATGTAAATTTTGGCACAATTACCGCTGTGGCCTACTTAATGCAACTGCTGCCACGCCTCTTCATAGCAAAATTTTGGCCACGCTCCATCTCCAGCACAGCACCAGCTTCCGGCTCCACTCTGGCTCCAGCAGGCTTCATTCATTAATATGCAAACGATTTGATTGTCAAGCATTGCTTTTATTATTTTTTGTTCTCTCTTTTGTTTTATTTTCTCTCTATATTTCCCTTCTCTATAGCTGACTCTTTCTCTGGCGGCAGCCAGCAGTAGCAGATTTATTGCAACGCTTTAAGAAAATTGCAGTTTACGACTTCCTCCGGAGTTCTGCGGCCGATACGCTAAATGATCAATATTTGATGGGAGTACGAGTGCGGTACGGGTATTTGTCATGTTTCCATCGCCAGTAGCCAGCTCGTCGTTTAGCATCTAAGCGTTTGACTAACTCTTTCACCCTCTCATCCGTACTCTTCACCAGCCCCCTTACGGCCCATTTGCATGTTGTAATTTCTGTTATGCAGCAGCAGCATTGAAGACAATGCACAATTGTCGGCTTGGATACTGGATGGGGCGGCGCGGCTCGTCGATTGCGGGGCGTCAAACGCAATTGTTTGCGAATATTTTTTTTCCATTTTTTTTTGTTTAACTACCGACCACATCCACACTTACATATATACATGTATACCCTTTACCCGTGCAGCCACACAGTTTGAATTGGAAGGCGTTTACTGTGAGGCGTCGCAGAAAAATGTTCATAGCCATATGGATTTATATTTAATGCTGCTCATTTGAGAGTGAATTTTGCAATAATTAATTGTATTATGCAAGGCGCCTGGCCACTAAGAGAGTGCAAATGGTAAATTACTTTTGATTGATTGGGCAACTGGCGTATGCAAACGATGATTATGGCCAGAATTGGGTAATATCTGAAGCGTGATGGCAGCTTGGAGATGTCGGTATCAGTGGGCTACTTGCATTGTTCAGTGCCACAACTAACAGAATAATGTTGTTTTAGTTAAATATTGATTACAGCAAAGATTAAGTCGATATGCCAGTCAGATCCGCCAGGATCTAACCTTATTTATACATCCCACTGAATGGTCGAATTCCACCAGACTTCAGTCCAGCATTAAGATATAAAAACGTAAATCAGACAGTTTGAACGAGAGCAATATATATACATATGTAGGTGTGCATGCCTAATCATTGTTTCCTGCACAAGAATGATTTTTGAAGTAGCATTTTTGATTAAAAAAAAATTATTTTATCCGATAAATATATACCTTTTTGTATAAGACTTAATGGCGTAGTTGTTTTGTATTAACCAAAAAATATTAAAGAATTATATCCGCGTCACGAATAATTGATATATAATTATAATTGATAAGTGATCGGACATGGTGCCAAATGGCATTATCTACCTGAACATGAACCTGAACACATGCCAACTCAGCCTGAAAGTATGCATAGGTATAGTACGTATGTGTAATGTATATTATCTGCAGCATGTAGAATGCATGTAAGAAATCAAATGAAAAAGCAGCAATTCACAGGCCCAAGGGCCTGTTGTCTTCTGTCTCCTGACATATCTAAAGCGTGTCCCCTACCGTGTCCTTTTTCACTTCTTTATACTACTTTTGTTGCAGCAGGAATAAAAGAATATCTGTTTGGTTTTATCCAACATAAATTGGCATTATTTATTTTGAATTGGTTTCTGTTTGATTCGAATGACACTGAAACTGGAAACTGACAAATTTCTGTGCATGCAAGTGTGATCGACAACTTATGGGGCTACCACCTACCTACCTACCGTACAACCCATTTCGCAGATCATTTGGGTTTTTTGTTCCGGTATGGATGTGCCCTGGCATGTCTCTTTTGTTGTCAATTCAATACATTCGATATTTAATATAGTTAATATTTGTATGCGCTTGTAATTGTAATTAGTAATACACATATTTGTATGTAGTATAATGCCGTACTTAATGATTACGAATGTTTCCACTTGGGGGGTATTGATTCTTCTCTTAATTTCGTATAATATTTTTTCTGCTAAGAAGGAGCGAGTGATTAGTATAAATGCGTTTTAAACTGCTTGTCCCATTTGGATATACAAATACTTCTTGAATGTACTTCAAATGACTTTTCTTCTTTTGCTTAGGTCCTTGTGGATGTTGAGTCTGATGTGCGTTGAAGTTGAATGTCGGTTATGTTTGGTGTGGGGGTGTGTGAAAGTGAGTGTTTGACTTTTTCATTTACTCGTTGGTTGTTTTTTTTTTGCGATGGAAGTTAAATTTTGATTAATGCATTTTATGTAAAGTTAAGTAGAAAATTAGTTATATATGTGTATGTATGTGTATTTTTAATTAAAAAAAGCGTTCTTTTACAAATGGATACTGCGGAATATCTCTGGTATTCCCACTGCCAATGAAGCAACACAAAAAGCGATCGATTTGATTCGATAATGCATGCATGATACGAGTATAGTAAGAGAAATGGCTTTGGCTGATGCTTTCATGATCGTTAATATATGTTTGTATGTATGAAATGTTATTTGTACTTAGCCTATGTTTTTATAATCTCAAACCGCTTTGTTGAATTAATTCGTTTTTAATGCGCAAAAGTGTAATTCTTAGATATTTTTTTTTGATTTTGATTTGCCGAAAAGTTTCAAATTATTTTGTGAGTATGTACTTAAAATCTGGTTTCGTTTCGTTACAATTTTTGAAATCCAACGTTCTATGACCATCGATTATTGCTTGCTATTTAATTACTCGTAAATTTGTAGGTGATTTGATTCCTTATAATTTTTGTTGTTTTGTTGTAACCGATTAAATGCTTTTCTTTTCCACTAAGCACTACTTAATATTTGTAGTTCGTTTACCATGAAAATTTGTAGTCCATTCAGATAGGTTTCCTCATAATACACAAGCAAGTTTTCTTTTCTTTTCTCTTGCTTTGGTTTTGTTTACTCACAACGCTACATTTATATATGTATGCATATATGTAATTGCATTTGTATATATCTATATAAAATTGGTATAGTAGTCTGGTTAAGAGTGTATGTATATAGAGTGTGGTTAGCTAGAGTGGGAACTGAAAGTGAATGAAATGAAATGAAGTGAAGTGAACTTAAGAGTAGAATTTAATTTTCCTATAAAAGTTTCCGTCGTTTCCCCGTTTGCGATTTGGGTAAATGCAATTCGTGATGTGCATAGAGTCTGGGTATATCAAAATCCATTCCGGATCTAATGGCAGTGCCCTGCTGAACAATCTTGGAGTCACCTCGAAAATGCTTCGCTATTTCCACTGGGTTCTGTTCAGCACTTTTGTGTTGGCTATTCTAGTACTTGGATTCATTCGGTTTTGGTTTCGTTTTCGTTTTGAATTTAGCATTTAGGTCTTTGCACTCAGTCTTTGTAGTGTTGAGGAGTTGCAGGGCGGAAAACCAAACAATAAATAAAACAATACAAATTAAAATTTAAAATAAAATCATATATTTAAAAACTTACAAGCTAGCAAACTTAAAGTAGAGCGAATGAAAATGAAATTGACATGGCCAGACATAAACAATTTCAAGTTCTCTTAAAGCTTCAAATGCGTATAATCGATGTGCAAAACTGTATATCATATCGTTCTTGGTCTAAATAAAACGTGAGAGAGTGCATAAGTGGGTCATGTGGGTCTGTGGTTATGTGTGGGCGTCCTGGGGATCTTGTATTATACAATTCAAAATGTTGTGGCTGCATTTTGTGCATTGAACAGTTTTCGTTTTGTTCTTTTGGAAGCGCATTTTAAAATCAGAATAAAACTATGTTAAAATAACACATGTCCACACTTGTCTGTATGTGTGTGTGTGTGTATAAATAATAATTCAAAGAAAACGAATACACGAATACAATTACTTACTGACACATTTCTACAAATTAACAATCATCACATGTCAACGCAAAACGCAAAAAAAAAACAAAATCTGCAAATGTGCGCTGTTCATAGAAATTACCAAACGTATAGGAGAAATTATACAATCCCGTATATGACTAAGTATATATGTATGTATATATCAATTAGGTGAGTTAATATTATGACTCTGACTTAGGCTAGGCAAAGGTCGAGTTGTCTGCTCTTGGCATAGATGGCAGAGGAGTTTACGTTTACACAAAACAAAAGTCCGAAATGCACCTCCTCGTTACACACAAGAATCGCATCGCCCTTAGTGGGTTTTCGCTGATATTTTGGTAGGTCTCGCTTAAAACTAAAATACAATATTAAAAATTAGTTCCAAATATTCAGATACGAAAATGTAAGTATGTTTTTTTTCTCGTTTCATTATTTTTGTTTCCTCAATCCTTTTTTTTTCGTATAATTGGTAGTACTTTTTCCTTTACGGCACACACTTAGAGTAGTTATTTATATATGATGTATATCTTTATGTATGTTTGGTTTACGGCATAGACACTATAAATATGCTTTTGAAGTTTACTTTCTTTACGTTATAAATACTTGAAATACGAGTAGTTGAATAATTTTATGCGTGTATATGCGGTATATAATTCACTTTCTTTACGATTCTTTCTCATTGTGTAATGATGATGTGGTGTGTGTGTGTACTGACTGTGTGTTCTGTTTTGTCCGAAGGTCATTCAACTCCCACGCACTTCATGCACCTAAAACCACTAAGCTACAATGCCACGCCCATCGCTGCTGGCTGGAGTCGCTTACAAATTACACTGCCATAGTATCGTAGGCTGTGAATCCTGCGCCATTTGCTTGTTGTTGGAGTTGGAGTTGTTTTGGGCCGGCTTCGTTTCTATATATGTAGCGTCAGCAGGGGAGGGGATCGAAAAGAAATGTGTGATTAGTCAGTTCAACTTGATGGAAATTTACATTAATTATTAATAACTATGTTTAGGCTGCAACCAAAGCATTGCAATAATACGAGATGGGATCCTTGGTGATAACTTTTCGTTAGGACTTTGGGAAAAACCCCAACTGGATCCCATTTCGTCGTGGTGGCTGTGTCTTTATGTTCTGTTCGTGGTTTATCATACGAGTATGTAGTTTACGTTTACTTCTTGTGTTTGGCAAGCTGAGGCCAAGCGCAAAGCTGCAAGAAACTGTTAAGACTTATGGGCATATACGAGTATGTACGGGTATTTGGGATAGTATATCGTGATAGACAGATACGAGTACGAGAGTATGGCTTACAGCCTGCTTAGTCTAGGCGGTATCGTATGGAGTAGTTTTATCAAAACGTTTTCAAAACATTCAACTGTGATTTGCCTTCATAATCAACCAGAAAATTAAATCAAAATCCAACTCAGAACGAAATTAACTTAAAGACCAAACCAAACCAATTAAAATTAGAAAACAAACAAGAACAGGAAAATAAAGTTGGTTATACGAGAGTTAATAGATTGGATGTGCAGACTCTCTGTTATATTATAGGTATGTATGTACAAGGATGGACATGCATGGCGTTCGTGGTTAGTCACATTTAGTTTAGAGCTTAGAGTTTAGTTAGGAGAACTTACAACTGTCGACGACTAGTGTCAGCGATCATAATCATTCACAATCAAGTTAGTAGGTAAACGAACAAAAGGGGAAATTAGTGGATTGAGATTAGTTAGCTGCACCAGAACTACAATTAACAACTTGTGTGCATCTGTGATTGAGTGTGTGTGCTCGCGAGATCTCTGGATCTCTGGTCGCATTGGTCTTACCTTTCAATCAGTTTACGCATCTCTTCGGTGGTGCGCTGATCTTTCGGTTGGGGCGATCGCTTCACAGCTGCGATTTCCACATTTTATGTATTCAAAATATTTGCAAGAGAAATATGTGTTTTTTTTTTTTTTTTGCCCGAACCGATAAAGTAGGATATTATATATTTGGGAAATAGAAAGAAAAACATAAAATGAAAATAAAACATAGGGTATCGGCTTAAGTCTAAGCACGTGTTCGATGTCCCATCGAAAATGAATAATTCGTGCAGGGCTGGACTGGAGTAGGGTAGTTTGAAATGAGTGTTGTTCCCACTAGAGACGTACCTCTATGAGGTCATCGCATGCAGATTTCTAGTCACAATGGATTCGATTTATCCCCCAAAGTCCCCCATAGTTAGATACAAAAACATAAAAACATTTAAGTGTGAAATGTGAAATGTGTGCGCCATGAAGTGAAATGAAATGTTAAATGTGCAATTTGATTGAATCTTATAAACGAATATCAGAAATATCAATAAAAAATGATAACCATAAACCAAGTAACAAAATCTGAAATTTAAAATTTAGGACAATCACAACACTGATGTTCCTTTTGTAAAATTGTTTAGCAAAACACAGCATGAATATTTGTGGAGTGGAGTGAATGAGCGGAACGGAACAACCAAATAAAACTCACTGATTGATGGGGAAATGAGGGGGCACTGGGTCTATTCTATTGTATCTTGAGTGAGGGGGGTCGTGAGGAGTCGAAGTATGAGGGTGATTGGTTATCGAATGATTGATGGATAATCACACTATCTAACTCAACTTCGGCTTGCATCACTCACCCTCATTGGAGTCTTCTGATTAATATATGTATGTATGTATTTTATACACGAAATTTCGAAAAAAATAGAATTGAAAGAGATGGCGAATTGGTTGTGTTAAAATTAGACGAATTTTTTGTAAATTTACCACAGCGAATATGAGATTATATGTATATAAAATGTAACAACAACATGGGTCTCGTCTGAGCTGCTCTTTGTGTCGGAAACTTACCGCCATAGTTGCCACGTGGTCCATGATCGCGATCGCACTCAGCCTCTGAGATCTCGTTGCTCTCCTTGGAGTCGTTGAATGAGGAGTTGCTCATGTCATGGTTGCGTGGTGGCGGCGGTGGTGGCTCGGGTGAACCATTTCCAGGATTGCGAGCAGAGCCTGTCGATCATAAACAAAGGATCAGTAGACATTCCGAATGCGTGGTGCGATTCTCTGGTGCGTCACTTACCAACGCTGCGACGTCCCATGGATCCACGAGAGCCATAATGATCGTAGGGCTGTCCATAGGGGCCGCCATATTGGGAGCCATACTGATCCTCCTCGGGGGCACAGTTGGCTGGATCATCGTATTCGGGTCCGGGTCCAGAGTACAGGCTACCGCCCTGAGAGTTGACGCGAGTGTAGCGGCGCTGCGAAAGGGGAAAATCAAGTAATGCCATTCACACAAGACCCGCTTACTCACATATTGATCCTCCTCGGCACAGTTGGCTGGATCGTCGTATTCAGGTGCTGGGGTGTAGATCGACGACTGTCCGCCCTGGCTGTTCTTGCGTTGGTAGCGATTGGCCCGTGGCATCGACTGAGATCCCGATCGTGAGTGCACATGTCCTGGGTGTCCGGGTGGAAGCATGGTGCCGGCATGGCCGGGCACGGGGCCAGTGTGTCCGTTCTGGTGCGGGAAGGTCTGGAAGTTCATGGCCTTGGTGGGGTCCATTTCCTCGCGGAATCCAAGCAGATGGAAGGTGGCATAGGGGCAGATTTCATCTTCCATGCCTTGCGGGAAGAGAATTCAATTAGCCGGGTGTTCGCTTCAACTGCTTGCGACAGCAGTGGTGGTGTGTCTGAGTGATGTCTGTTTAGTGTTTTTAGTATGCTTGAATGAATCCTGTTCCCCCAAAACTCCCCCACCAAGTGGTTACTTACTACTTTGTTAGCTCGATGCGACCAGGCGTTAGACTACAACTGGTTAGTGGTGGTAAATCAACTAAAGGAGGGTCAGTGGCCGGGTGATTGGGTGTGGGTTAGTTGGGAAACTTGGGGATGTGAGTACGGAAATAAAAACCGCAGAGGGAGGCAGCTGCTCCTCTCCACTCCTCCTACCTGGATGCCTGTAATGGCACTCAGCATTGCCGTGGGCATGACCATACTGATTGCCGTGCAGGGGCACTGGCGGGGCCTTCAGCTCCTCGTACAGGTTCGGGCGACGCGGATCCCACGTGGAGTGGTTCGAGCGCAAGCCACCACCGCGGCCTATGGTTTCGCGATCATTTCGTTTTATGGGATCATGGGGTGGTTGTATGATTCGGGTGTGATGGATTCGTTTTTCGTGTGATATTTTTCAAATTTCCAATTTCGTACAACATCAAAGATAAGTCAACGGAAATCAAAATGGAATCGAAGCAACCGAAGGGTGCGGAAGGGTGGGGAGCGTGGGAGGCAAAAGGATTAAAATGATAAGTTCAATTGCAATTAAAAATGTATGGGCTGCTTCCGCAATATTCGATTCAATATTGCGGATGCATCCCCAACAGAAAAAAAAGCTTAACTTAAAATGTATTTACTCGTATCTAAATTTACAACAACATTTAGGAATGGTTTTATTCTTTCGTTCATTTCATGCTGGGAATCTGGGAACAGGACCAGGATTCAGGTTGGACCAAACTCAAGAGGAAGCGCTTCAAAAAAGCAACATTAAGAATTTTTCAGTCTCGATAAAAGCTTAGCTCGAGTGTCGAGTGTGGGCAGATAGGCGTGTTAACGCCTATCTCTCTGTCTGTGTGTGTGTGTGTGTGCAATAGCAACGCAAAATACTTTTTAATTTTCGTTTTGTTTTTTTTGTTTTGTTTTTTTTTTTTGGTTTGCAAAGTAAATGGAAGAAAGAACTAAGCCACAGGCCATGCCCGGGGATTTCTGCTCAGTGGCAATGAAATCTACCCGGACGTGGGCTCGAGGCATTAATAAATGTTGCATTGGAAATTTAGATGCTTACTTATGACTGTACCTCGCTTAATCCGGTCGCAGGTGTTGTAATTGGAGCCGGGCACGGGTGGCAGCTTCCGGTTGGGTGGCGCAATGTAGCCGAGCTCGTCGCGCAGGTCCGGGCGGCGCTTGTCGAGGGTGGCGCCGGGTCCCATTGTCTGATTGTAAACTACATCGTCTAGAATTAATATATGATATCGCCAACTCAATATTGAAACACTGAAGATGCTTTTCCGTCATTGCATTTGCGGCTCGAATGCAATCAACTCGCATACTTTACTTCTGTTTTCGATTTCGACTTGTGTTCCGTCACTCGTTATTGGATTTTGACAATTATTTTTATATATTTTTTTTTATATTTTGTGGTTTGGTTTTGTTTTTGGTTTTTTGGTGCGGCATTTCAACACACTAAATGTGCTAATTAGTAGCTCAAAAATACAAGTTACAATTGCGAAAAAGATTCCAAAAGATGTTACGTGAAGTGTTTTTTGGTTTTTTGGTTTTCGTTTTTTTCAGTCTCAAAATATACCAACTGGTGAACTGGTCAACGATTAACATTTAACAATTACGATTAACAATGGAATGGAATGAGCGGTGAACTTAATTTTGTATTTACTCGACTTTACATTTAGCATTGATCCAATGAACGATCTCGATTGCGATTTCAAAAAGCATCTTAGTTTGGTTTCAACGAACGGGGGGTAAAAGTGCGGAAAATATTTAACTGAAAAACGGTTACGATAGATTTGATTTGTCTTGTTTTGTGGATGATATGTACGAGTATATTGCTATGTATATAGTTGATAGATAGATAGTTGTGTGGGAGAAGTCGTTTCGAATGTAAAAGTTGCTTAGGTCATAAGCAAAACGTATATACAACAATAAGGCTAGCATAGGTATCTCTTTTATTTGGATTAAACTAATATTGGATATAGGAAAGAGCCAACAGCTAAACCTCATAAATTAATTTCCAGTTGTAGGTTGCTGTTGGTCCTTTTCAAGTAAATCTGTACATTTTGAATCATCGCAAACTATATTTAAATGTTAATTTTCCAATTGGCTTCAATGACGATGGAAAATTAATGATAGACATTGAAACATTAAAATTGAATATATATTATATGTACATATATAGATCTGGGTATATATTCAGTATTTAGTATTTGGTATATTCTGTTGGTATATTTTTGTAGTGCAATCTTTTGGTTTATTTCTGTGAGTGTAGCTTGTATGAATGCATCTACGGACCTACGTAAGTGTGGATCATAATATCGTGCAAATTGTGTAGAAATAGACACAGACATTCCATAAGTTATTTAATTCAAAGGTTTACCATGGAGTGACGGCCATCGTCTTATTGGCTAGCTGGTATTAGCCAACACACAAAAAAAAAACAGAAATAAAATATCGAGCTAAACTAAAAATATATAAAATGCAAATCGATAGATTATGGTGGATAACAACACATTGCGCCCCTGAAACAGCCCAAGAACAGGCGGTAACCTACAATAGACATCCTTCTGGCCGCCGCGCAGATCGTCCGCTCGTCGTCGGGACAGGGCCACGCACACCACACAAATGCCGACCGCAACCACCACTACGGTGGCTATCAGCGGCACCATAAAGTTGAGGTCCAGCCACTCAGGCATCCAGGCGGGCAGGCGGATGCGGGTGTGGACATTGCCATGGCCCAGGCCATCGTCCAGTGGGGCCATGGTGCCTTTCAAGTGTCAATTGATCGATATACAAACCAGTTGAGATACGCATTCGCATTTGAATGGAATGGAATGTCATGCAGACCAGCGACAATAAATCATGCAAATATTTCAAGGCAAAAGCGCAAGTGTTTTTGGTCGTGTGTTGTGGGTGTAGATTTAATGGTGTGTGTGTGTGTTTCAGAGAGATAGAGAAAGAGAAACCGAAAAGAGAAAACGAAATTCTTAATTAGTTGGATATACTTATAGATACCTTTGTGGTGATTGCCCTTGCTACGCAGTATACAAATAACAATTATCGCTATTATTATGACGAGCAGAGCCGCCACGACGGGCACAACTAAATTGAGGTTCGATAGGATAATGCGGATCGTGTCCTCGGCGCTTAATTCGGGTAAATCGCGCGAGGGTGCGATAGTGCCTGCAACAACAATAACAACAACAACAACCAAAGAGTGTTTTTGGACAGGTCAGTGGGTGGCATGGATATACACATAAGGAAAGAGACGGGGAGAGACAGAGGGAGAGAGAGAGACAGAGAGAGACGACAGAGTTGGAGAGAGTGACAAAGACAGTTACATACATATATGTACGAGTATATGTAGTTATGTACTCGTACACTCGTACGAGCAATGCCATTCTTCTGTGGCCCTTCGCCTGCCTCTTCTTCATCCTGTGGCACATATTGCACATTGACTTTTGTACCCAGACACACATACATAATGCATATACAAATACAGACACAGCTATCGTTGATGAAAGAATCGAATACAGGAATCGATAGCAAGTCGATATCGATATGTTTCAGATAGAGAGAGTGAGTGAGAGAGAGAGATAGAGAGTGAAATGTGATTAAATTAATTGGTTTTTTGGTTTGTTTGTTTTTTTTTTCGTTGGTTATTTTACAATGCGCAGAACTTGAGTAACTTTCGATCTGAAAACTATAGTTTAATTGAACTATTGAATAAGTTTAAATTGTAATTGTAACGATAAATTGTATAAAAAACACTTTATTTTAAATACGATTAAATGCAATTTGTTTTTTTTTTTTTTTAACCGCTTAAAGCTAATTGTAATTAATGATGTTGTACGTACGAGTATGTATGTATGGTAAAAATGCTAACTGGACCAAAACGCATTGAACAACATTCGAGGCAACAATAACGAGAGAGTTATTATGTTCTTCTTGAAATAAACCAACTAACTTAGGCGGAACAACTCAACTATAACTTGACATAACTGAAATGAATCGTAAGGAATCGTAATGAATCACAAAAACCCAAAACAAAATGTATCCATGTAACTGTAATGAATGTATAAGATAGATATGCATAAGGAAATCAACTCTCGGGCTCGGCTCTCCTGTCGGATCGGGTCTGAATGGACTGCACACTGAACTCTCTGATATAGTTTGGATGACAAATCTTTGGTTGTTGTGTATAATATATTTTTGTTTGTTTTTTTTTTTATTGTGGTAGTGGCTCTGCTCGATTCCCAGTTTTGAGTTTGATTTTAGTTTCATTCTTTTTTCCTGTGTTTCACATATTTTGTTTTTTAAATGAGCATTTTGCTAATTTTAAAATCAAATAAAAATCGAAAATAAAATGCTAAAATTATAGCTTTATCTGTTAGTGGGTGGAATGAATGGAATCTGTGACCAGTTGTGGATGAGAATTTCAAGGAAAAGAAATATTCTTGAAGATGGAATTTCAAAAATAGAAGATTCTCCGGCCTGAGCACCCTGCTATATAATGGAGCTTGAAGAAGATTTTTTTGTTATTTTTTTTGTTAGCTGGGAAGATTGGAGTTTGTACAATCAGTGAACTGGGTGGGGGGAATGGATCGCGGGGTACGACAACATTTATTGTACACATCTATACATACATATATGTACGATGTATATCAGGCAGTAAGCGCTGCAACTATCGCAGACTAGTTCCTTTTCTGAAGTGTGTGTAGTATTTGTACAGAATCTCTTTCACAAACTGGGCACAGAAATGCAGTAAAAAAAATAGGATAATCAATTAAAACAATAAAAAACATAGATATATTCATACGGTGATCTCTAGAACTACAAATGGATCTATTGAAATAATAACAAATAAAAACTTTGCTGGATGGTGAGTTGGGTAACTATTCAGTTATATACATACATATGAAATATGCATCTCTTCGCTATGGATAAAAACAAATGGAAAGAAACAAATTGCATTTACGTAAGGAAAATTATTAGTTTTTTACACTAATTATTTGGGTGGAGCTGCGTTCAGAGTTCTGGCATTTCGCAACGAAATAATAAACATTACAAAATATAAACAAATTGAAGGAACTATTTTCACAAGCTTGGTGCTCACAAACAGAAAATCAAAATTAATTTACTGTGCAATTTGTTCACATTGAAACTTAAATGAAAAATTTGCCCATAATTTTTTTTTTTTTAAGGTTTTTTTTAGGTATAAGGCAAAATCAGGAAACTCAGGAAATATATTATGTGTGTGTGTGTGTACAACATTTTATGGCTGGGGTGCTTGTTCTCATCTTGTTATTTGTATATGGACAGTGCTGTTGGGGACCCGGATCCGCATGCCTCTCCACGCGGCAGACCGCCCGCCCAGGCTCTGGCAAGGGGCTGCCGCAAGGAGTGGCATTTTTTGGACCATGGCCCCCCCACTGTCTACGTAGAGTACTCTATGTACAAAAGCAATGCGGGAATCGTTTTGGAATTGGGATACGAATTGGAAAACAGATCATAAATACCTCCGGTCACGGTCAGAGTGGCAAAGTCGTATTCGGCGACGGTGAATCCGGCCGAGTTGTGGGCAGTGATGCGAAGATTGTACCAGGTGGCAGGCTCCAGATCGAGCACCACATAGTTGTTGTCGGGCTTCACGTTGTTCGAGATCTGGTTCCATTCGATTTGATCGCTGTGGAGATGCAGGCGGCAAAGGTTAGCAAATGTTTGGGAGATGTATCAGGGGGATTGATTGTACCGTTTCTTGCTCTCAACCACGAAGTGGGACATGGGGCAGCCGCCATCTTTCCAGGCCTTGAAGTGCAGCGAAACGGAGTTGGATGAGACCTCAATGAAGCGTGGCTTCTCTGGCAGCTTGGGCTTCTGGCCCTTGGTGCGGGTGTTCAGAATGTCGGAAGCCTCGCCGGCGCCAATGCTGAACACAGGAGGAGGAGATCATTAGATTGGAAGTGCAGGAAATGGGTATGGTTATGGATGCCACTCACTTGTTGAATCCTGTGGCATAGACCTGGTAGCGGGATCCGCAGAGCAGACTCTCAATGTTGTGCTTCTGCGAGTCCACAGACACCTCAGCAGTTTCCCATTCGCCGAATTCTGAAATAACAGATTTATCCAGATTTACATCATTAAATGGGAAAAGGTACACCCACCTGGCTTGTAGTGCAGTGTGTAGCCATGCAGCGGAGCTGTGTCTCCCTCATGGGGCTTCAGCTTGACTGTCAGGGCATCGGTGGTGGTGGCCGAGAGGGTGACATGGGGCGACTGGGGTGGGGCCAGAACAATCAGTTTGTGGGTGATCGAGTCCTTGGCAATGGAGTTTTCGGCATGACACGAGTAGTCTCCGGCATCCTGGCGGTTCACCGACTTAATCAGCAGCGAGCCGTCGGGCAGGAGGCGCATCCGATCGTTGGCACTGAAGTCGACGCCCTTGATCTTCCAGGTAATCTCGGGCTGTGGTGCTCCGACGGCCAGGCACGGCATTTTGGCATCTTCCTTGAAGGTGGCAGTGAACGTGTCATCGAAGGAGGCAATCTTGGCGGGCACCTGGTCGCTGGGCATGGCCACAATGCTCTTCGACTGCTGCCCCTCGCCGATGGTGGTGCTGGCTGTGACCCAGAACTCGTACGGTTTGTTCTTCTCCAGTTCGCTGGCCTCGAAGCTCATTTGGTAGTGGGGCACCTTCTGGGTCTTTGTCTCTGTCTCGGCGCCCTCAGCCTTCGAGTAGACGGTGTACTGGGTGATGATGCCGTTGGGCTGCGCCGGTTGACGCCACGACACGAGAATGGCAGCATTGCCCATGACCAGAGCTTTCACATCGGTGGGTGCTTCGGGAACTGCAGCAGGCAAATAATAGAATTAGAAAATGGCAGAGTTATCCCCTAGATTACTCACCATCTGGTTCGGTCTGGCAGTGAATGGGAGTGCTGCGCACGCCATCGCCTCCGGCAGTGGTGGCCAGCACTTGCATCGTGTAATTGGTGTACTTCTTCAGGCCATGCAGCACGGTGTCGGAGGAGGCGGTCTTCTTGTAGTGTCGCTTGGTCTCGTCTGTGAATTGGAGTTGGGCTATAATTGGAGGCACATTCCCCTGGCGAACTGATTCTGATTGCCACTTACCATACCACTCATCGCTGGGGGCATACACAACCTTGTAGGTCTTGATCACACCGTTGGCCGACTCCAGTGGGGGACTCACCCAGCTGACGCGTATGGTCTGGGAGGTGAGGGTGGTGCAGGACGTATCGCTGGGCGGCTGGCTGGGTGTGCCTTCGGCGGTGAACTGCTTTCTCCTCTTCGCTCAAAGGTCCTGCTCCGATCTTGTTGAATGCCTGAATGACCACCGAGTACTGGGTGTAGACGCGCAGATTCTGCAGCTCCAGGTTGTGCTCCTTGCCCTCCTCGGTAATGAAGTTGATCGTCTCGAACACATACGAGGAGTTGGTGTTGGATAGCTTGTAGCCGACATAGTAGCCCAGGATCTCGCCGTTCCATTCGGTGCGTGTTGGGGGCTTCCAGGTGACGCGCATTGTGGTCTGGTTCACGGGCTCCACTTTGATGTTCTGCGGCTTGCCGGACGGCGCCTCCTCGGCGGTGATGATGGTTACGGCTTCCGATGACTGCGAGGTGCCAATCACGTTCTCGGCCACAATGCGAATGTTGTAGGTGGTGGCGGGGCTGAGTTTCTGCACCTGGGCTTCGGTGGTGTGGCCGGGTACCATGACGCGATCGATCTCGCTCCAGGAGGCGCGGGAGCGCTTAAACTCGATAATGTAGCGATTGAGCGGAGAGTTGCCGTCGTAGGGCTGGGCCCAGCTCAGCTGCACGGATCTGCCGGACTTGTCGAGCACCTTCAGGGCGTAGGGCATCTCGGGCACCTCCTGGACAATCATATTGATGCTGGCATCGTCGGAGCCAAAGGCATTGGTGGCCACACAGGTGAACAGAGCAGAGTCGGAGCGTTCGGTGCGCTTGATAGAGAGGCTGGACATGACGCCGGTGGAGAGGATCTCCTCACGGATCGTATACCGGTTGTCGTTCTTGGGGTCTAGTCGCATGTTGTTCATGTTCCACAAAATACCAATCGGCTTCTCGCCCTTGGCCTCGCACTGCAGCACCGCGGGTTCGCCTCGTCGGGCGGTCTGGTTGCGCAGCTTCTCCGTGAACTCTGGCGGGGCCTGGACGCTGATCATGATCACGGCGGAGAGTCCCGAGCCGATGCCGTTGATGGCCTCGCACAGATAGTAGCCCTCGTTGGTCTTCTGGATGTTGTCCACGTGCAGGGTTCCCTCCTCCACGCGAATGTTGTCGCTCTTCTTCAGATCTTTGTACTCGCCGGGTGTGTCGCCTGAAAGAAAGATTCATCCCATCAGATTGCTGCTGCTGCTGCCAGGGTTTGCTTGATTTGCTACGTACCAACTGCTTTCTTCCAGGTCACCTGGGGCTTGGGGAATCCATCGGCTTTGCACTCAACCTTGGCATCAGATCCCTGGGCGAAGGCCTTGTCGGTGGGCTCAAGAATCCATCTTGGTGGCACTGCACATGGTGGTGGTGGTGGTGTGTGTGTTGGGTGTTGTGGAAAGACAATATGTTAGTAAGGCTGTTGCGGTTTCTCTGTATAATATAGCAAAAAGCATGCGGTTTGGTTTATATCCTTCTGGATAAACGGATGGACGGACTTTTGGTTCAAGCAAATCAAAATGTACTTTTGGAATTACGAAATCGATCTTCAAAGTTGAAGAACTTTTAGATATAATGAACAGTACTATTTGAATATCATTTCAATTTGCTTTTACAGTGCGAAAATATTCTTGCAAATCTTTTTTAAAGTTTTTTCTTTGCATACAAAATTATTTCCGCACTTTATCTTAACTTTAGGATTAAAAATAAATGAAGAAGTTCTAACTACAACCAAATACATTATAAGCACAATGAAATAACCAAAATGTTAACAGGACAACAGAAAGTTGGGCTTTAATGGAACTGAAAGTTAGAATCAAACTAAGGGTTAAAGTGTCATGCAATTGGTGCAAAACGAAGTCTGGTTCGGGCTTGTTCTCTTATACTTTGCTTATATGTATGTATATTGCTTTGCGAACAGACTTCGTTTTGTGTGGCTTAGTGACTAAGTAAATGATTAGCAAAACAAACTGAAAGTTAATTAATGTGGGATGGGTGGGAATGAGGGGGATTCGTGGGTTTCTTTCTCGGGTCTGGAGTGGACTGATCGGGGACGAAATGTTACGTTTATGGAAGCGCACAGGACTCAGCCGCAATGGCGGCTGCAGGCTGAGTGCCACGAGTCGGTTACGATTAAGTAGAGTAGTTATCGTTAGGTAGACATTGAGAAGCGGATTAATATGGTAAAGATCTTGCTGTTGTTGCTGTTGGTTGGTTTGTTGATTGGTTGGTTTATTCGGTGTTGGAGCATGACCAAAATATCCTCATAAATATGTGTGTGTGTAATTAAGCAAAATTGTCAGGCTGTGATTGATTGGTTCTCTTTGTGGATTGGTTTTTTCTTGAGTAGAGTGATCTGTGGGTGTGCGTGTGCGTGTGTGTGCTTTAGCATGTGTGGTGCAGTCAGATCTGAGCTGATTTAACCATACATATGCATATACATACATATGTATGTGTGTAAGTATCTTTATAACGATCGAAGAATAACTAGACTCTCGAGTTCAAAGGTTTACTTGTTCGAGTATAAAGCGTGTGCCATACATTGCATATATACAGTGTGGATCATAATTATAGTTCAAACATCACGTATATATGTACATCTGAACGAGTAGGTATATATTTAGACCCCAATCGAACTGTTCTACAGTCCTTGGCCTAGAGAGCGAAAAAGAGTCAAAAAGAAGTCAAGGATAAACTTGCTAAGAGACGCTGACAAAAGAGAGACAAAATTAGAGAGAGAGAGAGAGAGGGAGAGAGAGAAAAAAAACTGATTTGATTCCCCATTCCATTTACCATTTACAGTTAGTCTGGCCAGGCGCTCTGCCACGCCCACCTGATTGCTGGCCCTGCAACTGTAGTTGCCCCCATGGCTCGCCTGCACCCTGTGGATCAGCAGCAGGCTCGTATGCTCGCCCACCGTCGCCTGTTGCACCGCCGAGACATCGTCGCGGCCCTCGTGGTCGTGCACCTGTCGGCCGTTTAGCCACCACTCGAACAGTATGGGCGTGGCACCGCGACTGGCAATGCACGTCAGCTGCACATAGTCGCCCACATCGCAAACGGACGCAGAGAGCAGTAGGGGAGCGAGCACGGGCGATTCTTTTTTGGAGGGGGAAGAGCAAATCGGAAAGGAATGCTATTGGTATTGGTATCCATACTGAATTTTAAATCCTCTAATGAGAGTTCCAATGGATTTTAATTATATTTTTAGGCAGTTTTCTTGGTGACTTCTGAGCGTATTCCACAGTTAAATTTAGCAGCAAAATCCCCCACTAATACGCAATGTTCTATATACATTAATCTATTATACATAATTGCTCATTTAATTTACAAATTGTTGCATTTTCTGTAGTTCTGTCGAGTCTTTTGGTCGATTCTGTTCGGGACTGGATGTAAAAAAACTTTATACAAATGATAATAACAGACAATTTACACCTGAACTATCTAACATAGTTCAGAGAGATATGTACATCGTAGTACCCTTCACTTTCAGGCTGGATGAGCGACTGGCATTGCCTGCCGCATTGCTGGCCACACACGTGTAGTTGCCGGAGTCGCTGATGGTGGTCTGGCGCAGCGACAGTATCAGGGTGTACTCGTCGATCTTGTGGTAGATGGAGCGCAGCAGCGGCTGGCTGTCCTTCAGCCAGTAGATGTCGATGGGCAGATCCCCAGAGGTGACCATGCACATGACACGCACCGCTTGACCGCCATTGACTCCGTTGGCATTGAAATTAAATTGCTCGATTTGGGGCAGCTCTAAGCAGGTGAAACGAAAAGCCGTGCAATGGGTGAGTGGAGGCAGCCATGTAGTCTTTATCGCGTGTTATATATATAATACAAATTCGTGCTAATGCAATACCAACACCAGACAAAGGCAGGGACAAAGACAGAGACTGAGACGGAGAAAGAGATTTACAGATGCAGACTTTGACCTATTCTAGGAGTCTACCACTACCAGTTGTGTACATGGAGCATGGAACAAACCCTTCACACTGAGATGACTCTCGGCCGTCGTCTCTCCCGCCCGATTGGCGCCCCGGCAGGTGTAGACACCCGCATGGCCGCCCTGGACGCTCTCGATATTCAGCGAGCTGCTGCGCCGGCTGTGCATCATGATGCTGACACCGGGCAGATCTCCGGCCGGCTGGCCATTGTAGTCCCAGGTGATATTGAAGGGCGCATCCCCGCTCACCACCGCACAGGACAGTTGGTAGTAGTCGCCGACATAGAGGGGCGAGTTGACGGGCAGCGGCGCCAGCTTGGGCAGCACTTGATGGATGTCCAAATAAAAATGATGAAAAATTATATATAAACATAAAACATACAGAAATTATGTGGAGGGGAACCCTAGCGAATAAAGGCTAACGAGTGAAGAGCCTCAACGAAACTATTCCGATATCTAGAGGTCCCACGGGGCGGATGCTTCTACAGTTCAGTTCAGATCAGGATCAGGATCAGTGCTCTCTTAGTTCTCAGTCATGCAAGCTACGAGTATTGTGTGTGTGTGTGTGTGTGTGTGAGTATCTCTAGCTTAATTTTCTACAGACAGAGTGACAGATGTAGGACAGAGGCAGAAGTAGGACTGCAACAGAGATAGAGATAGAGAGGATGATGCATCAGACGTTTGCTTCTGGTTAGTAGAGGCAGCCACAACGAACTACTCAAGCGACCCGGAGTGGGGGGACCCGGACGGATTCAGGCGCTAACCATAGACATTCAGTGGCGCTGTGTACTGCTGGTGGCCAGCCGAATTGCGTGCGTGGCAGGTGAAGTTTCCCGCATGCGATGCCTCAACGGCTTCTATGGTGAGCACGCTGCCCCGACGGCCCACACGGGCCGTGCTGATGCCCAGATCCTCGGGCATGGTCTGGCCATCCAGCGTCCAATCGATTTGCATGGGCAGATCCCCACCAGGCACGGAGCAGTGCAGCGTCAGATACTGCCCCACCTGGGCGGGGCCCTCCTCGAAGGCGAAGGGTATGATGCGCGGCAAAACTGGATAGTTTTTGTGGTGTTGTGTTGATGATGGTTGGGAAATTACCAATAAAAAAATAAGGTGCAAAAATTATAATCGTAAAATCGTAAAGCGAAGGCGCTACGGGGGGCTGGCTACAGGTCTATGTCCGGTGCTCCACCTATCACTCTCAGCTGGGTGCTGTAGGTGGCCCTGCCGGCGGCATTCTCGCCGTGGCAGCTGTAGTTGCCCGCATGTCGTGCCGCCACACTCTCGATGGTGAGGACGCTGCTGCGTCGCCCCATTTTGGCAATGAGTATGTCCTGATCGTCGTCGTTGAAGAGCGGCTGATTGTTGAATGTCCAGCGTATGTTGAGGGGCAGATCGCCCTCCGTGAGGGTGCACTGATAGGTTATGTACTGGCCCAGATGGGTGGCCTGTGAGCCAGTGGCAAAGGGCGTGATTTGGGGCAAGACTTTTGATGGATAAACAAAAACGAGAAACTTGTACTCAATGAGAACAGGAAACGAACAGAAAAAGCAACCGAAAATAATAATCAATCTACTTTATAGCTGAAAGGAGGAGTTAATGGAGCCGCCCACCATTGACCACCAGCGCCGATGTGTACTCCACCGTGTGGGCCTTGTTCCGGGCCCGGCACGTATAGTTGCCCGCATTGTTGCCATTCACCGAGTCAATGGTCAGGACATTCACCTTCTTGCCAATCTTCGATGTGGTCACGCCATGGTAATCATTGATGGCATAGTCATTGAACAGCCAGGTGATATCCACGGGCAGATCGCCCTTGGAAATGGTGCACTGAACGGTCACCGAGTCGCCGAAATTAGCTGGCTCATCCCCGAACTCAAAGGGACTGATGTGGGGCGGAACTTGAGGGATTAAAGCATCAATTATAGTACGGATAGATGGAAGGTACAACTGGGAGAGGGTTACCAGGGGTTACATTTACCCCTCTACATTTACGAGTATATGAGCCCTGAACTGAAGCCAAGACACAAAAGCTAAAGCGAACATGCATCTTGCGTGTGTGTGTGTGTATAAGTATGTGTAAGGGACAGGGGAGGAATGGGGCCACAACTAATAAAAAAGGCGATAAGTAACACTCGAATGCTATACAAATGTTCAGATTCAGATGCTCTCCGCTATTCACCATTCACTATCAACTGAGCCGTGTAGACGGCCGAGGCCCAGAGATTGCGAGCCTTGCAGGTGTAGTTGCCCACATGCCGGGCATTCACGGCATCGATCATCAGGACACTGAGACGCTTGCCCATCTTGGATGTGGATATGCCCGAGTAGTGGTTAATGGGATACTCGTTGAACAGCCACTCAATGTCGAGCGGCAGATCGCCGGAGCTGACCAAACAGTTGACCGAAACCGAGTCCTCGAAATTGGCAGCCACCTCGCCAAAGTCAAAGTGCGCTATCTTGGGGGCAACTTGAAACAGAGCGGAAGGAGGGTTTGGGGGCCACAATTAGCTGGGATATGCTCAAAACTAAAAACTGTACACAAAAAAACTGAAAAATGTATACACATATGTTACAGGGGGGAGGGCACATCGGAATATGTAGTACCATTCACTATGAGTTCAGTTGTATAATTCACAGCCGCTGCATGATTCTTCGCCCTGCAGCTGTACTTGCCGGCGTGACGGGCCTGGACACTGTCTATGCTCAGCATGCTGTTCCGCTTGCCGCCCTTGACCACATTGATGCCCGAGTAGGAGCTAATCCCGTACTCATTGAAGAACCACTCAATATCGATGGGCAGATCCCCGCTGGAGATGAGACAAGTGACCGAAACAGAATCCTCGACATTTGTGGGTTCCTCACCAAAGGTGAACGGTGTGATTTTCGGAGGAACTTTGGAGTGAAGGGAATTTCAAATCAAGAATACAAATGATAACCAAACATCTTAAGCCTATGGAAGGTTCTTTGATCATTAAAAAAAAGGCCATGGAATACCATTAACAATTAATTCAGTTGTATAATTCACAGCCGCCGCGTGATTCTTGGCCCTGCAGCTGTACATCCCCGCGTGGCGGGCCTGGACACTGTCTATATTGAGCATACTGTTCCGCTTGCCGCCCTTGACCACGGAAATGCCGGAGTAGGAGCTGATGCCGTAGTCATTGAACAGCCACTCGATGTCGATGGGTAGATCCCCATTGGAGATGAGGCACATGACCGAAACCGAGTCCTCGACATTAGCCGGAACATCGCCAAAGTCAAAGGGCGTAATTTTTGGAGGAACTTAAGAGGGTAATCTGGGTTAGGATTAAATTACTCAACTCAACTTGTTGTGCCACGAAATCATAATTCAAATTAGTGTTTAAATATTCTATGACTATCTGTTAACCATTGACGATCAGGGCAGCGGAGTATTCACTGCTGGCCGCCTTGTTCTTGGCCTTGCAGCTGTAGTTGCCCGCATGGCCCGCGTGCACGGAGTCGATGGTCAGGACACTGGTCCTCTTGCCACCGCGTAAGACCGCAATGCCGGAGGCGTAGTTAATCGACTGCCCGTTGAACAGCCATTCGATGTCGATGGGCAGATCCCCGGAAGATACAAGACAGCTGACGGAAACAGAATCCTCAAAGTTTGCAGGGGATTCACCAAAGTCGAATGGCGCCAGCTTGGGTGGGGCTGGAGGTGCGTACAGATGTGGTGCGCGGGGGGAGGTGGTGAGTGTTATCAGAGGAAAGGAAAAACAGAAACATAAACTACGAGTACTCTACTCTATTTAAAGCTAATAGGCCAACCAATCCATGTACCATTCACAATAAATTCAGTTGTAAAGTTCACGGCCGCCGCGTGATTCTTCGCCCGACAGCTGTACTTGCCCGCGTGACGGGCCTGGACACTGTCTATGGTCAACATACTCGTCCGCTTGCCGCCCCTATAGACGGTCATGCCGGAGAAGGAACTGATGCCAAAATCATTGAACAGCCACTCAATATCGATGGGTAAATCTCCGCTAGAGATGAGACAGGTGACCGAAACAGAGTCCTCCACGTTGGTGGGTTCCTCACCGAAAGTAAAGGGTGTGATCTTTGGAGGGACTTTGAAGGATGGAAATTTAATTTAAACAAGTAATAAAACTCATAAAAAAAACGCTTAAAAATAGGACAAATGTTCACTTTGGTTTGCAAATACCATTAACAATTAATTCAGTTGTATAATTGACGGCAGCGGCATGATTTTTGGCCCGACAACTGTACTTTCCCGCGTGACGGGCTTGGATGTTATCTACACCAAGAACGCTGCTGCGTTTTCCGCCCTTCACTACGGTTATGCCGGAGTAGGAACTGATGCCAAAATCATTGAACATCCACTCAATATCAATGGGTAAATCTCCGCTGGAGATGAGACAGGTGACCGAAACAGAATCCTCGACATTTGTGGGTTCCTCACCAAAGGTGAAGGGTGTGATCTTTGGAGGGACTTTAAATGAAGGAGAAGGAGAAATATAAATCAAAGAGTACCAAAAGGAAACTAAACACGTCTTAAGCCTATGATGAGTCTTCAACCTTAAACAGAAATACCATTAACAATTAATTCCGTTGTATAATTGACAGCAGCCGCGTGATTCTTGGCCCTGCAGCTGTACATCCCCGCGTGACGAGCCTGGACACTGTCTATGCTCAGCACACTGTTGCGCTTGCCCCCCTTCACAACGGAAATGCCCGAGTAGGAGCTGATGCCGTAGTCATTGAACAGCCACTCGATGTCGATGGGCAGGTCACCGGTGGAAATGAGGCAAGTCACTGAAACGGAATCCTCCACATTGGCTGGCTCTTCGCCAAAGCTGAAGGATGTGATTTTGGGTGGAGCTTGGGGCACAAGGATGGATAAATGATAGTCAATAAACAAAAGACAGCATACCAAAACAAACAGAGAGAGATAGAGAAAGAGAGAGAGATGTGTGTGTGTGTGTGTATAACCGTTGACAGTGAGGGCAGCGGAGTATTCACTGCTGGCCGCCTTGTTCCTGGCCTTGCAGCTGTAGTTGCCCGCATGGCCCGCGTGCACGGAGTCTATGGTGAGGAGACTGGTCCTCTTGCCCCCGCGCAGGACTGCAATGCCGGTGGAGAAGTTAATGGGCTCTCCACCCAGCAGCCACTCGATGTCGATGGGCAGGTCGCCCGAGGTAACCAAACAGTTGACCGAGACAGAGTCCTCGAAGTTGGACGGGGCCTGGCCAAAATCGAAGGGCGCTATTTTGGGCGGGGCTGTGTGGGATGTAATACGGGATGCAAATCATAACGAAAGAAATAGCACTCTTAATAATACGTAAAACGTATATCCGATCCCCCTCCTCCCCACCAAGTACCGTTGACCACCAACTCTGCTGTGTACTCCGCAGAGCCGGCATCGTTGCGTGCCGTGCAGGTGTAGCTGCCAGCATGTCCGCCATGCACCGAGTCGATGGTGAGGAGGCTCGCCTTCTTGCCGCCCTTCACAATGGACACACCGGTGAACGCACTCACGTGGGCGCCGTTGAACAGCCAAGTAATATCCATGGGCAGATCCCCCAGGTAGATGAGGCAGTTCACCGAGACAGACTCCTCAAAGTTGACGGCATGATCCCCAAAGTCAAAGGGGGCTATCTTGGGTGGAACTTGGGCGGGAAAACAGAACGCGTGGGGGGGCAGGGAAAACTCAATAAATATCGAAAATAAAATAATTCTCATTCCATTCTGCATGCTACAAAGGATTAGGTATGCCACGCGTAGTATGTTGTACCATTCACCACCAGCTGAGCGGTGTAGTTAGCCGAGGTGGCCCGATTGACGGCCACACAGGTGTAGTTGCCCGCGTGCTGATCGCGCACAAAGTCAATGGAGAGGGCGCTGATCTTCTTGCCCAGCTTCACCATCGACACGTCGTAGACATTCTTGCTGATCTCGCGTCCGTTGAAGTACCAGGCAAAGCTCACCGGAAAGTCACCCGAGGTGACCAGACACTGAACGCTGGCCGATTCCCCAAAGTTCGAGGGTTCATCCCCGAAATCGAATGGTGCAATTTTGGGTGCCACTTGGGGGGAGGATAGGGCAAGAGGGTGAACGTAAAAAGAAAAAATCAAAAATGAAATTAAATTCTACATACGAGTATATTTTTTTGCATATTAACCATTAACTTTCAGCTCGGCCGTGTGGTTGGCACGACCGGCTCGATTCTCGGCAATGCAGGAATAGTTTCCAGCATGCTTGGCCGACACCGCCTCGATGGTCAGCTCGTTGATGCGCTTGCCACGTTTTGTGGTTAGGATTTCGAGATAATCCTCAAAGGGCTGACCGTTGAGGGTCCAGGTAATGTTCACCGGCAGATCACCGCCCGAAATAGTGCACTGCACATTCACGAACTCCCCATAGCTCATGGACTCATCACTGAAGGAGAAGGGACTAATCTTGGGAAGGACTGGGTTGGACAGGATATTTTAAATCAGAATAAATGAAAATAAATCATAGCTTGTACGAACTAATCTTAGATCTAGTCTGGTCTGTCTATGTCTCTACGGGCTAACCATTCACAATCAGTCGCGCCGAATGGGCGGTGAGACCCGCCTTGTTCTTGGCATGACACGAATAGAAGCCAGCATGATGCCCCGCCACCGACTCAATGGACAGAACATTGATCCGCTTGCCGATTCGCGAGAACGATATATCGTGGTAGCTATCGATGGTGGCATTGTTCAGCAGCCAGGTGACATTGATGGGCAGATCACCGCCCAAAATGGTGCACTGCACGGAAGCGGGTTCGCCGTAGTTGAGTGGCTCCTCGCCAAAGTCGAAGGGCGCTATCTTGGGGGCAACTTTAATGAGGGGGAATAAGCAACAGGTGTGTATGAGTACGGTCCAGTTAGATAGATGAGTTAGGCAAAGATATACATAGTATCATATGGATTAGTAGCAACGCATACTCGTACTTTCTATTCAGGGTTAGCTCTCATTCCAGCGCGCGCCCGCAACCAATAACCCTTAGAGCTAGTCCTAGATACCGGATATTTAAGTACCATTCACTGTGAGATCAACGCCGTAGGAGGTGGTGCCAGCCGCATTGCTGGCGAGGCAGGTGTACCTGCCGGTGTGTGCCGGACTGGCGCTGGATATCGAGAGCATGCTCGTCTTGCTGCTGATGCGATTGGTGCGCATCTGCGGCTGCAGCTGGTCGTATCCGGTGTCGCTGGGGCTACGCTCGAAGCTCCAGCTCACCTTGATGGGGCGATCGCCCTTCTGGATTTGGCAGAACAAATCGATGGAGTCGCCCGTGTTGATAACATCCTCAAAGGCAAACGGCACAATTTGGGGCAGAACTGAGGGTAGAGTGTGTTGGGGTTGGGGTTGGGGTTTGGTTTCAACATAGCAAAATTAACGTAAGATACACATAAGCATACACATATTTTGGGGATAATCAAACCATTCACTAGCAGCTCGGTGGAGTAGCTGACATGGCCCGCACTGTTGCTGGCCACACAGCTGTAGTTGCCCGAATTTCCCGCCTTAACAGACTCCACTGTCAGCATGCTGATGCGCTCCCCGATCTTGCTGGCCAACACACCCATATGCGAGAAGAGGGGCAGACCGTTGTGGGTCCAGCGTATCTTCAGCGGCAGATCACCCTTGGCCACATGGCAGGTCAACTGAACGCTGTCGCCCTCATTGGCCTCGGCATCAAAGCTAAACGGATGGATGCTGGGCAGGACTGTGATGGCAGGACGGGAAAAGGGACACAGATACAGGTACAGAAATAAAAAACAAAACAAAAGAGATCTACTGAAACCTTAGCACTAATTTAGATATAATGGAGAAAGTCACCGTTGACTTTCAGCTCTGCACTGTAGCTGCTCTCGCCGGCCTGATTGCGGGCCAGGCACGTGTACAGCCCCCGATGCTCGGCCGCTATATAGTCGATATTCAGGGTACTCGATTTGCTGGACATGCGACCAATCACCACATCCATGTCGCCGCTGTTGAGCGTGTGATTGTTCAGCACCCACGTTATATTGATGGGCAGATCGCCCTTGATCACCGTGCACTGTATGCCCATAGTCTCGCCAGAGTTGGATGCCTCGTCGCCAAAGTCAAAGGGTCTGATTTGTGGGGGCACTTTGAACGCAAGTAGGGAAATGGGAACGGGAAAACGTAACATAATAAGATACAAAAAGACACAAAATACAAAAAGTGTTTGCTTATCCATTAACCATTGACCACCAGTTCTGCAGTCTGTTCGGCAGTGCCTGCCGGATTTGTGGCAATGCACTTGAACAAACCACGATGATTGCCACTGATGGAGTCGATGCTTAGGGAACTCAATTTGGGTGACATTTTAATGATGCGTATGCCCACAATCTCATTGGTGATCGGCTGTCCGTTCAGCGTCCAGTGCAGCTGTAGCGGTGTGTCGCCCTTGAAGACCATACATTGTACGGCCGTGCTGTCGCCGTAGTTGGAGGGTTCGTCCCCAAACACAAAGGGCATAACTTGGGGGGGCACTAAACACACACAGCAGAAGGAGATCACACAAAGACTCATTCCAATTATTTAGGTACAGGCTAGGTCTCAGGTTCTAAAGCTCACTTAGTCAGGCTCTAAGCCTCACTTAGACAGGTTCTAGGCCTCACTTAGTTAGGTTCCAAACCTCTGTTGGTGCTTAGTCAGGCTATAAACCTCATTTAATGCTAGTTTTTAGTTCAGCTGACTTTAAACCACATTTAACATCTAAAATGTATTTAATCATTTCAATCTCCAGAAACTCTATACACCCATTTAAGAGGATAGTACTTGCAGATCAGCTTAAGTGCTCAGTGCTCCAACGCTAAACAACAACAACAGCAACACAACAGAACAAGAACAAACAGATCGAGTGAGAGCTCTACTTGGTGTTATCTGTTTAAACTTTAAAGCGTGCTCTTAAACTGTATCGAAAGGTGTGTGGGGGACAAACCATTCACTTGTAATTCAGCCACATATTCACTCGTTCCCGCCTCATTCGTGGCTGTGCACTTGTAGACGCCGCGATGGAAGGCACTCAGCGAATCAATATTCAGCAGACTTGTGCGCTTGTTCAGCCGCAGTTGGGTGAAACCATTCTCGCCATTCACAATCGGAGCCGAGTTAAGGGACCAACGGATCTCGAGCGGCAGATCGCCCTTGGGCACCACACAATTGGCGCTGGCAATGTCCCCAACATCGGCGGCGGCCTCGCCGAAACTAAAGGGCAGCACCTGAGGCGGCACTTGAAGGAGCGACGGGTTGGGGAAGGATTAAAATACATATACAAAAACCAGGCCAAATAAAGGATTAACTATGCAGCAAAGATGTAAGTAATGACCGTTGACATGTAATTCGGCGCTGTATTCAGCTAGGCCCGCCTTGTTGCTGGCAATGCACTTGTACAGGCCGCGATGCCGGGCCTCCAGTGCATCGATGCTCAGGGAGCTGGTGCGCGGATTCAGACGCGACAGGGAGAAACCATGCTCCCCCGTTATAATGGGCGCCGCATTGAGCGTCCAGCGTATCTCCATGGGCAGATCACCCTTGGGGACCATGCAAAAGCCGCCAGCCATTTCTCCAGTATTGGCCGGCTCCACCCCAAAGTCGAAGGGTTGGATTTGTGGGGCAACTTAAAGAGGGGAAAAAATGAAAGCTAAAAGCAACTCAAAGTAAGCAAAAAAGACTACAGAAGTAGAGTACATAGAGATGACGGGGGGGATCGGGAAACAAGACAAACCGTTCACATCTAGAGTGGACACATGCTCGGCATAGCCCGCCGAATTGTTGGCAATGCACTTGTAGCTGCCCCGATGGGCGGCCTCGAGCGAGTCCACATTCAGGGAGCTCGTCCGCTTGTTCAGCCGCACAATGGGTGAAGCCAAGCTCGCCGTTGACTATCAAGGCGGAGTTCAGCGTCCAATAGATGTCCAGCGGCAGATCGCCTTTGGGCACCACACAGTTCACGCTGGCGACCTCTCCGCGGTTCAGTGGTTCGTCGCCAAAGGAGAAAGGACTGATCTGTGGTGCAACTGCGATGGGGGAAAACCTCTTCAGCAAAAACCACACACAATTTTCAAAGCTCGAGAACGCCCAATAAACCAAGTTCGTGTTAGTGGGAAAAGGCAGTAGCAAGCAACTTCTACAGATAGAACCCTAGATGGGGGAGTTTCACCAACCATTTACTTGCAGTTCGGCGGCAAAGATCGCACGCCCGGCCATGTTCTCGGCCACACAGCTGTAGGAGCCACGATGCCTGGCCTCCAGGGCATCCACACCCAGATAACTGGTGCGACTGTTCAGCTGCATCACTGTGAAACCATTCTTGTCGCTCTCCAGGCGCTCCCCATTCAGGGTCCAGTGGATTTGCAAGGGCAAATCCCCCTTGAGGACCACACAATTGATGCCCAGGACATCGCCCATGTTGAAGATCTCGCTGCCAAAGCTAAAGGGTAGCACATGGGGCGGCACTACACGGATTTGGTGGGGTTTGAAAAATAATCAAATAAATAATAAATAAATAATAATAAAATAAAGCTAGAGGTTCGTTGGCTAGAGGATGGCCCTGCTCCATATACCATTCACTTTAAGCTCCGATGTGGTATAGCTAGAGCCCGCCAGATTCTCGGCGATGCACTTGAACAGCCCACGATGGAACTGCTCGACGGCGGCTATGTTGAGGACGCTCGTCTTGGGCGACAGTTTCAGTATGGTGATGCCCTCCTCGCCGTTGATGATGGGACGCGAGTTGAGCGTCCACTTGATGGTGATGGGCACATCGCCCTTCTGCACCATGCACTGGACACCGGCATTCTCGCCCGTGTTGACGGGATCATCGCCAAACGAAAAGGGTGCGATCGAGGGGGGAACTGCATTGGAGTGGATGGTAGGGATGGAAAACTGAACAGAAATCAACGGAAAAGTGCGGTAATCTTCAAGGGAATCAATCGATTAACCTTTGACTGCCAGCATGGAGGATTGGCGTGTCTCCCCCGCATTATTGGTGGCCACACAGGAGTAGTTCCCCGCGTGGCGCGCCCTCACAGACTCGATGCTCAGCACGCTGATGCGTTGACTATTTCTGGTGACGATCAGACCATCGTTGGTGTAGACGCGACCGCCGTTCTTCGTCCAGGCAATATCGAGTGGCAGATCGCCCCGGTTGACCGTGCAATAGGCGGAGACCATGTCCAGTTCGTTGATGATGTCCTCGCCAAAGTCAAAGGGCATGATCTGGGGCAGGACTGGGATGGCAGGGATGGCAGGTGGGCAAAAGAATTCAAAACAAAACTTAAGCGAAGGACTAAACGTAGTGGCAGAGGGATTAACCATTGACCGCCAGCAGGGCGGATTGGGTAATGGCACCCGCATGATTGGTGGCCACACAGGAGTAGTTCCCCGCATGCCGCGCGCGCACGGACTCGACGCTCAGGACACTCAGGCGCTGGCTATTGCGTGTCACAATCAGACCATCGTTGGTGTAGACGCGTCCGCCGTTCTTCGTCCAGTAAATGTCCACGGGCAGATCGCCCTTGTTGACCGTACAGGAGGCGGAGACCATGTCCAGCTCGTTGATGCTGTCCTCGCCAAAGTCAAAGGGCACAATCTGGGGCAGCACTGGTGCGGGATGGCGGTGGAAGGGAGTGACAAAAAAAATAAAACCAAAGCTAAAGCAAAAGAAAAGGCAACTCTCTAAGCAGAGATTGAGAGGATCTTAACCGTTGACAGCCAGGATGGCCCAGTGCCGGGTATCTCCCGCATTATTTGTGGCCACGCAGGAGTAGTTGCCCGCATGCCGCGCGCGCACCGACTCAATGCTGAGGACACTCATGCGCGTGCTGGTTTTGGTCACCACAATGCCATCGTTGGTGTAGACGCGACCGCCGTTCTTCGTCCAGGCCACATCGATGGGCAGATCGCCCTTGTTCACCGTGCAGGAGGCGGATACCATGTCCAGCTCGTTGACACTCTCCTCGCCAAAGTCAAAGGGCACAATCTGGGGCAGCACTTTGGATAGATCGGATGCAGGTGGTGGATCGGAGGCAGGTGGTGGTGGATCGGGTTACAAAACGGCAACACAACACAAAAACTATCAATCAAACTACGAATGAATCGACTCTAGAGTGGGGCGGAGGGAGGACTCTATCATCACCGTTGACACGCAGCTCTGCCGTGTGGTAAATAACCCCTGCCGCATTCCTCGCCACGCAGGTGTAATTGGCCCGATGTCGGGCGTGCACCGACTCAATGCTGAGCATGCTGATCCGCTGCGTGGTCTTCGTTATCAGGATGCCATCGTTGGACATGAGCCGACCCACACCAGTCGTCGGATCCGGTGCCGTTGTCCAGTGCAGCTCTAGGGGTGTGTCCCCCTTGTTCACCGTACAGGTGGCCGAGACCATGTCGTTCATGTTGATGGCCTCCTCCCCGAAATCAAAGGGCACAATCTGCGGTGGGACTAAGTGGAGTGCCCAGTGTGGATATTCGTGAGTGGAACGAACAAGCGACCAACGTTGTTGATATGATTATGATGCCTGGAAAACCTAACCCGCCCATGGACTGTGACTGCGCCCAGAGAGCTTCTGGGCTGCAAAATGAAAGGCTCGACTTACCCATGACTTGCACCTCCAGGGAGCCGCGTGCCGAGTAGCCCTCCTGATTCTTGGCCACACACGTGTAGGTAGCCTGGTCCGAATTGCGTTCCACATTCTCAATGATCAGCGTGCCATTGGGGAAGACCTTTTGCTTGCGGTTGATGGGCAGGGCGCGGTTATCTGGAATGAATGAATCGAGTATTGAGTGGAGCTCGTAGAGAGAATCATCGTCTACTTACCACGCTCCCAGACAATCGAATCGATGGGGTAGCCAGCAACGGGACAGGTGACAATCAGCGTCTCGCCTGCGACAATTGCTTTCTTCTCCATTTGGCGGATGTAAGGCAGACCGTAGACATTCAGCTTGGCCGAGTGCTCGGCCTCGCCCACCTTGCTCTTGGCAATGCACTTGTAGAGCCCCCCGTCGTTGGCATGCACCGATGTGATGTTCAGATAGGAGACAACATCACCCGTTCACGGTCACATACTGTCCAACCTGGTAGCGGTCGTTATTCGCGATCTTCTTGCCATCCAGCTCCCAGGAGATTTCGGGCGTCGGATTGCCGCCGGCCACACACTTGAGGAACACACTGGGTCCCGGTTCCATGGTCTCTTCCTGGAATGCCTGCCGGATGACGGGCGGATCGAAGCGTCCTCCCAGCTTCAGCTCGGCACTGGCTTCGGCTGACTCCTGATCGTTGCGCACAAAACACTGGTACATGCCCTTGTCCTCCTTCTTGACCGACTCGATGCGCAGCACCGGCTCGCTGTGTCCCATGGCCTTGCCATCCTTCATCCAGCTGACGGTCTTGATCGGATTGCCCGTGTACTGGCAGGTGAACACCGCCGGTCTGCCAAAGTCCACGGTCTGTGTAGGTGGATCGATCTTCGCCGAGAGGGGGGCCGTGACAGTGAGAACAGTCTCAACGCTTTCGCCACCCACCGAGTTGTTGACGACGCACAGATATTTGCCCGAATCCTCGACGACGGCATCCTTGATGATGAGTGTGCCCGAGACCTGCTTCACGCGATCATTCAGCACCACAGCCTGTTTGCGGGTGGTGCCCTCGATGAATTTGTACCATCTGGAACGAGAGACAACTGCGTTAGTCGAGTGGTTCCATGGGTCACGTTGGGGATGACAGTGGGGGGCACAGAGTGAGAAAGTCTAGAAAGTCTTCCTGAGATCCTTGAGCTACTTACGTGTCTCCGGCATGGCACTGGACTTTACTTACCTTAGACTTTCTTTTTCATGGCATTTACCTTACTCATTCTGTGCACCACTGTTTGCGCGGGGGGACAGAACCTAACCAGAGACTAACAGACAGAAGGGCAGAAGGGAGGCAAACTACCTATAGACTGGCACTGGATAGCCCTGTCCAGGACAATGTCCCACAAAGGTCTCGCCCAATGGCAACTCATTGATTTCAATGCTCTTGACGGCTATGCGTGGCTTCACATGGCCAATGGGTTCTGAAAAGTGGAATGGATCAAGGAATACTGCGAATAGGGCGAAAATCGACCTAGCAACTGCCTGAAGGATGCTTCTATGGGACGGGGGCTAATATGTACCTAAATACGGGCATGGGATAGGCTTGCCCCTGGCACAGAATGGAGAAGCTGTGGCCCAACTTCTGGGTCTGCTCCTGCAGACGATCGCCCGACACCGTGGGAGCTGCACTCCCAATGGGTTCTGCAATGGAACGGGGATCCAATCAGATCTCTTCTCTATTCTGCCTGAATGTTGCTGTCGATGGGTCTGGGTGTGTGTGGAAAATTACCTAAATGATGGCGTGGGAAACGACTGACCCAGGCACAAAATGGCCAAGTCCGTGCGATCTGTTCTGGTCATTTCCTGAAGCCGCCCACCGGATATCTTGGGCGCCACACTGCCCACGGGCTCTGCAAAGTTTTTACTACTCATTCGCTCATTCCCTAAAAGGCAAAAGGGGGTGGTGGAAAACTGCCTGATTGTTGTCGGGGACTAACCTGATGATGGGCACGGGATAGGCCTGCGCCTGGCAGAGCAGGGCAAAGCTAGTGGAGATGTCTTTGACAAACGTGAAGCTCTTGGACTCGCCCGAGAATGTGGGAGCCTTGGCGCCTACGGGCTCTACAAAAAGAACAATAATCGAAGGTTCATATGTGGGGGAGGGTGAGGCTAATTCCTTATGCTATGTTAGGGCTACCTTATCAGGGGCACCGGATAGGCCTGGGCCTGGCAAAGCAATGCGAAACTCTGGCCAAAATATCGCACGAATGTGTAGCTCTTCATGTCGTTGGCAAAGGTCGGACCTTTGGCACTGACGGGCTCTAAAATAAAACAAAAGGAGACGGTGGCTCTACCTTATCAGGGGCACTGGATAGGCCTGTGCCTGGCACAGCAGCACAATATCACTCGTACTGGAGCCGAGTAGACTGGATATTTTCGAGACACTGGCAAATGTGGGTGCCTTTGGCCCCAACGGGTTCTGCAAATCAAAGAATACATTTAAGGGGCTTGGGGTCTTCTACAAAACTGCCTGAAGAAGGGTTTAGGAACTGGACAAAAGTCTACCTCATGAGTGGCACGGGATAGGCCTGAGCCTGGCACAGCAAAGCAAAACTCTGACCCACGGAACGGGTGTACGAGAATACATTAGAGTCAGTGGAAAACGTGGGAGCTCTAGCCCCAATGGGCTCTGCAAAACAACAATTAAAAAATGAAATACACAAATATACCAAGAAAAAACTGCCTGAAGAGTATATGATGGAATATTAAAGCTAACCTCATGAGAGGCACTGGATAGGCCTGCGCCTGGCACAGCAAAGCAAAACTCTGGCCCACAGCTCGGGCATAGGAGAAGGAATTGTAGTCGGAGGAGAATGTGGGAGCTCTAGCGCCAATGGGCTCTGCAAAGGTAATCGAATAAAGATGATACTGCCGCCTGAAACTTGCCTAATGATGGGCACGGGATAGGCTTGGGCCTGGCATAGCAGGGCAAAGCTGGCATTGACCGAACGCTCAAAGATGCTGCCCTTGGAGTCGCTCGAAAAGGTCGGAGCTTTGGCACCAACAGGCTCTAAAATAAATACGTTTTACGATTAAGGTGCTAGATGCTAAAATATAGAACTATTTAATTTGTTATTCCCTATGCAGAAACAGAACCAGTTGAGCAGCGTTGCACCCTTCATTCGATGGGGGGGATTTGTTTACCTAAAAATGGGTACTGGATAGGACTGGGCCTGGCAGGTGAGGGCTAGGGCACTATTCTGGGGCGTCTGGATGGTAAACGTTGAGGCCACACTGGGAAAACTTGGAGCCTTGAAGCCCACGGGATCTTGAAAGAAACATTTATGTTAGGGCTTTGGCCTTAGAATGTCTCCTTACTGAAAACTGACTGAATGTTTTGGGTCAGGGTATGAATTCTAGCGCAGATTTACCTAAAAAAGGGTACGGGAAAGCCTTGCGCCTGACAGAGCATCGCAATGGTGGAGGCTAAGGGAATACTCTGCTGAAATCCCAGCACACCTGTGGCCACAGAAGGTGCCTTGGAACCAATGGGTTCTTGAAAGAAACGTTTTCATTATATTTCAGTCTTGGAGGTTAGCATAATGAAAACTGACTGAATGTTGAGGCAAGTATTAGCTGAGATTAGCTGAGATTTACCTAAAGAAGGGCACTGGAAACCCTTGCGCCTGACATAGCATGGAAAAAGTGGAGGCCAAAGGAATACTCTGCTGGAAGACCATCACTCCAGTGGCCACAGAAGGTGCCTTGGAGCCGATGGGTTCTGGGAATATGGTAGAATATTAAAAGATTGGAAGATAACTGGAATAAAATCTGCGGAAAACTGCACTGAATGGGGATGTTGTGGAGTGGGAATCTCACCTAATGATGGGCACGGGAAAGGCCTGTGCCTGGCAGAGTAAAGCAAAGTCCGAAGCCTTTAGCTTTTCCACCTCAATGAGCTTGTATTCGAGGGAGAATGTGGGTGCCTTGGCGCCCACGGGCTCTGTAAATATATAGCATGGATAATGCAATATAATGCATTAGAAATCCACTGAGAGAACTGCCTGAATGGCCTGAATGGGATTCTTTAATTAGCTCCTCACAGACATTGGACGTGACTTTGAGTCGTCAGCCCTGACCCTGGACAACCCACCTAAAGATGTCACGAAACTTTTCACAGCCCAAGCCAAAAGAAAGAAGCGAAAGTAGATGGAAAGTAAATGCATATTTTATAAAGGTCATTGCTGGCGGCAAGGGGCATGCGCAGAATCTGAAGCACAGCTGCGAGGTGCAACAAGTGGAGCACCCTTTAGGGGGGGTTCAGAGGTGAGTGGAATGACCTTTAGAGAGTGGGCACAAAGCCCGTCATCTGTTGACCCAAAAACGTGCGTTCATTCATAAACCATTGTGCGAGGGAGATGGATGCCATCCACACGCACACACACACAAACATGCGCATGGCGGGGTAATTGTTTGGGAAATTTCATGTGGATCGCAAGCATGCGCAGTTACAGAAAGAGCGCGCGAGAGCGCAACGCAAAGCAAAGAGAGTGAGAGAGGATTTTACTTGTGGAACCAGCTGATGGTTTTGTTTACAAAATAAAACGGTAGAAAGGGAAAGAGCGAGCTTCTCACTGGTTGGTTGGGTGTGAGGGAGGGAGAACATTCTACATTCTCTTCTCTCCACTCCACTCTGTGTTTATGGTTTGTTTACATAGCTTACTTTTATGCGTGCGTCTGTGTGGGTGTGCAGGGCATATTGAATAGGCGGGCAAGTAAGTCCGGCGACAATTACAAACAGAACAGAACAGCCGCCACACCTACAATTGAATATACCTTGTGTGTGTGGGTGTTTTTGTTTGTTTCACTTTTGCGCGCTCGCATTTTTATGAATGAACACGAAACACTCTGAACCTCCCACACTGTCTCTGTCTGGGGTTAAAGTTCACACATTCTCATGTATAATAAAAGTCACGTTTCTAGGGGGGTGGTGCCTGGGTGCCTAACCTGCTTATGGGCACCGGATATGCCTGGGCGGGACATAGCAAAACAATATCTCGGCCGCAATGTCGCTCGATGCCCGACCATTTGGTGTCCACCGATAGAGTGGGACCCTTCGCCGAAATGGGTTCTAGGGGAGAGACGAAGGTAAGACTACATATAGAAGGACTATAACTATCCTGGAGAGGCTGTCTGAATGCTGGGGGGGACTTGGTCACTCGATTCCTAACCTGAAAGCGGGCACTGGATATGCCTGAGCGGGGCAGAAGAGGGCCAGATTGGTGGCCAGCATTCGCTCGATCCACGACCGCTTGATGTCATTCGACAGCAGAGTGGGAGCCTTGCCCCCAACGGGATCTACAATGGGAATAGAGAAACATCTAAGTGATACCCACCCACTGCCAGAATGTTGGCTTTCGGCCTTACCGAAAACTGGGTGCCGGATATCCCTGGGCAGGGCACAGCAACGATATTGACTGGCCCTGGCGCAGCTCGAGAGGTTTCTGAACCAGAGCTGGGGTTCGCGGTGCACTGCTCGAAATGGGTTCTATGAAATGTAGAGAGTTGGGAACCAAAAACGGGTTTAAATAAAACTTATATCCCCAGCCTGATGTTGGTCTAGGGATGGAATCTTAACCCACCTAAAGCTAGGCGCGGGATAACCCTGAGCCGGGCAGAGAATGGCAGTGGGGTAGCTCGACTCCACCACATTCGGTTTGTAGGTCAGGGCGTTTATCTTGGGCGGACTGCTGCTAATGGGCTCTGGAAAAGGCGGAAAAACTTCTAAGATGCCAAAACCTAAACTAAATCTCAACTGCCCGAATGTTATACCTGAAACTGGGTGCCGGATAGCCCTGAGCGGGACACAAGATCGAGAGACTGGTGTGGCCAGGCACGACCAGAGGACGTGACTGCAGCGGCGGCACTTTGGGAGCCGTGCTCGAGACGGGCTCTGAAAAGGTATTAATTCTCTTAAAATTAACTCTAATCTCTGGACCTGAATCTCTGTACTGCCTGAACGTAGTTTACCTAAAAAACGGCACTGGATAGCCCTGGGCAGGACACAGCACAGCCATCGTGGAGGATCTGGCATAGCTTTTCATATCGAATTTTGCCAGAGAAACAACCTTGGGCACTGTACTGCTAATGGGTTCTATTTGGGAAAAAGACAACAACCAGATTTAGAGGGATAAGTGGAAGGTTGAAACCTGCCTGAATGCTGGCACTGGATAACCCTGAGCCGGGCACATTATGGCTACAATGCCCTCAATACGAACATATTCGATATTCGTTTTCTGTATCAACGCCACACGGGGAGCAGCTCCACTAATGGGCTCTGGAAAAACAATTGATCAAGTGAGTAAACCCACTAGAGAGAAGGAGAGAACTGCCTGAATGTCTGGGGAGAAAGAATCACCTGAAATATGGCACCGGATAGGCCTGGGCGGGACAGAGTAAGGTAATGCTGCCCGTCAGAGGGAATATCCACGTTCCTCGTCTTGTCACCAGAGGTGAGGCGGGGGCCCACACTGCCCACGGGCTCTACAAAGTGGTTAAGGGGTAAAGGCTTAAGGGGTGCGCTCTAAAAGAGAATTGAAAACTGCCCAAAGTGTGAAATTACCTAAAGAACGGCACTGGATACGCCTGACCCGGACAGAAGAGCGTGAAAGTGTCAGCCAGTTGTGCTTCGGCATTCTTCAAACGATTCTCAACACTGATTTTGGGCGCCACACTGCCCACGGGCTCTAAATGTACAAAAGATAATGGAGCGCCCTTTAAATGTATTTCGATTGCCAGTAGAAAAAGGCCTGAATGCGTGGGCTTTTACCTAAAAAACGGCACCGGATACGCCTGAGCTGGACAAAATAGCGTGAAAGTGTCATTCGACTGCGCCCCCGCATCCTTGAGGCGTTCACCAACACTGATTTTGGGTCCTACACTGCCCACGGGTTCTGGAATGAATAAAACGGAGGGCCACCTGTATTTTTACCTGAATGCTGGCACCGGATACGATTGGGCTGGACAAAAGATGCTCAGATCCCCATGCAGAAGCACCTCCGCATCCTTGCGACGTTCCCCCACACTAATCTTTGGCGGCACACTGCCCACGGGCTCTACAACAAAAACAACATTTCGAACGAGTTGCTTGAAAACTGCCAAAGTTGGTCGAGAACAATGGAAACTGCTGCCCATCTGCCCACAAGCCTTCTTCTTCCACTCAACTAACTTTTCCGAGCGGGGGCTGGGGTTATTTGAATGGGTTAAATCGGGCGACAGCTCTGAGCCGATGGCTAATTGAAGTTTAGGAAGCCAATGAGGCCTGCGGAGGGGGCTCTAAAGCTCTTAATTGGAAAACTTTGGACAAGCCTGCAACTGCCCCTCACCTGTAGAAGGGCACGGGGTAGGCCTGGGCAGGACAGAAGATGGCTATTGGCCGTGAGAGCCTGATGCTGTCGTGACTAAAACCATCCTTCTTATTGACACGCGGCGCCACACTGCCCACAGGCTCTGCAAAGATTCGAGAGTTCGGAAATCAGCCCAGACGGCGGGGGAAAAGACAGCAACTGAGACACACAGAAGGACTTGGGATTGGGTAGCTCGACAATAACGCACCTATAGAAGGGCACGGGAAATGACTGGGCCGGACAACGGAGTGCCACAATCCCATGGACAGCAATGCGATCGTGACTGAACTCGTCGTTCTTATTGACCTTGGGAGCCACACTGCCGACGGGCTCTGCAAAGAGAATGGCACTGGTACTACTACTGAACAAAGCCTCTGGATGTTTGTATGTCTGTGCATGGGAGCCCCTAGAGTACTCGACTTTACCTATAGGCAGGCACTGGATAGGACTGCGCGGGACACTGAATGGCTATGGTCTGGGAGATCTTGATCCGGTCATGATTGAACTCATCCTTGCGATTCACCCTGGGAGCGACACTTCCAATGGGTTCTAGATGGAAATGTTTTACTTGGCTGTTAATCCTGCCTGAACGAGAATTTACCTATAGGCTGGCATGGGGTACGACTGTGCTGGACACAACAGGGCCAACGAACGATTGGAATTGGCCCAAAAAATGCCCACTTTATCTTTGATCTCTACTTTGGGGGCCACACTGCCCACGGGCTCTGCAATAGATAGAGAGATAACATATCTAGGTACGAGTATATCCCTGGGAAATAATTCTGCCTGATCTGGTGGCTGGGTCTCGTGCTCAACAATGGATTTACCTAAACGCTGGCATGGGATAGCTCTGCGCCTTGCAGAACAAATTCAAAGATTGATTCGAGTCTCTGATGGTGAAGTCCATCTTGTCGTGCATGTCCACCATTGGGGCCACAGAGCCAATGGGTTCTGCAAAAGTTTTGTGGATGCAATAGAAGTGGTGGAGGGAATCGAAAACTGTCTGAGAGTGGAAGCTGAGAGCCTACCTATTGGAAGGCACGGGATAAGACTGTGCGGGACAGAGTAGACTCAAGGCCTGGCTTTGGGGCTTGTCCAGCCACGTGATGCGATCCTTGACATCCACCTTGGGGGCCACGCTGCCCACGGGCTCTGTAAAGAATGTTTTCATTCAGAGGAATTCAGAGGGACGGGACTGCGACTACCACTTGAAAACTGCCTGAGAGGTGGGAAGGAACTCTGAGCTTACCGAGCAGCAGGCACTGGGTAGGACTGGGCCGGACAAAGCAGGCTGAGGGAGCTGCCACGTGGCTTATCGACCCACTTGATGCGATCATTTGGATCCACCTTGGGCGCCACACTTCCCACGGGCTCTGCAAAGATTCCAAATGAGTCTCTACTGCTATTTCCTATTCTTTTTGCTAAAGAAATCTGCCAAAATGCTGGGAAGGACACTCACCGAAAGGCAGGGACTGGATAGGACTGAGCGGGACAAACAATGGCCAGACTGTGATCCAGTGCCACGCGGGCATAGTTGATCTCATCTTTGATGTCCACCTTGGGCGCCACACTGCCCACGGGCTCTACAGGAAGGGAGGGTTCTGTGTTTAGCAAGGGACGGAAACCAAAACTAAACCTGAATGTTGGAATTACCTAAACGCAGGCATGGGAAACGATTGAGCAGGACATATGAGTGCCTTGGAGGCACCCAGTCGAGTCCTGGCAAACGTAAACTCGTCGCGGGTATCCACTTTGGGTGCCACAGAGCCCACGGGTTCTGGTTATGAGAATGCAAATGGGAATGGAAATATTAGCAAGGGTCGAATCATAGCTGAATGTTGCTCAAGGGATTCCCGAGTTCGACTCGTTCAACTAACTTAACGATTGGCACAGGATAGGCCTGGCCTGGGCATTGCATGGAGTAATCCTCTGCTGATTTCACCTGCAGCACTTGGAACTTGTCATGCAGACTCGTGATCTTGGGTGGCACAGATCCAATCGGTTCTACGGACAGATAGAGGTCATCTTATGGAAGGTTCTGCCCTAAAAGGGAGGCCTTAAATACTGGAATAGACGCGACACGACACGACACCCACCTAACTATCGGCACGGGATAGGCCTGGCCGGGGCACTGCATGGCAAAGTCGCCTCCCAATTGGACTTGCATTAACTGGAACTTGTCGTTGATGTTATTGATCCTGGGCGGCACGGAGCCAATGGGTTCTGAAAGGGTAAAGGAGAGAAAAGGAGCATTACCTATTGATGGGCACGGGATAGGCCTGGCCAGGGCACTGCATGGCATACACCCTGCCAAGGGGCACCTCCATGGTGCGCACCCGCTCGAGCAGATTCAGTTTCGGTGGCACAGAGGCCACGGGCTCTAAGGATGGTAATCAAAGGATCAAATGCTGAGACATTTAGCGACTCAAAAAGAACTGCCTAAATGCTGGTTGAATGATTGAATGGTTGAGAACCCACCTATAGACGGGTATGGGATACGACTGTGCTGGACATTTGAGGCTCAGACTTTTGCCCACAAAGCCCCGGGCATTGGCCACCTCGTCGTCAATGCTGACTTTGGGCGGAACACTGCCAATGGGCTCTGCAAAGAGAAGCGCACGTGGAGGGTAAGCAAACGACAGAAGGAAAGCTCCAAACAGGGAACTGCCTGAATGGGGGCGGGGGGACTAATTGAATAATCACTTAAATTACAGTGTCTGACAATTGGTGGGAGAACACCCCCAAGTAAATTGGAAAATTGTAAAAGTGGAAGTCGCGCACCTGTGGGCGGGCATCGGATACGACTGGGCCGGGCAGAGCAATGCCAGGCCAACTCCTTCGGCCATTTCGCGTGTCTGCAGCTTGTCCTGAATATTTATTTTCGGCTTAACCGAGCCAACGGGTTCTACAAAAACAAAAAAAAAGGGAAGGAGACGTGGTAAACCCACCTGAAAAAGGGCATGGGATACGACTGTGCCAGGCAGAGCATGGCATAGCCGCTCGACAGCTCCACGTCTATGAACTGATGCTTGTCCTGGGCATTCACCTTGGGCCGGACACTGCCCACGGGCTCTACAATTCAACAAAGAGAGGAATCATGGATCTTACTTGAATACTGGCATGGGGTACGACTGCACGGGGCACTGAATGTTGAAGCTGTTGCCGCTTTGGATCTGCATCATGCGGAAGCGCTCGAGAAAGTTCAGCTTGGGTGCCACACTGCCAACGGGCTCTGCAAAGGGCAGGGGGGAGGTTCGAAATGTTCAAAAGAGTCCTCCCAAAACCAAAAGAAAACTCCCAGCGAATGTTGGGGCTGGGTTTGGGGGATGGGTTTACCTATAGATCGGCTGCGGATAGGCCTGGCCAGGACACAGGAGACTTAGACTAAGCGAACTCCTGACCTTCACATGCTTCAGATCATCGGCATTCGTGATCTTGGGACTGACACTGCCAATGGGTTCTGCAAGAGAGAGGAAGAGGGTGTCCCAGGGTGAGTTCCCTTTGAAAACTGCCTTACCTATAAAAAGGCTTCGGATAGCCCTGTGCCGGGCAGAGTAGACTCGAATCTTGGCTGCTTTTCCCTTTGATATGATTGTAATCTTCGCCTGAACTTATTTTGGGACTGACACTGCCCACGGGCTCTAGAAAAGGGAGAGGGCTTAGCGAAAGGAAAAGGGGGAACACTGCCTGAGTTGGGAATTATGGCATTACCTATAGACTGGCACGGGATAGGCCTGAGCGGGACACATCAGGGTGACACTCGCCGCTTGGGCCACCCTCACCGTACGCGAATCGTCGCCGGAGGTTAACCTGGGACCAACGCTGCCAACGGGTTCTTGAAAAAGGTATTAAGTCAGCAATCTATGAGCTAGGCTAGTGCTGGCTGTGCCCTGCCTGACGTTGGGAGGGGACTGACTTGTAGTATTACCTAAAAAAGGGCACTGGATAGGCCTGTGCCGGGCACATGAGTGTGACGCTGCCCATCATTGGCACACGGAGGAGTGTTATGTGCTCCTGATTCCCATTGCCGCTCAACTGGGGACTGACGCTGCCAACGGGCTCTAAATGTACGAAGATTGGCTGTTAGATGGAGTCCTGGCTGGGGAAAGTGCCACGAATGTTGGGTTTTTGGGTAAATGGAGAGGGGGCTTTACCTAAAGAAGGGCACCGGATAGGCCTGTGCCGGGCACATTAGCGTGGCACTGTTACCCATTGAAACCTTGGGTATCCTTATGGCATCATCGCCAGCTGTCACCTTGGGGCTCACACTGCCAACAGGGCTCTTGATGGAGAAGGGATCGCATGTTGTGTCAGTGAGGAAATCTATCTAGGGACTGCCCGGATGTTGGGTTCGGCGAGGGTTTACCTAAAGAACGGCACTGGATAGGCCTGGGCGGGGCACAGCAGGGTGGCTCCTGCCATTAGATGGACTCGTAGAATGCGCGACTCATCGCCGCTGGTGAGGCGAGGACCCACACTGCCAACGGGCTCTGCGCGGAAGGATTCCGTAAAGGATCGTAAAGGGATTCTGAGGGTTCTCCAAGTGAATGGCACCTTCAGTTGGGATAGGAGGAGGTCTTACCTAAACACTGGCACTGGATAGGACTGGGCTGGACAGAGCATGGTCAGGGCTTGTCCAGCGGCAAACTGAACCACCTTGATGTCATTGCCCGAGAGAAGTCTGGGACCGACGCTGGCAATCGGTTCTTCAACGAAAGAACAAACAATAGGGAACTCTTTAACTGGAAACTGTCCAAAGTTGGGTTCGAATAGGGGGACGGGACGGGATGTGACATTCACCTAAAAAACGGTGCTGGATAGGCCTGGGCGGGACACAGCAGGGTCTGACTGCTGCCAGCATCTCCCGTGAAGCTGCTGCTGGTCAGAGTATTGGGGAATTTGGGCGAAACCCTGCCAACTGGTTCTGTGAATGAATCGAGATCAGAATCATTATCAGAATTAAATATCCAAGAAAATAGATCGATAGTTCGATAAATCGATGGAGCTGCAGCTGAAAGAGTGGCACTTACCTTGGGCGCAGTTTGAATGGAGAATTCGAATTGAAATGTGCCTTTTGGGAAGGACTTTGACTTGGGCTTCGACTGGGATTACAATAGAGCGGACCAACCCTAGCACTACTCAAAGCTGGGCTTTGTTTCAAGCCTCTGATCGCATCGTTGTCGAGTACCCTATCCCAACATTCAGGCAGTTTTCAATTTGGACTTAGGCTACGAGCAACAACAAGTCTTTGCCGAGGTCCAAAGTAGACCAACTAATATTTAAATTTTTAAATTATTCATTTTTATATGAAGAGGAAAAGAAATACAGAATTATTCTGCAAAAGCAAAGAAAGAGATTTTAAGCGAAAAATCGTTTTGATTGCATTCAATTGGCTTCCAAGACTTGTTGTTTATTATTAAAAATTAATATCTATAGAAATTACAGAGGATATAGCGTTGTATATACGATGTAAAAACGACAAACATTATATCCAATTTAATTCCGTAGCAAACCCAAAAAGAATCCGTGTTTCCTTCTCGATTTCTTCTTGATTTTGCGTTTAACAAATGTTTGGAATGCTTTCAAGCTTTGGAAAACATTAAGAAACAATCAAATCTATATTCTTTAAACATTTAGCGCATTCCAAATAATTGTTGTGCAAACAAACCTCAATTAAAAGGAATATCCTTTAATTTTTGGTTTTGTTTTTAGCAGAAAGTCAACTTTATGGAACACTTTTGAAACATTTGATTTTGAAACGTCAAGATGTAGAAAGAATTTTGAATAATTACGTTAAATATTTTTCCATAAAATTGCCTTTTGCCACGCGAAAAACTTCAGTTATCATTGAAATAAGAAATTTAATAATTATTGAAAATATATTCGAAATTTGAACATTGATAATTATCTAGTCATTTTTTATTTTAATTTATATATTTATCAAACAGATAACTGAAGCTTTTCGCTAAAGCAAGAAAGTTGAATAAAATTGGCCCACAGGAGCGACTTACCTGTAATGACCAGGCGACCCTTTGTGGCGCTCAATCGTGTCTCTCCAGTCAGACGATGTTTGGTGCGGCACTGGTAGCTCTTGTATCCATCCTCGGGTCCTACTTCGCGGATATGTAGTTCTCCAGAGGGCAGTACCAGATATTTACCATCTGATTGGGATTGGTGTTCAGCGAGAGAGAATGGTAAATGGAATATAAACGTTAGTGGATGATTGTCAAAGAGCTTGGCTAACAAAAGAAATCTACTTTTACCGTGGAAGAAACTCAATTAAGTTGCAGGAATTTAATTGAATTTATTCCCAAGAAAGCCACATGCATGCTTTATAAATATTCATATCTCTCTCGCATATTTTACTGCTTTTAGCTTTACTTTAATTTGTTCTTAATTTGTGCAAATCTGTTTGTCCTTGTTAATCGTTGTGTTCATGCAATGTGACTTTCATGTAGTTGGAGTTTTAGGACTGGAGGAGGTTTAAGGCATGATTACTGCTCTCTTCAGTTCCAATTCCAATCAAAAGAATTGTATTCAAACTTTCAATTTAGTAAAAATAGTTTAGTAAAACTCCACACAAAAGAATTGTGTTCAGATATTGATTTATTATTTGTTTCTGTGTGTTTGAATAGAATTCCTTGCTTATAGACTAACTATACACCAAAGCAATGCCAGGAATTTGTGGCATAAACAAAACGAAGTGCAGCTGATAGATTGGTTCAATTTAAATTTATTTTCTTTTAAAATGGAAAAGCCACAAATTCCTTGGCACTACAATCTTAATTCTTATGTGTAGCATGCACCAACAAAAATGCCAATAACTTTAGATGATATGCGGATTATACATGATATTGTATATACAGATATCTGATATATATACACTGATTTTAGAGTGAGAAATGTACAGATTGTTAGATCGTTCGTTCGGTTTTAACATTTATTAGCATTTTTGTATGTATTTACACTGGACTACAAAACAACGCTACTTTCAACTACATGAAGGGGTTCGGGATGGGGCAAGTCAGGAGCGACTCATGGATATTTGCGGGAGTGGGTATCAAAATAAAACTTGGTGGGATGTGGGATATAAACAGAAAAGAAAGAATAGAAAGGAAAGGAAAAAATAACAGAAAGAACAGAAAGCAGAAGTGAAAGCCTAGGCAGCGGGATATTCCAGAGAACTCAGAGATCACGAACCGAATCGAATGGCGGGAGAACGGAGTGGAGTGTAGTGGAGTGGAGGGAGAGAGCTCTCTGCTTAAACTGAGATTATCTGGACAATTATTACCGCTGGCTGTGATATCTTCTTGGGCATATATATCACGCTTCTCGTCCTCCACCCACGAGTCGACGACTATAAAATCGGCCACGAAACTGGGTATGTGGCACTTCATAATGGCGCTATTGCCGCGCAGAATGGACTCGTCCATGACATTGACGGTGTACGATTGTGGCACCACTGCAAAGTTCGGGAGAGAGTTGAGGCGTTTAGGGTTTTTGGTATTGGATCGGAAATCATAAGGAAATAATAATGAATTTGTACGTGTGGGAAAGATAGAAAGAAACCCCTTCATGCGGCCCTAAGGACAAACTCTCTGCGGCGCCTACCCGTAATGTTTTTGGTGTACACCTCGCCCTCGGTATCGATCCAATCGGTAATGTCGATGTGATCCGCCACAAAGGAGGGTGTCTGGCACTTGAATATGGCCGCATTGCCCTTGATCACGTACTCGTCGTACACTTGCGACTCAAAGAACTGTTTAACCACTGGAAAAAGGCCGAAACGAAATCAGGATTTTGCATGGAATGGGAATCAGGATCGGTGAATGGTGAATGCAGAGGGAAAGACTACTCTTAAGCCGAACAGAGAGATCCTCAAAAGGTTACCCGTAGAATCGTTTGGTAGGGGCCGCTGTATCTCGACACCCTCCTCATCGATCCAGCCTTCCACGTCGATGAAATCAGCCACAAACGAGGGCACTAGACACTTGAGGGTGGCAGCGTTTCCGCGCAGCACAAACTCATCGATGACGCGGGTCTGGTAAAACTGATGGACAACTGATGGGGAAAATTAAGGGGGCAAAAATGAAACAAAAATCGAAAGAAATCGAAAGGATTTTGTGTGGGCAAAGAGAGGGACTCTAGACCAAAGATATAGAGAGATACATATGTATGTATGTATGTATGTATGTCCAAGTACCCGTCTCGTCTGCATTATTGGGATAATAATTGCGACCCTCCGAGTCCAGCCAGTGATCGACAAACACAAAGTCCGCCACATACGAGGGTATCTCGCATTTCATCACCACAGAATTGCCCCTGATCACATACTCATTGTCAGCCTCCGATTCGTATGTTTGGATCACAACTAAGCCAAAGAAATAACATAAAAGATCAAGGTAATGGAATGGGTGGGAGGGAGGAATAGTACACACAGAGATTTAGGAGCTAAGGCCCTTATTCACAGAGTAATTGCTTTTTGTTTAGACTGTACTTCGTACCATAGGCGGCAGTTGCATTGTTGCGCCACATTTCGACGCCCCCATCGTCCACCCAGGCCTCGACCTGCACGAAATCGGCCACAAAGGAGGGAATCTTGCATTTAACGACCGCCGCATTGCCCCTGATCACATACTCATTCTCTGCCTCGGTTATGTAGAACTGTGAAACGACTTCAAAAATCAAAAGAAAAAATAATAATTATGGCCGGGGAAAATGAAGTTACAGGATGCTGGGTATTTCTATAATAATCCTAAATCTATGTCTAAGAAAAGTCCAAGGAGCATCAAATCGCACCATAGTTGTCCGAGAAGGACAAGACATTGCCCTCGTCATCGATCCAGGATTCCACACGCACAAAATCCGCCACAAACGATGGTATGGAACACTTGAGTACCGCCGCATTACCGCGTATGACATATTCGGTCATTATTTCGGCCTCGTAAAACTGATTGACAACTGCAAATGTGTATCAAAATCATAAAAGAAAGTGTAAATTCTGGATAGGAAAGAGGTGGGAGAGTGGAAGAGTGACACCTGGAACCCCCTCAAGTATGTTAGATGCCTTCTGTACAGTAAGTAAATACCATAATTATCAGAGTGTCTTAGCTCGGTGCCCGCCTCATCGATCCAGGACTCCACACGCACAAAATCAGCCACAAACGAAGGTATGGAACACTTGAGTACCGCCGCATTGCCGCGTATGACATATTCCATTAGAATATCGGCGCCGTAAAACTGATTCACAACTGCGATTCAATAGAATTTACATAGAAATGAAATCAAAGCTAAAGCATGGGATGATTATGGAAAAAGATAGGGATGGGGAATATGGAATCCTACTTAAAACTAACATCAACGTAGTTCGGAGGGGAGTAGTTCTAAACTCTGCTGACTGTACCAAAATCCTCTTGCGGCGCATACTCTGTGCCATCGCTGGCCACCCAGGCCTCCACTCGCAGGAAATCGGCAACAAAGCTGGGTATCGTGCACTTCAATACCGCCGTATTGCCTCTGATCACATATTCGGACACGACCTCGGCCTCGTAATACTGATTCACGACTGAGAGAGGATGGAAAAATAAATGAAATTTTAAGGGAAATGAAAGGGATAAAGGAACGGGAAGGATCTTCTATGGTTTTAATGTTGCTATTGCCCACGAATATACATATATGTAGTACATGTACTATGTACCAGCAGCTCCCTGTTGTTCGCCGAGCGTGCCATACAGCTTGCCCTCCTCATCCTGCCAGGATATGACCTGGACAAAGTCCGCCACAAACGATGGTATGGAACACTTTAGTACTGCCGCATTGCCCCGTATGACATACTCGTTGTTGACCTCTGACTCGTAAAACTGTTGCACAACTGCAAGAGGCGGGGGGGTACGTGGGAGAGATTACAGAAGATTTTATAATGAAAGTACTAGAAAAAGAACTACCGAGAGAACGCCACAGACAGCGCCGCAGCCACAGCCAGACACCTTGCGTGTGGCGAGGCGTGTGAAAATGCGCAGCCAGAGAGCCCCATCAGTGGAGTGCATTTAATGGCCCCTAAAGCGCACTTCAGTGGGAAAGTCACTGCCTCCATCCATCCACCAGCCGAAAAGGTTAAAAATACGTAATTCTGATAAAATTGCTCATCAGCACGCAGAGAGGCCAGACACAGACGCAGATACAGATACAGAAAATGCACACAATGTAAACTCAAAAGATGAAAAAGGAAAAGGGAATGGGTAAAGGCTCACTTAAGCTAAAGCTATAGCCAAAAATTCAATGCATAGACAAACCATATTCTTGGCCTGGCGAGAAGTCCTCGCTCTGGTCCGTGTGCCAGGACACAACACTCACAAAATCGGCCACAAATGAGGGGATTTCGCATTTGAGTACCGCCGCATTTCCGCGTATTACGTATGCCTTATTTACATCGGTGTCATAGTGTTGGGCAACGACTAAAACAACAGCATACACAAACCACAAAAACATATATAACATTTATAAAAAAAATCAAAAAGAAAACTAAAGAAGGTCCAAGGAGCGAAGGCAAAGGCGAAGGAGTATTGTTGCACACTGTTTCCTAACAGATATTGTCTAACCAGTGTTTATTAATTGAGTTACAGTTGGAGTTTTGAGTAGAGTGTAGGTTTTGGGTGTATTTTTTTTTGTACAGTGTTACAGTCATTATTAGTGTGGGTTAACTGTACAGAAGCTCTGTACAGAAATGAAGTGGATTGTGTTGTTGTTTCTCTGTGTGTTCTTTTATTTCGTTTTTCTAGTGTTGCACAATAGTTAAAGCGGTGCACACACACACACACACAGAGGGAGAGAGAAAGAGAAACGATCGATTTTTCACACACCATATTCAGTGTCGGGATAGAAATTCTCTTCCTGATCGCTATGCCAGGATATAACATTCACAAAATCGGCCACAAACGATGGTATATCACATTTCAGTATAGCGGAATTGCCGCGTATAACAAACGCCTTGTGTATATCCTCTTCGTAGTGTTGCGAAACGACTAAACATATAGAAAAAATTAAAATAAAGTTGGATATACATAATAAAAGAATGAGAGTGATAGATGAAATGTGAATGGAAATGGTACGAGTATGACAGGAACCAAATCATGCTTTAGTAGTAAACAACTATTCTATCGCTAGGTGGATAATCCTAATTCGTGTCCCGCACCGTATTCCGTGCCCGGAAAGTAGCTCTCCTTCTCGTCGGCATGCCAGGAGACCACCTCAACGAAATCAGCCACAAACGAGGGTATCAGGCACTTGATAACCGCCGCATTGCCTCGAATCACATGCTCCTTGTTTACATCCGCCTCGTAGTACTGGGCAACCACTGCAGTGGGGGGGAAAGGAGGTTGAGTGTGTCTGGATTTAGTTGGGCGACATTCTCACGGTGAAGTAAACCCTATTCCTGGAAGTGTTGTGGCTTGATTGCCTGTTCTTTTTTGGTTGGTTGGAAACTCATTAAACGAAAACACCCAAACACTATCATAATCACTCTTAAACCGCCTGACAGGCCAAGTTAATTTCAATTAAGCAAAGTTTTCTGTGTGGCGCGCCAGCCTTCGTATACATATTTCATTCCGGCCAACAAGCACCGGGCTGGCTCTATACATAGTTTCCTGGTGTCCGCTCGCTCTATTCACACATAACATAAGCATAAAATGATAAATTCCCCTGGTTAATAGCAAGCGAAAGCAAACGACAATAATGATGTCAGGTGAGTGAGGCCGAATGGGGCAGAGGTAGAGAGGAGCGAGGAGTTCGTTCAGGTGTGCTGGCTGGCTAATTGCCAGGGAACACGTCAGCCGATGGAGCGATGAGTAAGCGAGGGTTGTGCTCCTCTCCAGCATGATTCCAACATAATTAGCTAAAATATAATCAAGTCTGGCCTATTTAGACTTCACTCCATGGAAGCGGAAGTAGCCGCCAGAGCCAAGGGACGTGTCTGGCTGTCTGTCCGGCCCCACAACTCGATAAGCCACCTCCCACACACAGCCCAGAACTGTGGCTAAGTGACAAGTGCATCACCAGGCAATGGCACGAAGATTGGAAGCTGTTTAAAGGTAAGCACAGTTGCCAACAAAAACACTTCAGGTGGCTGACTGACAGAAAGACAGGAAGACGGGAAAAGAGATGAAGCGAAGCGGCAAACCGATTAAAGTGAAAATGCCAGCTTGCATTAAATTCCAATGGGCATTGCGAAAACTTTTCAAAGAAATGCATGCGAGTGTATTTGTGTGTGAAAATGAAAGCGCGTGGAAAACGTTCAAAGCTAAATCCATGGAAAATTCGTTTTTAATTGCCGATAACTGCAAAATAGTGGAAGGTAAAAACCCCAACGTCGAGTGGCGGCGGGCGGTCAAAGCGAAACGAAAGCCAACGTTGATCGATCATCGGATGGATGGGATTAAGCTGAAAATTTGAGTAGGAATATTAAGCTGAGGGAAGTGCAAGTTTCCAGAGTGGTTTTTTCTTTAAATAAATAGCTAAACATTTTTAGTTTTAAACTTTTAATACACTCAGAGAAAAACGCCTCAAAATTTTAATATTTGCTACACTTGATTTAAAAATGTACACGCTCCGAGCGTGTAAATTGTAAAAAGAAAGTTTTTTAGATTAAATATGGTGCCATTTTGCTCTAAGTGTATCGTTAATTCTTTCTATAATTTTTCCGCTCTTCCGCTAGTCAGCTTCCAGCGGTTCTCTTAAGCCATTTTATTGGTACAATTTTATTACGATTTTGCCTGTAAATTGAATCTCAACCAACATCCCCCTTGCACTGCCCTCCGCTTAACCACGAATCCGCTCAACTTACCGGCTCGCACATGAACATCCCGAGAGATGATGGATCCGAACTGATTGCGGGCAAGACAGGCGTAGACCTGGGCGTGCACCTCCTGGCGGTAGTCCTCGGCGCGGAAGGGCGGAAAGACCAGTTTGCCGTCGGATGAGATTTGTCGCAGACCGGGTACATCGCCCACGGCAGTGCCATCGCTGCGTATCCAGATAATCTCGGGCATGGGGTTGCCGCTGGCCTTGCACTCAATCTCGGCGCCGGTGGAGTTCGAAAAGTCAATGCGGTTGGTGGGCTCTTTGAGGAAGACGGGTCCCTTCTGGTCGGCATCTGGTGGATTGGCAGCCAGAGTCTGACCGCCAAAAGCTGTGTAGGAAGAGCAGAGAGAGAAATTAGTTGAAATCATTAGAAATACAAACAGAATAAAAGTAGCATAGAACTTCCGCAACGGAAGTGCATTGATGGGAGGAGTACGAGTACAACTACGAGTACTCTCTGTATTCATAGCCATGTCCATGTCCACGATCCATGTCAACAGTTTGTCTATTGTTTCCACCTTTGCTGTTTGACAATTGAGTGCCACGGATCAGCGACTCCCTCGAGCGGGAACCGAGTGCGGACAACAAAAGCTCTTTTATTTTATTTTTACAGACTACTCGTAGAAACAACTTTTGCTGGCAGACAAAAGGCCCAGGCAGGCAGAAGGGGAAAATCGTTCGTTGACACTTTTTCAGACCCGGTTCCTGCTGTTCCTGCTGTCACTTTTGCACTGGCAACCGATTTCATATTAAATTTTATGCACTGCCATGTCCCATTGCCTCTCCTCCACCCCTGTCTATCCTTTGTCCCAGTCCCCCCCTTCACCAATTCAAATTTGATGAAATTCTTGGGGCGTGAGTCTGCAATTTGTCGCCTCTAGAGATATTTAAGGCTTTGGAAAACTATTTACCAAAGAAAATTGTTTGCTGACATATTCTTACAGTGAGCCGAAGGAGAAATTTCGCTAGGCATTCCCTCCCAGTTTCATGGGCACTCAGCTATGCAGTACTGTCCGTGAAAGATTAAATATTAAATGTCCGAACTAAACTTCAATTTAAGTAGAATTGTCTTAAAGAGAAGTTTCAACTTATGTGCGAGGGAGCTACCCACCCCCATTCCTGGCCCTTGAAAATTATAGATTGAAATGAAAACGAATCAATTTGTTGACTTTTCTGGGCTTGTGCGTGTGCGACATGAAGCACGCATTGAGAATTATATAAAATTAAGTTTCGAGGCGTTACGTTGAATTGTCGCTTTACAAATTAATTGCTCAATTGTTGTATGATTAAGGTTTGGGAGAGCAAGAAGTGTAATTTCAATTTTATGGAGTCCCCTGAATCATTAAATACGGAATATAAAAAGTGCCCCGATGGAATCGGTTTACCAGATTCAACTTAAACTGTCATTTAATTCTAGTCCCCACTGTACTTGCATGGCTCTGCATACACACACACAAACATACAAACAAACTCATATCAGATTCAACATGTGCTTGCCATACGGGGAAAAAGATCTTTCTTGCGGGCAAGCGTGCAAAAAGAGGAAAAGAATAAATGTGCGGAAAGAATAAAATACGCAATTGAAAATAATATTTTGCAGCTGTTCTTGCCACTGATAGACTGATCGATCGACAGAGGGGGAGATAAACATCGGGGAAGAAGGATATATCGCCTCTTTCTTTCTTCGCCTCTATGTTTCCATTCCAACTCGAACGAAACTCCTATTCCCTTTTACTGACTCTCTTCTGTCTTAATAAATTTATTGTGTGTATATTCCAGAAAGAGATTTGGCTTTGCTCTTTTCTCTTTTAGGAATACTTTGAATGCCTTTTCCTTCTCCTCTCTTCTGGGCTTCGCCTTTTCTCCCATTCCACTTGTTGGAAGAGTTCGCGCGCTATCCAATTGGTCTTTCATTTCAACCAGATTTTCGGATTGCACCTGCCTCTTCCTTTTCTGTTGCCTTTTGTCTTCTGCAGCTTCCCCATACAAGAGCCAAAGCAGCAGGTGCTCTTTGTTTTGCTTTTTTTTTGATGCCAAAAGTTTCGAAGCAGTTGCCTAAAACCAACAACAAAATTCGCAGAACCAAACCGGTTGAAGTGGCAAAAAAAAAGTAGCCGGCATTTAAAAACGAACAAAGCTAAATAAAGCAAAAAGCAAAAGCAAAGCAAAACTTGGAGACAGCAAAGCGCTCTGCTCGGCTTAATGAAGCAGAGCTCAGAACTATGTTTTTCTGAATTTATCGCGTAATTTTCCACTTATGCAGGCAATTTGCACAAGACGAAGATGATAATGATCCAACTAAGGTCAACATTATGCACTGCATCAAAAGCCTGGGGCGTTGGGGGAATGGGAGTGGGAGTGACTCAGCCTCAAGTCGGTTCTCTCAAATGTTTAGCACTTGTCTTGGGTCCACACAGCACAGTAGCCAGAACGAAGAGCAAACAAACAAGAGTCAGAGTAAGGCGAGAAAGAGAATGAGTAGAATAAGCTTTGTCAGGGGAATGGGAATGACTAATACTAGAAACAACAATAGAAGGGGACAGGGACAGGGAAGAAACGAAGCAGCACGCAATTCCAGAGGTGTCAAATTACGACGTCGAAAGCTCAAGAAAAGTAAACAAATATTGAGCTAAGAATTCGACAAACAAAAAAATCCACACGACACCCACGAAAGGGTTTACGGCTCTGGTTCGAATATAATGCTTCAATCCCTCCTCTCCCCTTCTCGAACTGCTTCCGTTCCAATAATTAACCCATTTCCAGACGTATACAAACCCTTGGCACCTCATGAAAGGGCAAATTGGAAATTAATAACTTCCGTCTAAACAAAAACAAAGGGAATAAGCGCTCAATGGGCACACACTCACACGCATGATAGGCTAGGCGACCCCACCCCAGCCAGAACCCAGAACACCTCCTCATCACGCACTTTTATCATCGAGGTCGGAATATAAACACACGCACGACCACCGACCATATGGGGGCGATATGGATGTCCAGCCAGTCCCCAGCCAATCCCAAACCAATACAATACCTCTGGTGTTGCATGCAACGAATCTCAACCATTTCGATTGAATTTCGTTTCGGTGGCGAAAACATCTGCTCTTTGAGGTTTGAGCCTCAGAAACCAGTCCGACAGCTGTTCGAAAGAGCCGGCAGATCAGAACAGGTATCTCAATGTCAGCGGAACGGTACCCACAGTCCCATTCATGCGAATCGTGCGGCGCGTACCCACACACAGTTAAGTCCACGAAATATGACCAATTACAATTACTGAGCAAGTTAGACAGTTACAGTCGATATACGGACAATACGTTACCCGCTAACCCGAAAGTTGAGAATGATTTTCTGTAGATCGGTACATCGTTGTGGCTACCATCAGACACAGACATATCTTGCTTTGTGGGTGGGTGTATTGAATATCCCCGAATGCAGCATACCCTCTATGCACTCTACAAGTATTCGTGCCGGGTGTAACGAATAATTAGGTAATGCGTGACACAGATAATTGCAGTCGTCCTGCCCACACACAGACACTTCGCCAACAGTCCAGACACTCAATTACCGCGCAAGCTGCAACACGGTGGAGCGGCAGACAGACACCACGCAACGCAGCCCAAGCTGTCCACCTCGGCGTGGACACTAGATGTCAGAGGGAGCTGCCACGCTGCTGACAGAAGGTGACAACAACAGACAGAACAGCCGCAACAAACCGCAGCCACAGACGACACGTGAAAGAGAGAGACAGACACCGTTAAGGCGACACAGGAGAAAGAAAGTGGAGCAGCACGTACCACGTGGGGTTCAGAGGGGGGATGTGTGTGTGTGCTACTGTTGCTGCTGCTGACACGATGATGATGATGATGATTTGACAGACAGTGGATGGCTCCGCACAGTGGGAGACACTCAAAGTACCTCAAAATATGTGTGGAGCAATGGTAAATAAATCATATTCTATGCTTTCGTTCCACTGTGCCTGGGCAGCTTTTTCTAGAGAGGGTGGAGAGAATGTGGGTGACCGAAGGAGAAAGAAAATAAAAAAGAATGGCTTGAGGGTGGATTTGTTGTATAATTGAAAGCGTTGCACAACAAAAGTTTCACCAGGCGAGGGCAGCAGCAGCAGGCAGCCGAGAAAGCAGAAAAAGAGCGTAAGACGGGACAGCAGACAACGACACACGTGCACAATCTCCGTACTGCAAGGGAATGCATTTGGCGATGAAGAGGGATCCAAGGAGCCCAGACAAACAAGGAGACCCTGCCTGACAACGATAGCGACAGTGGGAGACAAAGAAAAAGAATAAGAATCGAGAATGAGGATGAGGATGAGGAAGACCAAAAGAAGCATTTCGTATGCGTTTTGCATATTCAATCGAGAGTTAACGTCGTCACCGTCGCTGGCGCATTAATTAAGAGAGACACAAAAAGACTTGTTAAAAAAATATATGTAAGTACATATGTATGTATGTATGTGTGTATTGTACATTTACCCGTAATTCCACAATGGAACTTTTTGTTGTAGTCTGCAGATTGTGGAGATGCAAATGATACAAACACGATGGACAAGTTGGCAGCCCCCAAATGTAACAAAACGTGACTCAGGCAGGAAAAAAAAAACGTAAAGGTAGAGATGACGCGATGGTGAGGGAGCAACACATGCCTGGACGTACACAGCCATACATCGTCTGGTCGTAGATGATGTCTCTGCCTGATAAGTGTTGCCTCATTCTGAAATTGGGGTTCGCCATGTAGAGGAATGAAGGAGAAGCGAGAAGAATTGGTAGATGAGGATGGGCGAGGCGAACAATCAACATATTTTACAAATTATTATGATGGCTTGATTCCATTTTTAGGGGGCGCCAAAACGATGTTAATCTTTTCCCCCGATTCGCTTGAGCAGTTCCACCAAATCGGCTTGATTTTTGAGATTTCTCTGTCTTGTGTTTTCGAAGAAAAAAGAGTTTTCAATTCAACGGCACATATATTGTGAATAAAATGTGGATACACATATATCAGGAAAAATTAACCTGAAATCTAAACCATTCAAGGGGGGACAAACGGTGCTAAAAAGACTAACCACAACCACTGGCCCTTAATATCCAACACAAAACGGTAGAAACACCCGCACATCCATCCCTCCATCCCGTGCCCTGCTAATGCGAGCATCAAGGGTCCCTTTGCGCTCCAGGGACTGCTTGCCGGGAGTGAAATGCGGCAACAGCGCCTCCTCGCTCTAAATACGCTTTTCCGAGCGCAGCAGGCAGAGACATAAATAAGTATAATAATATTTTTACACCCAACGTGATGAGGGACACACGGACGGAGAGCGCCAGAGAGAGGGATGAGGGATAATGTTTGGCAGAGATGAGATTTGTGCGTGTCGACGGAGTGCTTTTAGTTATTACAGAATGGAAGTGGAGTAGAGAGTACTCTCTCTCTCTCGTTCTCTGGCTGTCTTTTAAATCGAAATGCATAACCCCAAAATGTAGACCAACTCTTAACTGGATAAAACATTTTCCAGTTTTCACAAGTTTTCCTTCCGTCTCTCTATCTCTCTCCATCTAAGAAGGGTGACGAAAACAAGTCAGTGACAGAGAGAGAGAGATAGAAAAGTGACTGGGGTGAGTGCGAAGGTTTGACGGAGGGTGAAAAGCAACGTTGCCGTTTTTCGATTCCATAAAATTGAGTATTTTTCAGCTATTCGTACTAAATGTTGCACCCACTTAAGTTTATTTTCCCTCTAACCCCCCAAAATAAAATCCCCATAAATTGTGGAGATTTGCAGGCAACTCGTAAAATATTTTGAGTTAACATAATACTTTCTAAATATATTTACAGCATATACAGATAGATATTTTCAAGTTCTGTTTCCTCCAGAAGCACTTAATGAGCCCCCCGAATGTATGACAAATGCTTTTAATGGTGCCCCTTCGGGCTGTCATGTCTTCTTGTCTTCATGTGGATTTGTAAAGAATTTAGACAAAAAGAGAGCAGAGCGCTCGATTCTTTTGAAGTAGATTAAAGCGTTTTCTATGCGAGATCTGCTGCATGCCACCGATACTCGTGTGTTGCCAATTTTCAGCTTCATTATATGGCAATTATTTACACAATTATCGAAAAAGTTGTTCTGTCTATTGCCAATTCCCTGCCATTCTCCACTCCAGACGCACAGCACAGGCCATAGAGAAGTTGACAAACAACTTTTGAACTATGAGTTTGTGAATGGGGGAAAAGTAGGCTGCAACGGCTCATAAAACAGAAAATTTTGTGACTGCATGATGACGTCAGGGGAGTACTCCATGTCTATCCCTGGATGTGGAGAGGCATTCCTGTGGCTGTGCAACTAATAATAATACGTACAGAGAGAGGCCATTAAGATGGAGGGGCAAAATTCTATTGAACTATCCACAGCTGCGGCATTTCTTGTGCCAGTCAGGGCACCCTCCTTCAGGTCTGTGTTGCCGCGTGTGTGTTGTGCCTCAATCGTCGAGGTATCATAACACATGGAAGCAGGAAGAGCAGAAGAAGGAGGGTTGGGAGGAGGCTGCAGAGTAGGCCTAGAAAGTGTCCAGGCGGGGGGGACGACGACGACGACTAGGGTACATCAATCATTTGTAATTATACGCATGCCTCTTCTCCATTCCATCATCTCATTTCGGCTCCTTTCTTCCACTCCCATTCCCCGTCTCCACGAAACGGAAATAGTCTTCTCCCTGGAATTGGTATGGGGTCTGGTTCAGTGATCTCTCCCCAGTGATCTCTGTCATGTTTACGAGTGCTGGCTCGCTCGTTTTTTTTTTTAATCTCTGAAGGAGAGAGATCCCAACGATAGCATGGAGCGTTAAGTGACCCAGTTGATAAGTGGCATCGCCTGCACCCTCAGAGATCTCTGTTCTGCTCTTATCAGTGGAATGCAGTGGAACAGTGAAAACTTTAGCAGAACCAAAAGCTTTATGTTCGCGAGAGAGCTTTATCAGTCACATCTATTCCATTTGATTCGCACACATAGACATCAATTGTTTGCTTCCTGTTTACTTTTTTTTTTTATAACATACCCTTCAAGAGGGTACGACATGACGCGGGGCACATTGATGTTCGATTCGAGACGCAAAAACGAGTGCTGCAAAAGAGGTTGTATTACATAGATACATACTAACACATATATACCATTTAAGTAGTACTCTTAATTGTATGCCTGTAGCAGTAACGATGCCCTGAAAGGGTATCCACTCTTCGAACATTCTTCCATTTTTGTTCAAGTTCCATTACAATGTTTCCTGTGTGTGTGTGTTCGCGCTGCTTGAATTCCAATTGAATTGAATGAAATTGCAAATTAAATGCGTTTGAGCTGCCACTGCAGGCAGCAGATGGCAGACGACAAACAAAAGCAGAAACATAACATTTAAACTTTCCCATACTACTCGTACTCGTATAATAAATCCTATTTAATGTTCAGGTCTTGCTTTGCAAACGAGTATGCTCGCATTTATTCGAGTATACTCTTCCGGAACATTTCAATAAATAACCATGGACATACTCGCATCATAATAATAATAATAATAACAGCAATAAAAATTGGCGCAAAATTGTTTTTAATCAATTTCAATTGAATGATGACCCGGCACAATCAAGACGTAAGACCAGGCAGGCGGAGACCTCTAAGGCTTTTGTTACTTACAGATAGAATCTAGCTTTGTACGTGGCTGTGCATAAATTCCCTGAAATATTTATTTTAGATTCCATCTTCAATCAATTTACAGAATCTCCAGCAAAACAAATCAGAATTTTGGGCAAAATTTCGTTGCCTTCATTTCCAATTTCGGTTGCCTGTTTTGGTATTCCCCTCGTGTTGGAACACTTAAAAAATTGAAATAAAAACTTTAAATAATTTTATTTTGATGTATTTTTTTATTATAACATCACGCTACATCATGTCGTTTTTAAACAAAAATTTTATGTATTTTATTTGCTATACTTTTAGCATTGATTGTTGATATTTGAATTTAAAATCACGCATACGCCTCATGTGTGCTTTACATTCTATGCAAATTTTTGGATTCATGAATATTGAATTTATAATTCATTTATGGGCTTGGCTATGGCATTGCATAAAGAGTTCTCTTTATAAGGCACAAGCCCCTAAATTGGTGCGTGTGATAACAAGACCCACATATGTACATATATTTGTATATAATAGGGGTCAATCGTCTATGGCAAAAACTGAGGTAAAGCGAAAACTGAACAGTGACTCCCCTTTAAGGAAACACCAAAGGGAATGATTAACTCATCGGTTACTCATTTTATGTTATTATTGTATTTACTTTTCATTAATCTATAATCATTCCTACAAAGGGCAGACTTGTTCCACGAACGAAAGACATTTCTACTTGAAGATATGTAAGTCCATTCAGGGTAGGGGTTACATAAATACATGTATATCTGGGATAAGTGTAGTTGCCACGGGGCACGGCACACATCTTGCCTTGGACTCAGCCTCAGTCTGACCCACTCATGCCCCCACCCTTTCCCACCCACCTTCCGCCCTACGCCTCTGCCACAACATGATTTCCCGGACGAATGAGGCAATGAACCGCAGCAGCAAGTTTATCTGCCCGCCACCACAAGCCACATGCACCAAGATAAAATGATACAATCCACAGAGAGAAGCGGGTAAATACATACACTGCATATGCACACTGCACTACATATGTATGTGTGTATGTATCTCCACTGCAAATAGTCAGCCAAAGTTCTGTTCTTATGGACACGAAATGGAAAAGGCAATGTAAATGTTAAGTAAACGTAATTAAAAATGCATGGAAAACGCTCGGGAAAATCCACAGACAGCAACAGCAAAGCACAGAATGTGTCAACAGCGATAACAGCGATAATGCAGAACGAAAACGAAACTGAAACTGAAGCCAAAGCGAGTCAAGAATTTTCAAAGAAAACAAACTAAAATTTTGATTAAAAAAAGAATGCCAGTCCCTAAAAAACTGTAGCTTTATTATGGCAAATTTACACCTCCCTCTCTCCCTTTATGTCGCAAAACAACGAAGAAATGCACCCTATATCTATAGTTTCCGGACTTAAGCTAATTCCGTATTCTACTGGATTGGAATGCAATTTTATAGATTTTTTGTAATAATTTATCCAAACGGAAAATAAGATAAAGAAGCAAAACGAAGCAAAAATGGGGCATTACTCACCGATGAGGGCAACAGCTGCGTACAGCATTAGCCATTTGTGGTGTTCGTTGGGCATATCCATAGTATTAGCCATATTTCCGCTCAGCGGGTGTTCTCCTTCTCTCTGTGATGGACGCGTATCGATTCTTCGATGGGGAATTGATCTAAAATGTAGAAAACAAATGATACAAATTTGATTAGTTTTGCAAGTTATATTACAAATAAACTAAACTCTTGATGCTTTATATATTTGTTATGCTTGCAACAATATTGATTTTATTTTCATTCACACCCGAGCTCATTCGTTTGTTGCCAGTGAAATGCAAGTAATTTGATTAGGGACCATTACCATCCCTCCCATGACGGCACAGTCCACCCACCTGAATGCACCTCACTTTACAAAGGGGTAGAATATGTACATATGTATATGTACACCCCTAAAGAGGGTTGCAAAGGGTTAAATATTTGCTGACATTGCACGGTAAGACTGAGTCATGCCCTCGTGTGAGATATTTACTATTAAAGATATCTTTGGATATATGCTTTATCCTCACCCTGTCAGTGGCTACCAAAAGTATTTCCAAAGCCATAAAAAAGCGTTTAGCAAATGGAATTGAAATGCAAACAAATTAATGAAAGAATGAATGCAGCAAAGGAAAGAAACAGAAGGCAGAAGACAGCAATGTGGTTGTGGTTGTGGATGTGGCACATTGCCACTGGCAATGTCATTAATTAAACCACAAATGGCCAAACACTCCAACGCCGATCGGATCGGGAGGCGACAACTTCATATTTTTGCCTTCTGCTATCCATAAAATGTGACGCGTCTCCCCCCAAACACCACCACCCCAGCCCCCCCTTATCCGTATCCGTATATATTTTATGACAGGCAGGAAGTCACGATTCCACATTTCTTGTTGTTGGTTCGTCTGCCCCGCTCTGTCTGACATGAGCCCGCTGGGACAGAAGAGCGCTCCTCCGCTCATTTTAATCCAAGTGATAGCCACAGATAGATAAATGGACAGATATACACATGTGTAGCTATAGAAATAGATTCCAGAGCAATTTGCTTGGCTTTTTAACGCGTTAATTAACGCTTAAGTGGATTCCTTCATTCGCTCATGCTACAATCCACAATTTGTGCGGACAGGCAGTCAATGAATTAAGTTTCTTATTTTACTTTCAATTGAAGACGTATCTGGCAGATACACACTAGTGCACGTACATATGTATGTATTTATGTATGTATGTATGTATGCCGTTCCTCGGTTTTGCTCTGAGGGTTGCGCAGGCGCACTCAGCTCTACTACTCCGCACGTGGCCTGCTCAACAAATGTTAGCTTTTCAATTGATTTAATTAACTTCTGCAGTATTCTTTCTAACGAGGGGGTTGAGCAGCTGCTCATAGTACTTTAATACTATCAGAGGGTGTGGATCTACTATAGGATATGCATTGTAGGGTTTGTCATGGTTGAGAACACACCACAGAGCCGCCACAGAGAAGTGCCGAGAGAGTACCCTTGTACCCTTGTTTCACTGCTTATGGCATTGAATCGCTGTACAAATTTCCCATACTATAGTTTTGTTGGAAGTTCCTAAAGTTTCTTTAAGGGCTAAGACGACACACTGAAAGCATTCGTCTCATGACTCATTAATTTCTGAGATGTATTTTTCCTGCCAGAGACGCTCCCATCTAGTAAACGATTCTGCCTCTCAAATGAACAAAATTTAGAAAACATCTGGTAATCAGTCAACAGTCGCACCCATCTACAATATATGTATGCATATAAGTAAATACAATATACATATGTATGTACAAGTACGAGTATATAGCCAGTCAACCCCTCTTTCTCTGAGCAGATCCGTTTTGGACAATCGCGTGGTAAAATCAACGAATCACAAGCATACTCGTATTCGTATTTTTACATTACTCATTCGCTCATATTATTTTGTTCGTCTGCCTGAATTTGCAACTAAAATTGGGGTGACGAGCCAATAAATGGATCCGGGGCAGAGGATGGGGCGTAGACGTGGGGCCACTGTCTGGCGAAGTGCAGTGGCCCAATGCAGGGCCACGTACACATACAGACAGCAGACGACTGACCGACGATTGTCCATTGTCCAGTTTGCAGTTTCCGACTCGCCCAGTTCCCAGATAGTACCCCAGAATCCCAGTCGCTGTGACCCATACGCAGCAGCGAAAGCTTTCCGCACTGCGCCCCTCCAATTGAGAGTCAAGTGCCACACAGGCAAAAACAAAAGGAATACACGAGTATTTATTTGGTGCCTCATCCGTATAGCAGCCTTTGTTCACTTTAACCTTTTGTGTCGTCGTGTGTTATGTTCTGAAAAGCTAGAGGCTAAAATCAATATTTGCCATCGCAGGCGATCCGTGGGCTACCCACCAGATGATTTTGAGTGAAAGGCAAGCATCATATGAGACCGGGATCCTATTTGTGAACGCTGACAGCCCGCCCAAATAGAAGCCGAGCGGCGCCTAGCAACAGGATGACGAGACGACAACAGAAAAATAAAGGAAAAAGAAAGAAACTTTGAAGGAGAACCAGCGGCAGCACGTCGAATCCGTAAGTGCCCTTCGAATACAATTTATGCTTGATACACAAAAATTCTGAAGAATGAAAATTTATAATAATATATGAAGAGCAGAGACAGCCAAAAATTATTATTTTTGTAACCGATAAAATCTAACAAAATTTTACATATTTATATTTGCAATTTTTTTTGTTTTTGGCGGTAATAATGATTTTTAAGCTATATTATTAATACTATTAATAAAAAAACCAATTACTAATACCATAATTTTATTGGAATATGTATCTAAAAGAGAGCCACATAGCCACATCCATAATGTGTGCTAAATTCTAGACACTCTAAAAATACTCTCCTTCTGGCAGTGTATAAAATCGAGAAAAAATGAGAAAGATGCCAAAAGGAAATGGCAAGCAGTGGCAGACAGCGAAGGAAATAGGTGGAGAGGAGCAGAGAAGAGGAAGGTTGGGCGGCGCAACACTTGCAAAATCAAATAACGGAAACTACAACGCGGAGGCAGCAGCAGCTGCATGGGATTTCAGAGATGGCTGGTGGCTGGCCTGCACGTTCGCTAAGCAGGGGTTGCTCTCACACAGTCACAGATACAGACACACACACAGATACATTTCCAGATTCAAAGGCAGAGCGAGGGAATATGTATGCCAGATGGGAAACTGCGAAGGATCTTAAAAGATGCTCGAAATGTAAAGTGGTCTGTGGAGTGGAGGAAAAACTACCTGCCAGAGGGATTGAGAGGACAAAGGACAGGCAGCAGGCAGGCAGGCAGCAGCCAGCCAGAGCTGCAGAGTTGCTTTCGGGAGAGGCAAAGAGCGCATGCGCAGAAAAAAAAATTCGCTGAAAAATTGACACAGGCGAACAGATTTTCTCTAGAAGGGAATTTCTAAATGAAAATGTATTCGAAATGGCCTAAATCTTTACGAATATTGATCAGAGTCTGTTGAATTTTGTTATTTCAGGCGATTCTTTGGGTTAAAGCCCCCTCTATACCCACTCCAAATAACTTTTGGCACACCCTTTTGGGCAATGCCTATGAGAGTATGTGTGTGCATTTGGGCAGAAAGTAACCAATTTTTTGCACTCCCCACAGCGGGAAACCCTTTCTTTCTGTTTCTGGAAAAATCAATAGGAAGCTGGGAATAAAGACAACAAATTTGACAAAAAACTGAATTTCCTTAGGTATTCCTCTGCCTTGGGGCAGACAACCGTTGTTGGGTGGGCGTGGGCTATGTCCTGCCACACACCCACACACATTGCCAGTCTATACATACACATACACAGTCACACAAAGAAGAAGTTGCCAGACAGCGCTGAAAATTGCCTACTTTTCTTACCGTTTGTTGTTGAATTTGTTGTTTAATTTATTCTTTATTCACACACACACACACAGGCACAACACAGTGAGAGTGGTGCAGCGAAATTGGTAACAGGGTGCCACTAATCCACGGGGGTGGCGACTCTGTCCAAGATCTGCCTCACACAAACACTCACAAAAACAGTCAGCAGAGACGCCCGCTGCTGCTGCACTCGCTTTGCTCTGCTCTTTTTGTTGTTGTTGTTGTAAACTAATTGGCGGATTGGTCGATTGATCGCTTTTGCATACTATTATTCACTCTTTTTGCGCAGAAGAAGAATCTGCACGCACACCAAGATACACACACGCGCGCGTCTGAAGCAGACGAAACCACCACCGATTGGACCGGTTTACGGGGGTGTTAGTGGGCGCACCGTATAAACCGTAGTCAAAACAACGTACACGCATACACAGAAATACACGAAAAAACCGGCGACAAAACGGTACGACCTTTCGGATTCACGTTCCACAACAGAGTGCGGAATCATCATGCTTGCCGGCCATTTTTCGAAGGCGGCAGTGAACGCTGTGTGGATGGTGTGGATTGTGGATGTTGTTTTTACATCCATCTCTCTCGCGCTCTCTGCAACAGCTGCTGGAAGGGGCAATTGTTATGGGAAATTTCATGGGACTTTTTCTCACCTGTTGCGTTGCTGTGCGAGGGGCAGACCCGGTAAGGAAAACCGGAAGGTATTAGTATTAGTAGTAGTAGTAGAAACAGATAAAGAAATTATAAAGAAGTAAAAATAGGATCAAGGTCATTCATCAGGTTCCAATATGCCGAGGTTGTTTGCATCGCAACATGGAACCAATCGAATTGGCAACATTAGTTTCTTTTAGTTTCACAGCAGCCATTGTCGTGGAGGTCCTGGAATATAAGCTGGTTGGGGAATACTATACATACTTCAAATTCTGTCGATTATTGTATTAATTATTTATTTAATTTCTTTTTTATACACAAAGGTTATCTCCTGTGGAATCTGTGTGTGTGTGTGTGTGTGATAAAGTAACCTAAACAGATTCACCAACTGTCAGGAAGGGTAAGTACCTTAATCTCAATGTAAGAGTGAGTATATAATGAATACACAAATGGGAATACACTGGATTATATTCGTAATATTGCCATTGAGTGCAGAAAACAAACAATTAAACACAACCAAAAAGTTAAAATTCTCTTACAAATTTAGATGGATCTCTTCGTGGGGATACCAGAGTATTAGTTCTTAGTACATATTAACATACATATATTTAATTGTACAGCAAATGATAAATGCTTGGGATTCACACTTGGACTGAGTATTTTGGGTTAAAACAAAAGTCAATTACAGTTGGTAGGAAGACACAAAAGTGCTTAAGTGTAGGCTTAAATATAATAAAATCATTAGCTGGGTCTGGGTCAAAATCAACTAAATTAGTCGGTACTAAAACTAGCATTTGTTCGCCTATGTACAGGTAATACAAAATGGGGAGATTCTTAGTTAAATAATTTGAGCCAGATACATATATGTGTTTGCTGCTGGTCTCCTCCTGGTGGTTTGTCTTGCGAGTATTTTAATAGTGTAGCAGATACGAGTCTTTTCCGTTTTAGATCTTGATCTCTTGAGGATAGCTAGTTATATGTGAGTATCTGATGTTCGTGTGTATAATAAATGCGGTCCAGTGCTGTGAACCATGTCAAGTCTATTTTGTGTCATGACTGTGGACGTAACTTGTTCAGTACATAGTCGGAGTAGGCTCGGTCCTCGGCTCCGACATTGAGATTACATTACAATTGTTGAGTATTAAAGGAGAGAATAGATACAGATACAGATGTGGATATAGTCACATTGAAAACACTTAAATTCGCTTCTAGTTCCGCCTGCTGGCATCTTGGATGATGATCTTGTTCTTCTGCCGCGTCACCTTCGTGGCAGTTGGCGCCGGCATCAGGCGCTTCAGCTGATCCTGCCGTATGTTGGGCAGGCCCCTTTCCTTGCCCTTGCCCGTTGTCGTGGTGGTTGTTGTGGTCGTCGTGGTGGCCGTCGCCGTTGTGCTTGATTCGATCAGCGCCGTCGACTCGTCCACCGTGGAGCTGGAGGAGCCTGCGGCCGCCGCTGAAGCTGCCGAGGACGCGTACCTGGTGAGCACCTGAAACTTGGCAAAGATGTTCCGCCCAGCGCCTCGCTGCTCCTTGTCCTTGTACTTATCCAGGGCGGCGCCGCTGGGCGTTGGCTTGGGCGCCTTGACCAGGGCCTTGTTGTGGTTGGTGGTGGTGGCTGCCGCCTTGTAGAAGTCCAGCTCGTAGTCGAAGTCGCCGCTGCTAGTCTGATGGGCGGGGGCCAGGGCACGCTCGCCGTAGCTGGCCGAACTGGCCGAGGTCTCCTCAGCCAGGTGGCGCAGCATCAGGGTGAGCTTCATCTCGTGCTGCCGCTGGAGCAGAACGGCGTTGCGCTCGCCCTCGAGTCGGGCCTGGCGAACGGCATTGGAGAGGACGCGCTCCTTCCACTCCCAGGCGTCCCGTTCGCGCTCCAGCTGCACCAGCTGCAGCTCCAGCTTGCGGGAGGAGTCGCGAAGGTCGATGACCTTGTTGAAGTACTTGTACAGCAGCGTGCGCATCTCCTCCGGCGAGAGTTTGTTGAGGCGTGCCATCAGCATCTGCTCGCCCTTCTCCCGCTGCAGCCGGTCACTGGTGTCGATCGACTTGTGGCCGCAGATGAGCTCGTTCTTGAACTCGATGGCCGCATCGATGGCTTCAATGGCCTCGTCGCACTCGAGCAGCTTGCGCTCCTCGCGCTGCGTCAGCATCTTGTCCCGTTTTAGCTTCCGGTCCAAGTGGCAGCGCTCGTCCAGCAGCAGATCTCGGGTGCCACGCAGATTGCGGATCTCATGCCGCAGACTCTCCTGCTGGGCCGGTGCTGGACCCTCTCCACCCGCACACTCCTCCAGGTTGTCCGACTTCTCGCGGAGAATGTGATTCAGGTGGGTGATTCGTGCCTGGACAGCCTTCAGCTGCCGGCCCTGCTGTTCCGGAGAGTCCAACTTGACCAGCTCCTTGCCGCCGCTGACGCCGTCGCGGGACTCCTTCAGTTTGGCGAGCTCCGTCTCCAGCTGGTCGCGCAGCTTGCACTCCTTTCGGATCTTCTTTTCCAGCTCCTCCAGCTGCTTGCGGGACTCGGCCATGGACTGCTGAAGCTTCTTCAGCTTCTGGCCACTCTCGCCGGCAATGTGCTTCATGGAGCTGAGATCCTCCAGCCGATGCTCTATGTGGGCTATGATCGCTGACCAACGCTCGGTCTCCCCCTTTTCCCTGCCCTGGACGAGGGCCTTGGCCAGATGCTTCTTGGCCTTGTCGCACTCGGCCTCCAGCTTGGCCTTCTTCTTCTGGAACCGCTGCTTGGCATGGCTGCGCGTGTCGCTGTTCTTCACCAGCTCGCTGATGATGTTCTGCTTCACCTGCATTGTCTGCTCGATCTCCTTCAGCTGCCGTTGCCGTCCCTCGATCTCCGCGTGCAGTTTCCGCAGCTTCTTCTGGAGCTGCTCGATGGGCGCATTGGCGGCAGCGGCGGCAATGGCCGCCTGACGCAGTCCCTCGCCCGCTGAGCTCTCCAGCGGATCGATAGTCGATTCAGGGTCCAAAACGGTAGCCGGCGGCTGAGCCATGGGCTGCTGCAAGGCCACGCGATTGAGCAGGGCTAGCTCCGCAGTGCTCAGGCTGGCTCCTGGCTGAATGCTACGCCGTCGACCTTTTGGGGGGACGATTCACATTAGACACCGATTAAAGGGAATCCACTTTATCGAAGTACTTGCCCGCAATGCTGGTCTTTCGCTCCTCCATCTTCTCCATCTCTTTGTCCGGGGGTGCCTCCAGCTTGGGCTCTTTGTCCCGCTCCAGACTCTGCATGACGGCCTTGGGATGCTTGGTGAGGAACTCGGAATGCTTGGCCTGGATCAGGGAATCGGTCTTCGCACGAAACTCCTCCATAAGGCCCTCTAGCTTGTCGGCCAGATCGGGACGCTGCGACTCATTGTCCGTGTCATTGTCGGAGTTTGGTGGCTCGCTAACCGATTCCTCGGGCTCCTCAGCCTCCTGGATGGGCACCAGCTGCTTTTGGGAGCGCATGGCCTCGGTCGAGCTGAGGCACTCCTCGCACTCCTGCTTGAGGAAGAGCCACTCCTCGATCTGCTCCTTCTCCAGTTCGCTGATCAGATTGGAGCCCATCAATCTGGAAGCAACGATGAAAACGAAGCATTAGGAAAGGCACAGGAAACCAGGGTCTGGCGGCAATCTCACTTGGCAAACAGTCCCTCTGCGTTGGACACAAGCTTGAACCACTGACTCGCCGCGAATTGCAGCCCAAAGTTGTCGCCGGCTGCCACCTGGGCCAAGGGGCCAGCTGCGGGATTGGAAGAGGCGTTGGGCATTGACTCCGGGGATATGGGCGTATTGTCGTCGGAGTATGTGTTCATGATCACATAGTTCCGCACGCACTGCACCTTGAAGGCGAACTGCAGGTTGCCCAGGGTCTCTGCCACGTGCTGCTCCAGCTGTGAGACGCACAGAATCACCAGAGTCTGGGCCCGGCCACCGAACGAGTCCTTCAGCAGGGTCGTGAGGGTGGTCTGGCCATATGGAATGTTGCCATTCACCCCGTACATGATGCTGGGATCGGTGAGTGTGTTGACCACCTGCTCCAGCATCTGGAGACCGGCATCACGGGGATGGCCCGGCGGCGGCTCGCCCCAGCGCTCGGTGGCGCACAAATCCGAGAAGCTGGCGGTGGACAAACGGTGCTGAATGAGCCCCTCCTTGGACACCCACTGCTGCTCCAGGGTGAGCGTGAAGAGGGTGTGGGCCGGCTTTGGCTGCCTGGTGGCCAGGCCAATCTGCAGCCAACGGAACACTTCCTCCACACTCTGACAGTGGACGTTCCCCATGTCCAGCAGGTCACAGACCTCGCCCGCACAGATCTCCACGAAGCCCACATTAACTGCGTAGGTGCGCTCTGTGGACGGGATAGAGTTACAGTCGAGGATGGATCGCAGACAGGATTTGATTTTGTGGGAAGCTCACCTGAGTGCCCGGCAATGTGGGCGAAGATGTCCCGGACACAGCGCTGCACCACGCCCTGGTCTGCTTCCCCGTAAACGCACTCGAAGCCAGGTCCGTATAGTGTGTAGGTCTTGCCCTGACCCCGCTGTCCGTAGGTCACCACCGAGGCATCGAATCCCTCCAGAAACAGGCTGATCAGCGGAAACACCGTCTGATAGTAGAGCTGACTCTGCGTGGTACCGCTGCCCAGGGCGTGTGTGACGGGCACTGTGTGGGCGCCTACCTGTATGAGTCCTGCCGCAATGCTGTCTTGGGCCCCACCGCCAGGCAGGGCGCTGGGAAGCCCCAAAGCGGAGGCTGATATCGGAATTGCCTGCACACAGCATCCCGAGCCCAGGGGCACAATGGTTCCATTCTCATTGCCATTGCTGTCCGTCTGCGGCGTCTCCTTCTTCAGCTGTGTGCCCTTCCCGCTGTTCCCGTTGGCATCTGTCGACTCCTCCGGCGTTTGTCCATCTGAAGCGTCTTTAGTGGACTCTTCCGAATCGGAAACAGACTCCGCATCCGCAGCCCCAGTTGCAGACGCCGCTGCCTCCGCGACAGGCTTCCTTTTTTCGCTAGGCTCGGTGTGGGGACAGATGCGCACGGCCACCTGTATTGGTATCTCCATAGTAGTCGTTTCAGTCGGGCAACTGGATTTCAATTGGTTTTCTCCATTTTTGTGTGCATTTTACGCGTTTTTTTCGAAATTTCCCAAAAAAAAACAATGCAGACCGCTTGAATCGATACTAAGTGAACGAACTTAACCCACTTAGCCCCCCCTATAAAGGCAGGTAAACAACTTGAGTCAAACAGAGGTAAGTAATACTGCTCGTGAACTTTTCATGAAGATCCATCCTATCCTTCCACATTAATTACAAACATTAATTACAAAATCGCCGATATCTTTCACCTGAACAGCACTAAAATTGGTCAAGTTTCATCATTTTCGTTGGAAGTTTTAAGAACCCCCCTGCTCGACAATGGGTTAACGTTCTTATTTGTTGATCGGAAATCATATTCCTCGATTTTAAAATTCGGTTTCATATTTCTAGCAGGCTAAGACTCGCAGCACTGAATATTTATTTTTATCCAAGTCATGAATCAATTTTCTACAATATTGGCTCGTTTTCAGAACTCCGTTTTATTGGATTGTTTACAAAATAGGGCTTACGGCTTACATAAAAAAGGTCAATACAGAATTGAAGCATAAAACGTAAGTTGGCAGCCCTGTTCGATTTAAATAGTGCTGTTAATTTATCGATACTATCGTCTAGTCGCGCGCCTTAGCAGAATTGTTTGAAAAGAGCGCCAAGGATATGTCTGAAATCCAGAGGACTAATTAAAGGAATGTTTTCGTGTACCTTGTATTCAATATTCGATTTCCCGAAATGTATAATATTTCGCAAGCGGACACCCTGTTTGTTCCGCTTTTTTCTTTTTTCTAGTGATGTGAAAACCTTCCCTGATTAAAGGTCAGTTCTGTAAAATGCTTGCGTGGCATCGATACTTTAAGCGGTCGTTTCAAATGCGTACTCGTTTTGATAACAGTTTTTTTTTGTGTTTTGCTGGACACTTTCATGTTTTGTTTTATTTTTTTATGGCTTTTGCTGTTGTGATTAACGCCCATGCAATTGAAATGAAATCGCTTGCAAGTGATTCGAATGCAATCGCCAAAGAACAATAAATATTATAAGCGCGGAAACTGGTGCAAAAAGCTACCATCTATGGAACCCTAGGGATAGGGGTGTACGTGCAGATTTTTTTTTAGCCACTCGCTGTCACACATTGTCTGATTTGGACAACGAAAAAAACTGTACCCCTTTAATGTCGCCATGCTGCAAATGTTCGCAGACTGCACATAGTGGTACCTTTTTGTTAATGTTCCATATATGTTTGAAGCTATAACGAGCATGGTTCATGTGTTGGAACACGTGCGCCATAATCACTTGCCAGACGGAAGTGAGTATCGTTGTCGTGGTCTTGACTTTTGTTCTCTTTTCTGTCAGGAATTTTGTTTCCGTATTAATCTTGAGGCTTTAAACCAAACTTTAAAGTTGGAATCACTATCGATGGCACCGAGAAGGTGCAAGGGATGTGGCCCAAAAGTGGGTAACAGCAATTGGATAAAGTTGCCGATGCTGATGCTGCTGTTGGTGTTGCTGCTGCTGCTGCTGCTGCTTCTATTCCTGCATGCAATTAAGCCAGGGACGAGGAACAACTTGCCACTCAGTGTGTCCCACAACTGGAAGCTGACCATGCAAATTACGATGCTCACACAGTTACGTAGCTGGGCCACTGAAAGGCGGCCAGGGGATGACACACACGACTCTGTGCGTTTGAGTGATGCAGCGAGACGTGGCAGCCGAGGAACAACCATCCCAACCAGCCAGGTCTAGGGCCATCTCTGCCAAAGTTAAGTTAAATGGACTTGCGGTGCACTCGAGCAGCGCCCCCCTTCACACACACACACACACACACAAACACACACATACACATGCACTCTCTCCCCCACATGGGGATTGAAGTGCAGACCCTGACAAGGTAGCAGCCAGCTTTGGCTAGTAGATTAAATTAAACGTAGAAACAACGACCAAGGAGACACAGAGGCTGGAGCCAGTCCCAGTCCCAGTCAGCGCCAGACCTGAGGCCAGAGGAACTGCAGCCATGCACTGGCAACAACATTAAACGTGTTTACACCATGTCCGACCAGTTGATATGCCAACTGCTCTGACTCTCATACGTACTTGCAGGAGAGGCCGGTGGTGCCGGCCCCAACGAATGCGTGCCCATGCATGAACAGCTCTTGGACAATGAACACATGCCATGCCAGAGCGTTCTCCTTGGCTTCCGCCGCTGCTCCTCCGCTCGGCTATTGTCCTGCTTTTTGTTTACTGTTTTTGGTGGGGTTTCGCAAGTGAGTGGACTAGAAAAAAAAGCGAAAAAACCCCAACTCTCCCCCCGGCACTCCGAGGCAGAATCACTGCATACTGCATACTCGTACCGTACTTTCAGGTGCCTGCCTGCCAGTGCTGTGCTGTCATAATACAATGGGAAAGGTGGCGCACAGTACGGTTACAGTTGCCGTTGCGTTGCCTTAGCCGTTGTTGCATTGTTGTGTGCTGCGCTCGCTGACTGCGAATTAGCCTTGTCCTGGCACCTTGCTAGCCACGTTCCAAGGCAGTACCAAAGGGACGACAAGTATGCGTGTGTCCCATGCAATGCAATGCAATGAAATGGAATGCTAGGCGGTGTCCTGTTGCCTTGTGTTAAGTTACCTTTTCTGCCAGCTTGGCACGTCACTTTCTCTGTCATTTCAGCTCAGCCTCTTGGCCAGCCTTCGGAGTAAATTTAACTTGATGCAAACACACAATTGCTCCACATGGATTATAGAGAAATCCATTGAAATTCTGCTTGAAAATGTGCAGCATACTTTTAGCATTCATTAATATTTCATTTCATTTTCCGGCATAAGAAATTGCTTTGCATTGTTGTTCCCACACATTCACTGCGTTGCAGCTGAAGTTTAAGTTCGCTTGCAGCTGTAGCTCCATCTTTAGTATAGGGCTTAGCCGCAGGAATCAAAGACCAAATATTACGCTCATTTATTGACCAATGGCAAACACAAGCGAGAAGTCAAATGAAATTGCTATAAACGATAGACGAGCGCTCCATCGTGTGCTTCCTTCTATACCCATCCACTCGCCTCACCTCACCTCATCTCTTCCATTGAGACACAGTCAGCTTCATCTGTTTGTCCACGAATCTGTGAGGCATGGGCGATTGGTTGGAATGGGACGAAACGAGGGGATAACTGCTGCTGCTGCTGCTGCTGCTGCTGCTTCTACTACGCCAACTTCCTGGCCCCGGTGAAGTTCTTCTCCGGCATACATAGGTAAGGCACAACAATTGCAGGAGATCGTCAATTTCCTGCTTGCCTCGCAGGCAACTTGATTGCAAGCACAAAAATCAATAGGAAATGCAGTTAAATATTTTCCCAGCCGAAATAATTGCACAGAAATGAGAATATACAGCCAGCTCAAATGCATAGAACATTTTGGGCAAATCCTTTATCCACTGTCCGCTCCAGCCAGCCTGTCATTGTGAGCAGAAATTATTTAATTAAAATCCCAATACGAATACGGAGGAGCTGCTGCTAAAGTTGACTAGAAAGTGTAGCTCAGCCTGTAAGCCGTACAGCTCCTCCAGGCTGGCAAAACTTATGGATCAATGCAAACTTTGCTATCCTACACTTTTACTCCCCCATTATTGTACCCAGCACTGCTAGAGAACAAGGGCATATCATTATGATGTAGAGCAAGAACAACTGGATTGGCATATCCCTACAGCCCTTAATGTTTGGCAGATTATCGATTCAGCACCTTTTTTCTTATATTTTTGAAAGGAATTTCCATAAATTAATTTATTACTTAAAGCAAAGATTATTTATCTGAGTAGCGGGTATTTTATGGTCGTTCTATGTCCGACGAGTTTTTTTTATTATTTCTTTTTCCGACTCGAGTTGCGCTGAGAAGGTGAAAAAGTTTCCCAGGCAGCCTTCAACTTGTTAAACAATTTTCGTATATATTTTCGACAAGTTTGCGCTGTACGAGTGCCTCCCTGAGTGTGTGTGTGTGTGTTGGCCGTGTCTGTTTGTCGGCAAAGGTGTGCGGGGCGGGGGCGTTAAGAATCTTAAAGATAGTAAAAGGCAATGGGAAACGGGAGCAGCATCTCCAGCTAGTTTATGCGTCTGACTGGCTGTCTATCTGCGATTCCAGGGGCTGGCTGACTGGCAAGTTTACCAGACAATTTTTCTGCTGCTTTGCATGTCAGTTCTTTCCGCTGCAAACAGTCGAAAAGTTATAGCAGCCAACCTGCTCCGTGTTCTCGTCCTTCAGATTCAGCTTCTGCTTCAGCTTCAGCATCGGATTTGCCTTTTGTGCTGTTGGCCGCTCAGCGTTTCAGCATTATGCAATTGGATTTGCCGCGGCAATGGGTGGACGAAGGTTCCAGTCCGATGCTTGGCCCAAGGCAGATAAACACTACGAAATTCCACAAAGTGAGCGCTTAAAGGGTAACGATATCAATAATAAATAGCCATTGCAAAAAACTCTGCATGTCTGCCAAAGCCAGCACAAAAAAATAACAGAATAACAAAACAAAAAATAGAGAGGAAGCAACAAACAGATACGACAGTCCGCCCTCCGGTCAGCTATAAAATTGACCAGCTTAAACCAAGACTATATAATAAATTGATAGCTTACTATCTACCTCTGGACGACGACCGGATTCCGAGAAGAGTAGCAGCAGTGAAATTTAAGAACAATTTGCCTTAAAGTAAAATATCTATGTAGGTCAGGCATGAGATTTATCCTGAGGTATGTAAGAGCTTAGCTCTCGAGAGTTTTCACCGCTTGAGAATTGATAGTGTAGAATTAAAATAATATTGCCACATCTTAGAAATCTCTCAAGGAGCAAAGTCTCTTAAAGCCTCTATGGACATGAAATGGAAACTAGGCAATCATTTAGACAGCAAACGAATAGGTGGAGGGTTCAATTTTGCATCTTTCTGCCTGTTACATAGTTCTGCACAAACACAATATAGTACCTTAATGCCTGATATTTGTGCACTTTCATTATGCATTTATTGATTTGCCTGACTATTTGGAAATTCAATTTAATCAAATGCAACAAATGCCAAGACTGATTAAAATGCAATAAGACTAAAAGAAGAAGAAGAAGAAGCATCCCAAGAACTTAGT